TCCCCTCACTTTTTGCGTCTTTGCGGCATACTACTGGCTGTTCAAACGCATAATAACAATTGAATTCACTACGGAATACCGATCGTCACGTACCCGCTAGAACGGCCGTTATAACACGCCAGCCAGACGCCTTTTCTATCGTTGGTTTTAAGTTCAATTGAACTTAAACTATCACTGAAGGTGATTCATATCCCCATCCGCCAGGCTTACGTTTTTGAAAATTAAGTTGTCTGAAGCCAAAATTTGATCTTGACCTTTATTCTATGATATACAAAATGTGTACCAATAATAATTACAATTATATTAATTCCACTGGTTATAATTGAAATAAAAAAATAATTTTGACACAGCTACACCGAAACGAAACCTTACATCATTTTAACTAAAACGATAATACCATGTCACTCATTTTCGTATGTTGATAAAAAAAGACTTGCAGTTTTTGAAATTAATCATTTGTTGGAAATTAATAATTTCTTAATTGAGTAATTCGGAAAGATTTCATAATCTAATATCTACCATATGTATTGCAAGAGCAGTGGTAACTGTAGCGAAGATGTTAATCATTTCATGGTCCTGGTATATGAATAAAATACAATAGTCATTTATTCTGTAACTTAATATTAGTCCAGTTGGAAAAGATGGACTGATACTTATGATCAATAAACAAACAAGTCAACTGCGTACAGCATTACATTGTACATTGTATTATATTGACTGATGTTACATGATTGTGTTCAAGTGTACATTTTTATAAGTTTCATTTAGTTGATTCCAATTAAATGTTTTGTTAAACACACAGGTAAAATCGCCTAAATAATTTGACTTATTTCAACTCTTAAGCATTTTTTTATATTTTTCTCGTTAAGTCGAATATGCTTAGAAAAGTTTGGCTTATTTTCGCATCTTTAGACACATGAACCAGTGTATTACATTGTTTACATTGGTACTAAATAAACGTAACAAAACATCAACCTTATATATTCAGTAAAAAACTCTCTAGGAGTGCAATTCAAAAAAGAACACCTTTTTCTTTAACTTTTCTTTCCTTCCTTTTGAGCGTGCATTTACATTACTTTGTTATGAGCCAATACACACAAAAGACAACTGTTCTCTCCATGATTTTAGAGAGCTTTGAAATAGTTGACAGTAGCAAATTTATTCTTCAACGAAGAGCCATTAATAAGACTCCACTAAGGTTTAAAAGCCTAAAACATAATATTTGAATTTCTTACGTAACTGAGCTGGGGCACTTTAAACAGAAACATATGCAAAGATAGTTAAGAAATATACTTTGTAATAAATTGAAAATCGTATTTTTATGTTTTTCTTAGCCCGGTTTGAGTGAAAAGCGTTTAAACGCTTTTCATTTTGGTCATTTTTTTCAATTTGAATGATTATTCTTGAAAAACGAAGTGCGCGAATGATCTGAAATTTTGCACAAAGATTAGTGGACTTAACCTACATCAAATGTTTTTTTTATCTAGAAAAAATATTTTCAGTCCCATCATGTCAAAAAAAAACCTCAGTGGAGTCCCTTTAACTTTAAACCACACACATTTCGGACAGGGAGGAGCTGGGCTCATACTATTATTGGCTTGATTAAAAAAAATAAATAAGAAAAAATAAAAAAGATAAGACTATACCTGATAAAAGCAAGTTTTTTTTAAATAAAAATAAAATACAAGAGGTCCATGATGGCCCTGGGTCGTTCACCAGAAATAATTGCTTTTCGGTGTTTGAAATTATTCATTGTCAATATTTTCTTATAGTAAATATGAACATAGAATATGTTTAAACCATAATTTGATGAAATGCCGTCACCTGGGGGCATTAAAGCGTTGGCTTACACGCGGCCAATGAAATGAATATAAGCAAACTTGATAAAAGACAACCTAAGATTAGTAAGAATGCCACTGATAAAGTTTGGTAATCATCCATCAATTATTTCAGTAGGAGATGATGTTCAAAAGTTTTTCTATTCTTTGTTTTAGTGGCCCCTAAAAGAGGCCAATCAAATAAATAGTCATGAGCAAACTTGATAAAACACTTCTTTAGAATGCTACAGACAACTTTTGGTGATCATCTATCAATTATTTCAAGAGAAAATGATGTTCAAAGGTTTTTTCTATTTAAGCTTTAGTGGCCCCTAAAAGGGGCCAATCAAATTTATATGGGAAACTTGATAAAAGACTAACAAAGAATGCCACAGACAAAAGTTGGTGATCATCTATTAATTAGTTCTGTAAAAGGAGATGTTTAAATGTATTTATATTTTTAGCTTTAGCAGCCCTTAAAATGGGTCAATCAAATAAATATGAGCACACTTGATAAAAGACAACCTAAAAATGCTACAGACAAAGTTTGATGATCATCCATCAATAAGTTCTGTAGAAGCACACGTTTAAAGTTATTTATATTTTTAGCTTCAGCAGCCACTAAAGGGGGCCAATCAAATTAATGAGCAAACTTAATAAAAGATTACCCAAGAATGCTAAGACAAAGTTTGGTGACCATCCATCCGTTGGTTCTGTAGAAGAAGATGTTTAAAAGTTTTTCTATTTTTACCCCTAGAGACCCCTAAAAGGGGCCAATCAAATTAATATGAGCAAACTTGATTAAAAACTACCTAAAATAGATAAATACAGAATCCCTAAAGAAGGCCCAACACGGCAAAATTGAAAATGTTGCAGGTTCGGTTTGATTGAGCCTGTTCATGGACGGTACTGGAAAGTGCAAGTTACCGTCCACGCCCCTAGCACCGGCTTAAGCAGAATTCAACATTTAAACGTGAAATAGTAAAATTAGAATGCTACAGACAAAGTTTGATGATCATCCATTTATTACTTCTGTATAAATAGACGTTTAAAGTTATTTCTATTTTTAGCTTTAGCGGCCCCTACAAGGGGCCAATCAAATTAATATGAGCAAACTTTAAAGAAAGACTACCCAAGAATGCTACAGACAAAATTTGGTGATAATCCATGAATTAGTTTTGTAGTAGAAGATGTTTAAAGGTTTTGTTTTTTTATTTAAGCTCTGTTGACCCCTAAAAGAGACCAATTGAAATTACATGAGCAGATTTAAATGTGACTGTCTCAAGTATGTCACAGACCAAATTTGAAGTCAATCTGCCTAGCATTTACAAAGAAAAAAACGATTATTGATGCATGACGACGGACGACGGACGCCCGAGCATCCCCCTTTGATACCTTTGGTTCTGGTGAGCTAAAAAATAATTAAAACCAAACGTAGATTACATATTTTTCATATTTAGGTGTAATTTTTGTATTGTGTCGCAACATTGACTTGAGATTGATTAATTATCGGAACGTTGTTCGTTAAATTCCTTAATAAGTTATGCTTTAAATGACAGTACAGTTTTTGTTGACGACTTATGGACTAGTGGTAAGTACAACGGAATTGCGTTGTTGTAAGTTCGTATCCTCAACCAACCATATAATTATTACACCGTGATACGAAACTACAATCTTCAGTTTGAAACAGATAGTCTGACACTTAGTTTGAAGCTTTACACATGTAATTTGAGGCTAAAGGTTACATACAAATACACAGTCTACCAGTAATTTGAGACTAAAAGTTAAATACAAATAGGGGGCAGGGGACCTAAAAATGAACAATTTTGTATTTCAGTGTGACCAGAAACACAATTCCAAATATTTCCAAATCTGTTTCACAAGCAGATAACCAGTTGCACAGCATTATTCAATGATGTATGACATACATTGAAGAACATAATAGTTTGCATGCATTGCTCCTTCATAAAATGACTGACAGCAATTTATATTTACCCCCACCCAGCCAAAATCACACCTAAAATATACCAATATGGACAATCTTCATCAAGGTGCAGCATACTCGAGAATCCGCCCGATTCCTTTAAAAATATCAGTAAAATGCAGTGCAAGCTATGGCATTTTCAGAAATGACCAATAAAGTGTCTGTCATACGTTTAGACTTTTCACAAAATGTATCTGAAATTTCTTACTTGTTTGGCGCCAACTGTCAAAGCTTGATTTTTAACTTTTTGACCTCCATTCGGAGAGTCAGATACAAAGCTACCAAAATGCTTAGTTTCGGGTAAAACCCCAAAAATACTTCTCATTTCCTACACACAAACAAGAAAGAATTACAATGACAGAGAAATATCAGAAGTTATCAGTACCTTCAAAACGCCATGTCTGAGTTATAAAAAAAATTTGACCGGGGTCATCATTCGAATATGTCCCCTGCCCCCTACACAGTCTTCCAGTAATTTTAGGCTTAGGGTTAAATACAAATACACAGTCTACCAGTAATTTAAGGCTAAGGGTTAAATACAAATACACAGTCTACCAGTTATTTGAGACTAAGGGTTAACTTAAATACACAGAGTAAAAGTAATTGGAATGCTTATTAATTTGTGAAGAACTGATAAAAGATATAACAAAATATTTTTGTAATGTAATAATACTTTATTGTGAACAAATCAGATTAATACATGGAAATATTTATTATATATTTTCATACAAAGGATGATATATTTGAATGAAATAAAGAATTTGGTAGAGAAAATTGGGATTAAAATGATTATTAAGAATTGATTTAGCATAAGATATTTACAAACATTTGTTATGGTAAATTTTGAACTTAAAGCGACCTTCAGCTTTTTTTCTGAAGGAAAAAAAAACAATTCTATGTTGTTTCTTACAAGTATTTCAGTAATTTTATCTATTAAAGGGATACTCGGGCAAATAGATAACAAAAATATAAAAATAATCTTATGAACTCAAATCACGCTAAAATGACATTGTTTAAAATCCCAGCATGAATTTCTGTAATAAATTCTATATATTTTGGGTTTGAAACGTAAATACATTTATATATAATGAACAAAATTCAGAAGTCGACAGAATCACTGAGTAATTTTAAAACAAATAATGTGATTTGAACAATCTCTGGTGGTTACAATAACAGATGTTGTGGATATTGTATGATTGAAACAAGTCTAAGTCATTCATTTGACATATTTTGTAACATTTCCAAACTTACCGTGACAACTATTGTGAAATCTTAACGCTCTAACCTGACCCACATGGGTCAGTAGGAAATTACCCGCCTACATGACTGAAATACTGTTGGGAAAAGGCGTAAAATAAAACAAACAAACAAACATGGGTCAGGTTAGAAAACCATCATTTAATACTTTATAATGAGAAAAGATTTGTTCCTGTGACTGCCTAATGTATTCATTTAGAGGACATTTACAGAATAATGAATAAAAAAATTGAAGAAAAAAATGAACATTTTGCCTGTGTCTCCCTTTAAAGTGCATCATATCATTGTTTTCAAAGCCTTCTTCAAAACAGCATCCCGAGAGTTATTTATAATGTGTCAGTAAGTTTGTTTCTCAAAATAGAAGATCGGGAAACGAATCAGCCGCTTTACTTATTGGAAAGAAATAGAAAGAGGGTGGACTGTTAGATTATTATTAGAGGTATCAATCCAGGGGTTTTCTTATTGATTGCGTATTTTGTCATCTGCAAATTTCATTTTTCATCTCAATTCTTTTGATTTGACAATTATATGAAACAATTCATCTAAAAATAATATATTCAACCTTTAGAAAAGCTGAAGGCTGCTTTAATATATCTTTAAGAAAATGAAGATAAATGTCATGAGTGCTGAATTAAAAAAAAAAGATAATTGAAAAATAACAAAACAAATTTTATTTTAAAAATGCTTTAGAAATGATTGTGTTTCTTAACAACTTGACTGTACAACTTTGTAGAAGAATATAATTTAAGTAAAGATCTTTTATGACTCTGAAGCTGGAAGAGTTCAATGAGAGTACCAGTAAACATTGTCCAGAAGTTAAAACTAGAAGAACCTTCAATAAGACCTTCACCTTGACATTAAAGTTGACATACTCTTCCTCGTTTGTTGCCAGTTGTGCCATCGTTGTTATAGAGCCACTGTCATGATCGGTGGTATAACCCGTTCATTTAATATTGTCATTGTGAGTTTGTTATTTAATGGATGAAGACGTATCATGTTTTAGTTGACTCAAGGATCTGTCCTTATTCTAGAGTCCGTAAATGATGCCGTTAATCAGGCAACTATAAAATACAAAATGAGTCATGAAATTTTACAAACAATCTGTATAGAACTGTTAGTGATTCAGTATAAAAGAGATAAAACTAAACGCTAAAATCAATAACAACTGCACGCAAAGTGCCAATGATTAGTTCATTTGAATATGACATACATGTATATTCATGTTAATAATTAGGTTGCCTAATACATGGAAATGTGTAAATGCTTTTTTGATGTTCAAACACTTTGATATCTACATGATACTGCTAAGCTATCAATTCTGATTATGACTTAATGTTACACATTGCTATTAAATACTTAAGCATCAGATTCCCTTCTGTTTTTATTTTCTTAATTATTGATTAAATACATTTAAAATTAATCAAAATTACATACTTATGCTTTCTTTTTCACAAATGTAGTGCCAGACTTGTGAGCAAATTTCGTCATTCCAATTTCCCGAGGTATATATTATCTCCACACAATCCTCATTATCATGCGCGTCATTTGGCTCATCGGTCGCCCATTTCGTGTACACACCAGACGCCATATTTCCACTTGATACCCAGACAAAGTCACCTTCAGTCACTGTATCATTCAATCCAATCCAAACTGTAAAAAATGAGTTTAAGCTAGACCATGGGTTATGCATTACACCTCCTTGAAGATTTTTTCAAATAGGCTAGGATCACTTGTTGACTACATTGAAACTGAGGGGCGTGGGTTCAAACCGCAGAAGGGTCAACTTTTTTTTATTTCCTTTTTTCTCTTTAACATTATTTGGGTATATCTCAGATCCCTTATGGAAGAAAAAAGTGTTTGAATTAAATTATATAATTATTGAAGGTAATTATTTGCTAAATAATGCCAAATTTAATAGCAAATATAATACCAGATATTTTCAAAGTTTAATAAAAGAAAAACTACACTGTAAAAGTATTTTATATTTCGCATAATCAACCAATATACCGTGAAGAAAACTTAGGCAAACTCTGAAAACAACCTCTCGTTGTGGTAAGATTTAGAGATATTTTATATAAGGCTTTTTATATAGTGAAATGGTCAACTAAGTGTTTAAAGTCGGTGGGGTAGGGTAATATTTCTATACATATGAAAATCATTTTGTTTAGAAATAATGATTATGCTTGTGTATTTTGTTACGTGAATGATATTATTTGTTTCTTAACACTGAGCAACAGGAATGATGATATTATAGATTAATTGGAGTTTCCTCATTTCTGAAAAAAAGCCCTTCTAACAGCAAACTTTTAGTTCAGAAATATATCCAGATCTCATAAACCACACAGTACATTATATTTAATGCAGGTGACCTTAAAGACACATAACTGTCATATGTTGTCAATTTTACAGTTCCTTATAGCGTCCATTACCCATGGACTACATTAAGGTATTATATCTGATCGGTAATTCAACATATTAGACGCTTATATAAAAAGTGATTTTCACTAAACATTCATTCATTAATCAGTTAACTCAGCTTTACCTTTTACGTCAAAAGTCCAAGATGATGCTGTTTTGTTTTTGTTTTTTTTTGTTGTTGTTTTTTTTTGGGGGGGTGGGGGGTTGCCCCTCTTTAGGATTTACCCTTGGCCGTCTGTCCTCAATTTGTGTCGCATGTAGCTCAAAAAGTATTTGACCTACAGTCATGAAACTTTACAGGAATGTTGATAAGCATGTGTAGTTGTGTGCCTGGGTATTTTTGTGTGGATTTATTTAGTGCTTTAAGAGTTATTGCCCTTGACTTAGTTAAAATTTGCAATTTTCAACTTGTGTCGTACATAACTCAAAAAATATTTGACCTAGAGTCATGAATCCTTACAGGAATGTTGCTCATAATGTGTAGTTGTGTACCTGGGGTTTCGCTTATCCAGTATTTGTAGGGTTATTGCCCTTTGAGTTAGTAAAAACCGTTTCATTATGTTGTGTTATTTTTTCCTTGCGTGGTTGAGTTAGAATCAACCAACTTTACAGGAATAAAGAACAACATCATTGTGAAGCTATGCATCTGGGACTTTGCATGTGGATCTTTTTCAGTTTTGTTAGAGTAATTGCCCTTAACTTAGTGAATAAATTTGCAATTTTCAACTTGTTCATGCATAGCTCAAAAAGAATGTGACCTGTAGGCATGAAAGTTTACAAGAATGTTGGTCATCATGTGTACTTGTGCACCTTGGGGTTCACTTGTGGATTTTTTCAGTATTTGTAAAGTTCTTGCCCTTTACTAAGTAAAAGATTTTAGGTTTTCAATTTGTGGCACATGTCGCTCAAAAAATATTAGATCTAGATTCATAAGATTGACAAAACAGTGGAGTGTTGGGGCGCCTGCTGTGTCCTATGGACACATTTCTAGTTTAAATTTATAATTCTATGAGTATTGCAAGATTTGATACAATATTGCAATTTAAAACTCTAATTTCACTTAATTGTTTATAATATTGCAGATAAAGTAAAACACACCAACACATTGATAATATGTATTGTATCTTTCAGCCTGAATCTCAGGATATCCTTCTTGGGAAGTGGGGGACCTGCACTCTGGTTGGTAACGAGGCTTGTCGTTACTTCTTTTCTTTAAGTTTCGTATGAATTCACAACTTCACACATAAAGGCGAAATGACTTCATCATAAGAATGCGCTTTTAATTTATAAAATGCATCGAAAAGAGGTTTTTTTGGAGCATGTTATTTATCTGGCACATCCCAACAAAATTGCCAGATGTCCAGCATGTGTAAGAATAATGAGAAAAAGGAGAAAAACTTATTTTCTCAAACCGTTTAGCTTCATAAGTATTGAGGCTTATATTAAAACGGTTGTATATGTTAATATTCCTGACCTCTTATAGAAATAGTACATACCATGTTCTTTCTTGAACTGCTGGCACAATTACACCGTAACCTTACAGAATGATAAGTTCATTGTACCAACTTTAGTTATGCATTATAATCATCAACATTTTCAGTTCAATCATGTCTGTCAGAATGATGGCCACTTTTTAGCTCACCTTTACAAAGTGACAAGGTGAGCTTTTGTGATCGCTAAAATTTCGCCCGGCATTCGTCCGTCCGTCGTCCTTAATTTTAATTTAAACAACATCTCCTCAAAAACCACGAATCCAATTTCATCCAAACTTCACAGCAATGTTCCTTTGGTGATCACCTTTTGTTCAAAGAATTTTAATGCCATGCAGAACTTTGGTTGCCATGGCATCCAAAATAAAAACTTGAAAAATCTTCTTTTAAAAAACCGAAAGAGCTAGAGCTTAGATATTTGGCATGAAACACTTTCTAGTGGATATCTACCAAGGTTGTGCAAATAAAAGCCCTGTGGTCAAAAATTATAAAGTAAAAACTTAAAAAGTTTAGTTTTAAAAAACCCAAAGAGCTAGAGCCTTGATATTGGCAAGAAACATCTGCAAGTAAGTGTCTACCAAGTTTGTTCAAATTAAGGTCCTAGGGTCAAAATTGGCCTCATCCCATGCAGAGGCTCATTAATTTTCCTTATAATTATGTATATAATAAAATTGAAAAAAATCATCTCTTAAAAAAACAAAAGAGCTAGAACTTAGATATTAAGCATGAACCATCTTCTAGTGAGTGTCTACAAAGTTTGTTTAAATAAAAGCCCTTGATCCAAAATTGGCCAGTCCTGGGGGTCACTGAGTTTCTTTGTGGGGTCAATATTATTCTAATGTTCATGGACATTTTTTACATTAAGGTGAGCGATTTCATGGCCATCATGGCCCTCTTGTAAAAGTTTTGTCTATGCTACTTTTCTTATTACTACAACATTGTAATACAATTTAAGTCAAACTTTACAGGATTGATATATACCTTAAGGCGCTGTGCATAATTGATGTGTTTTCCAGTTGAATGATTTTTGACTGAGTTTAAGTTTAGTCCTTAAATGAAAAGCTTTTTTTTTGCCTGTTAATGATTTGTGTGTCTCCTACTGCGCAGTTAAGTTACAACATGCTACACAAAAGTTGCGATATATTGGAAACAAACTGGTTAATCACCAATCAAAACAACTGCTTAATGCTTAATTGGCTATCATCAGGCGACACATGTGATCGGTGATTGCTCTTGTTTGTTTGGCTCAAGCAATTATCATGTTAAACAACAAGACACATTGTAATCATTACATCTGTTTCCTACGCTTAAAATCGACTGTATGAAGTTGTTCTCTTCCACACTTGTGATCTCTACCAGGTGTCCTCCCAAATCGATACAGTCTTCCTGTAAAACATATCAATAAACATGGAAACATATGTGAAGCTATTGACTATCAATAACACGGTAATATAATTCAATTGTTTACGTGAAAATCATGCAAAATACTACGATGCGTGCATAATGATAATAGTTTATAACATTTCAGGCGCGTATCTAGGATTTTGTAAGGGTTTATACATATTATAGAATGAGTTAACATTATTTACTGGCTTTCCGGGGCATTGCATGTTTCACTAGTGTCATAAGTTAAAATGAAGACTTTGATGCAATATTATATTTTATATATATTCTAAGTCATGGCCAAAATGCCGGTTGAGACCCTTTATAACACTAGTTCAATTAAACGTTACTTATTGCTCACAAAGCTAACGACAAATAAAACTTGCTACTGAGTCGGTGATTTATAAAAAAGTTATTTGTTCTTTAAGGAAGATATATTTTTGAAGCCAGGTCTTGAAGAAATTGCAATCGAAGCTAAAAGAAATAATAACGTAGATGTTTTATTGTTTAACTGCATTCAGATACTATATTCAAGTACTGCTGGGAAATAAAAATGTCTATTTATCTGATGTAATACTTACCTCAGCTTCAAGCCATTTAAGAACCTTCGTACTGTTGAAATAGCAACTTTCTTGGAAAAAGTACCAATTGCCGGGCAATATTCTAGTAGAAAAAGAAACACATGATAATTAGTCTAAGAGCCCAGGGTCATTTAATCAATTTTTGTCCAAATCTGAAACCTACACCAGAGCAAGCATATACTATTAGTCTCTCTTTACAAAATCCAAATCTTACAAATTTGCTTTCACAACGTTTCAGAATTTAGATGGCATCAAATATGGCCACCGATTTTATGCAAAACGGATATAGATCTGATTTATGGGAAATTTTACAGCTAAAATTATGCTGTTTCGATAAAAAGGTGTACAAACATTTCAGAAATAATAAAGTTATAATGAGATAACAATGGAAATATATAGCTTTTCAGTTTTTGTCCTTTAAAATTGTCAAAAAATATCAAAGAAAAATGCCTTTTATTCACAATTATTCAAATACAGTTACTAAAATAACAAAATATTCCAAGTAGCTACTAACTGTATAATATTGTTTTGTTTTTCATAAATACTATGAGTGTTTTAAGTTGCTATAATAAAAAAAATTGAAGAAATCGCACAATTTGTAAGTTAAAGTGGGTGGGTGGGGTAATTTCACCCAAAATCAGGAAAAAAAATCGCTGAACTATGTTTATTGTATTTCTCTGCTTTTGTTTTTTACTTTATATGTGATTTCATGTAATTATTCTCTATTTTCAAGTATTTTTCTTTATTTCTTAAGGTAGGATAGGTGGGAATAAATTTAAAAACTGCACATGTGCAGCGAATTACAGAAATATTGAAATATACTCATTATAATAATTTCTCTTAAGTTGACATTTTTTAACAGAAAAATAAATTAGTTATTTACAGTAAATGGAGATTTTTTAAATATTAAGGTATATTTTTTTTGGGTAAATTTGAACTTTAATTAATATTTCCTGATTCGATCTTATGCTTCACGTCAATAAGTTAGCATGTTTAAAAGTGTCAATCTAAATTATTACAAGTTTTGTAATTGTATAAATTTCGTACATTATTATATTTAAGTAAAACATAATTTCTTCAAGTTTAGGTGGTGAATGAAATATTTCAAATTGGCTAGAATAGCATTTGTTGTTCTACAGAAAAAGACAAAACAGCACAAGTATGTCAATTTGTAATGACATTTTTATTTGCTGATAGTATTAGAACATGTATAACAGGATACATGTATAATAATATTCTAAGGCATAGGGTGTAAAATTTACATGAATAATGTTACAATACTGAATACAAATATAGTAGATTTTCAATTTTCGTTTTATATGAAAAGTTACTTATTTTAAAGATAGTCTAAGTAGAAATCAACAAAGCATACCTTACAGGAGTTTATATCTCGCTTTCCTTTGTGCTAGCCTAAAACAGGCGTTTACTTTTCAATATTAAAAGTATCATTAAAACAAAACAAAAAACATGAAAATATAAGACGACAAAAATGTAACATACACCAGGCCAACAAAAATGTGTTGCTTTTTTTAAATGACTAGTTTTAAAAAAAAGGTATATGTTTAAATATGATGATTAATCTTATTTAAGAAAAATATCAATCTAATGAGAGGCCCAAATGATAAAGTTTTCTGGTTTTGCATTGTATTAAAAATTAATTTACATAGATGTACTAAAACTGTTGTAGACACTTTAGAAAATAAGCTGTTATAGATTGAAATTGAGAAATGGAAGCAAACTGTAAACAGAGTTGATTCAGCAAGAGGTAATGGTTGTAATAAGTTGAGATCTTACAGACTTATAAAGTCTCATTTTGTAACTGAACACTATGTTAAAGAACCACTTCCTTTTCATTTTCGAAGTGCTATGGCAAAATTTAGATGCGGTGTGGCACCGATTAGATTAGAAACTGCGGTATGAAATCTTAATTGTACATGACAGAACTTGTTTCAATTGTTTAAACTGTAATTGAAGATGAAGAACATGTTTTACTGGAAATGTCCATTCGTACACCTCCATAAAGAGAACTATACACACAGAGTAGAAGAGTTTTTTAATGGGTTTGATAATTTATCTAATAAGGAGAAATTTTGTATATTATTCACTGATGTAAAACATAGTTAAATATACAGCCAAAGCCTGTTTTAACATTTTAAAGGAAAGAAAAACTTTACTGTACTGTAAATAATATAAATGTCTTTTTTAATAGTACAGTGTGTTTATTTTAACATTTGAATTGTATTATTAGTAGTTGTGGGTATTTAAGATTAGAGTGTTGTGGATCTTACAGATGAATTTATTTTATTATTATAATTTAGTATTTTAATTCTCTTAAATTTCATTAGAATTGTTTTATACATCAGACTAGTGAATTGGTTTTTATATATAACTTTTAGACACATTAGTAGGAATATGAAAAACTTAAAATGATAGATCCACAACATTCCCAATTCATTTATTATAAGTGTGTATAGTATATAAATCATATAAGTATGTAAATATGATTTTTAATTATATTTACCTATAGATGTAAGCTTTGCTTACACGTCTCTTATAATTCTATACTGAATGGCATATGAACTTTTACCAGTTTTATTCACTTTTATTGTGATATATATGATGTACATGTGATGAGACGTAAATAAAATATTTGAATTGAATTAAAATGTCAACATTAATTAAGGCTGTTTAGTAATAAATTTTGATTAAAAATAGATGTATAAATGGCAGGCATAATTAAAATGTTTTAATTTGATATTTGAAAAAGGTATATCAGAAACAAAAACAATTATTGTTTACAGCAAACCTAAAACTGAGTCGCCAAATTTGTTGTAAATGCAGTTAGAACGAGAAATTCAGATAATTTTTTTTAACAAATATTTGTTTACATGTATTATAACCCTATTCCATGATTTTCCAGATATTTCACTTGTGATCCATATGGTGACATGGAGGCCCATTTGGAGGGGTGTGTTGATTCTGTTCATACCAAAATTTGACTTTGTTTATAAGTTTTAAAACATGTCACTAGTTTTTTAAACTAAATTTTTATTTTACATTAGGCATTTTAGCTTTCTAACTTAAATATTTATTTTATATAGATTGAAGTTACAAGCATGATTCGTCAAAACCCACCTGAAGGCTTTAGTATTGACTATAAGAACCTAGATATCTAAAACTTATCTAACAACTTGTAATTACCTGTTCTCACAATTAGTTCCTGTATATCCGGCGACACACGTGCACATATAATGGAGTCAACGCGGTCTGTACATTTTGGCCCGCGTTCTTACATGTGATCAATATATTTGCAGGCTCGTCAATATCTGTTTAATATAACTAATAAATGAGTATTTTCTTTGGAAAAAAACGTTTTCAAGGGGTACGAGACGATACCTTCGGATTTATAAATTAAAACAAATATTTGTTTACATGTATAATAACCCTAAATTCCATGATTTTCCAGATATTTCACTTGTGAATCCATATGGGTGACATGGAGGCCCATTTGGAGGGGGTGTGTTGATTCTGTTCATACCAATTTTTGACTTTGTTTTATAAGTTTTAAAAAATGTCACTAGTTTTTTACTAATTTTTTATTATACATTAGCATTTTAGCTTTCTTAAATTAAATATATATTCTATATAGATTGAAGTTACAGCATGATTCTCAAAACCCACCTGAAGACTTTAGTTTTTACTATAAGAACTAGATATTAAAAACTTATCTAAAAACTTGTATTACCTGTCTCACAATTAGTTCCTGTATATCCGGCGACACACGTGCACGTATAGGAGTCAATGCCGTCTGTACATGTTGCCCCGTTCTTACATAAATCAGGAGTGCACTCGTCAATATCTGTTTAATAGAAATAATAAATGAGTATTTCTTTTGCAAAAAAAAAATTAAAAAAAAACGTTTTCAAACAAACATTTGAAGTGGGGTAAACATTGTTTACTTTTTCGTGACCCCCCCCCCCTCCCTTTGTTTACAGTTCTAAAAATTGTCATTGAACCACAAAGTGGTTAATATGACTCCCCGTCAAATCTATAAACATAACACTTAGACCATTCTTAACTTAATTTGTTAAATATCAACTTAATAAAAGTCTCATTAGGTAATAATTATAAAGTGACATCTCTTTATATTTTCTGACTTTGATTAATTATTCAGCATAAAGAAACATCTTTTTCTTTAAATTATAATTTAAAATAAAGTATTTCGTTTATTTTATTTAATATAGGTCAAGAAATACTAAAAGACATGCGATTGTTCCACATATAAGTAATTACACATACCAGTGTCACAATAAGTTCCTGTATATCCGGGACTAACACGTGCAAGTGTAGGAATTTACACCGTCATTGCATGTTGCTCCATTTAGACACAGGCTGCTCATACAGTCATCAATACCTGTTGTTCAAAAATATTTGTGCACAACATTTGAAAATATATGCTCAATCATGGCTTAACATGCAATCATATATGTTCAAATTATGCAAAAAATATATGTGCAACAACATGCAAGAAACAAAAACTTTCTTTCAAAACATGCAAAAATATGTGCACACAATAAGTATAGCAATCATCAGGGGAACTATTTAATAAATGGTACTTAGGTAAGGAAAAGTCGCAGTGTGCGGGTTAATCCGATCTGTTGTTCAGATCTATATAAAGGACAAATCTTTATACGAGTGTTCGATTGTGTACAAAAACAGTAAGTGGGCAAATTGCAGTTGTTTTGAACTAATCTGTATTTGATGCGCCCTTTGTCATGCCTACTTAAAAAGTGGCTCATTCACATTTTGGTGATCTGTTTATATGACAACCCTCGACCACTTCCGTTGATGAAGACATCAACTGGTGATGAGACATCAATCAAAGCAAGCAGGAAAAAGGTATATACATTTATAAAACATCCGATTTTTGAAAAAATATGCTTTTTTTCAAAAAGGATCGAAGAATGCTTTGCCACGTAGAACATTTTTCTCATCAGTTTGGGATGCAGTTTCGAATACGAAATGGGCCCCAAAATGACGTTGCTAAAACTTTTTTACCAATTATCAACTCGTAAATTTAAACCGCTGAACATGTTTTGAAAATTACTTGGAGGCGATCAAGGTCACATTTAAAAGTCAAGTTTTAAAAGGGGTACATTATTTGTGTCCACTGACAATAACTTGCATTGTGTACCTGAAGATAATTAGTTATAAAAAAATCAATAGAAGTGTAAAACCAGTTCATAATTATTATTATTAAAATTTTAAGCACTGAAATTTTTAAAAGAACCTTCTTTGAGGTCCAAAACCTTAAAGACATAAAATTTGAAAATCTTACATAAAAAAACTGGGGAATCTAAAATGGTTATATAATTATGAAGAAATTCTTAAGCCTAATTTGAGTTTTAATTTTCATTTTAGGTCATTTTGCTCAATAAAAATGACAACTAGGAAAATTTAGTGAAAAAAATTTCTGAAATTTTTGTACATAGTTTTGGAAAGATCTACATAAAAAAGGGCAAAAATACTTGACGAAAAATTTCGACCCCTCCATGTTAAAAAAATCCCCCTGCCGAGTCCCTTAAGCATATCATAATCCCCTTTAGAATAAATGTTTAAATAGAATACCTTTGATAATTTCTATATCTTTAGATATTGACGCTATTTCTAAAGATGTATTGTTGACATCTTGTCTTAGTTCTTCAAGTTCTGTTTCTTGTTTTCTGTTTTCTTCGTTGATAAGTTTTATTTCTAAAGATTTATTATTAATCTCTTCCTTGAGAACTGCTATCTGTTCAGTGTGAAGTTTTATTTCTAAAGATTTATTATTGATCTCTTCCTTGAGGACTGTTATTTGTTCAGTGTGCTGGATTTTCAAGTTGTTAAATTCTGTTCGAAGTTGAAGCAGACGTACCATTAACGCATTCAGATCATTTACTCCACAATTATCATTGTTGGCAAGAAACACATTCAAGTTATCAATGATAACGATTATAAAGAGAACAAATTTCATTTTTCAATAAAGTTTGAAATAACGATGTCCGTTTATAACCAACAAGAATAACGTCCGATAATAAACTATTATTACACTGGAGTTTGAAACCAGATTTATTGTATTCACGGTACAGTTAACTCTATATACCATACACACTCTAAAGCAAGCCCATATCATACTTTATAAAATTATATCAGAAGATAATACATGTATTGCTGTTCTTTTCTCGTAAACACCTTATATGACATAGAGAGAAAAAGAAATTATTTCATGTAAGGAAATAGAGAGAAAAAAAAATTATATCATGTAAGGTGCTAGATAAAAAAAAAGAAATTATTTCAGATACGACGTGAAATTTTGCTTTTGTATCAACACATTCAGTTAAAGGTGATAATGAAATTTAATATACAATGTAGTTATAACTTTTTAAAAGTCCTATAATTTTGCCATTTTATAAAGCTTCCAATATTTAAAAGAAAAAGTAAAAAAAAAAGAAAGTAAATCCATTTGGTCTAACACGACTTTTACTCGGGTTTTCATTGTGATTTAAGAGGAAAGAAATTTTAAGAAATGTGTGAAAAATAGAATTTAAGTTCAGTATTTGAAAACATGGAATCATAGAAGTCAATAAATCTGGGCGTGCTGGCTTAGCCTGGTCTGTATTGGCTGCTTGGGTGGTTGTGTTGGTAGTTTTCACTCTGGATCATGGCTGATCCGATACTTCGGAACCCGATAATTACCGGCGAAACTGAATATTCAGATGTCTTAGGTCAATGTTGCCAAACAATATCATTTATAACGAATGTATATATTTGGCATCCAAAGGAAAATAAAGCCTACTTCGGTAAATTTCCTGACTGACAATCAGAATTAATTTTAAAACACAGTTTACTTTCATATCTTTAAATTTATTTAATTGTGACTAATTAAATACCTTAGTCATCATTAAGCATATACTTACTATTTGTTTACATACTAGTATTTAGTTTCGTAGCGTATGTGAGACCAAAATGCCGTAACCCTTCTGTGCATGTTTTGTAAGGTCCGTGTCCGAAGTTTTTTTTGTGCAGGGTTGTCGATCGATCGATTGATTGATTTGTAAATAATGTTTCAATGTTATAGTTAATGTCGTATTAACAAATGCCTTAAGCCTCGATAATACTTGTATAGTACCGGTGTGACTAGAAATCCGACAAAACCATAACAACAATGAAAATTACCTATATCAGAATTTAATTCCTAAAAAGAGAAAATGACAAATTTAAAACTTGAACAGGTTTCGCTATCAGTTTCTGTACTTGTAATAGAGCCTGTAAGCGAACAGCATGGATCCTGATCAGACTGCGCGGATGCGCAGGCTGGTCTGGATCCATGCTGGTCGCAAACCCATTATGTTGGTTCTGTCGTTACGTGGCTCAATTATTTTGTCTCACTTTCTACCAAAGTTATAAGAACAAAATTGTTTACAAATAACAGTTTTGAAGTAGGCAAAAAGAGTTTTAAGTATTCTTTTACAGACACATTGTTCTTAAAGAGTATAATAAAGGATAGAAAGAACTTTTATCAAAAACAAACACACATTCAGTGCAGGTACTGTGATAAGTTTTTAATATCTTTTAATTGCGCAAATATATGCTACAGTATATCGACTATATGATCAAATAGACCAACGATTACTCATAACAAATTATTTTTAAAGTGATGAAAAATATATTGCGGCACTATGTCGAAATAAAATGCGCTTCATTTTACGGTCATGTGTCGCAGGTATAAATATATTTCGTCCGTCTGTCACACTCTTTCACTTGTCCAAAATTCAACAAATAGTCGTAGGCCCACACAAATGTGTATCAAACCAAAACGACAGAACGCCTGGCAATGTTTTAATGACTGTAAAATATTGTGTATTTTGACAAAAATTAAACATCAGTTTGCATTTCTGAGGCTTAATGGACCTTTAACTGATCGGTGTTTTATTCCGAGAGAGTCACTGCTCTCACAAACTTCCGGTGACTATTGTACCAGCTGATTTAAGAAAAAAGCCTGCGAAGCTTATCGTAAGTTAGAGAAATGTTGTTCTTGGTTATCAAGTAGATTGTATGATTAATTGTACTATCGCGTTTTCATTCTCGTACTTTTGTATTTCATCACTGTTCACCGTGTTTAGTTACTTTAACGTTCAATCGTGTTTTCATCATCGTTCCATCGCCGTTCCGTTGTCTTCATCTTTCACCATACAATCACGTTTTAATCATCTTTCCATCGTGTAATCATCATTATTCCATTATCATTTCATCATCGTACCATCACGATTACATTTTTGTACCGGCGTTCCATATTTTCGCGTTTTTATCATCACACTATAATACATTCTTCATTGTGACATCATACCCATCGCGTTTTCGTCAGCGTTCTGTCGTGTTTTCGTCAACATACCATCCTGTTTTCATCATCGCAGCATTATTCATCGTTTGTCCGCCTAAAATTTGAAGAAATCGATATTTAAAATGAACACCGTCACAAACAGACGGAAAAATAATCGATCACATTCTGTAGAGCTAAATAAAGAGATCTAATAATTTTTCTAGCAACTCTGACGAGTTTGCGCAGCCAAAGTCTGGGAATCTGACTACAAGTATATATCCCACAGAAACTGTCGATTTAAGTTAAATGTTAAATTAGTGATATATTAAATATAATTGAAATGTTTGATATAATCTTTGCTCACAGCAGGTTTGTACTTCTTTGTAATTAGCCTCCCTGTCACGAAAGGGAGATGAATCTGCAGTAGCACAATATTAGCTTTTTTGAGTTGTCCCCCTTTAAATATTTCTGTTATGTTTGTAATGTTTTATGTGTTAAATGTATGTGAACATAAATGGAGAAACTATAATAAATACATACAATTTGTGGTCAAGATGGTGATATTTGAACACATGTATATGAATATATAATTATACAAATCGGTGTCGATGTTCACTTAGTTTATGTGATTTCAACGTCCATTACTAAATATTATCTATTTACACAGCTTATACGAAATCTTGTTATGGAGTTTATTAGACGAGAGACAACCCAGGCATGTAATTTTGTTCATATTTATACTAGTTATCTCCCTTTACAATTAAAGTGTCTTTAAAATTTTGTTTTGATTTTATTGCCATCATAAAGTTAAATTTAACTTATAAAGCATTTGTCAGCACGTTGTCTCTTTTTCAAATATAATTTTAATTGAGTATATCTAAATAAATATATGAGCCGCGTCACGACAAAACCAACATAATGGGTTTGCGACCAGCATGGGTCCAGACCAGCGCAGCATACGCGCAGCCTTATCAGAGGAAGGATCCATGCTGTTCGCTATCACTTTCTCTACTTGTTATAGTGTTTGTAAGCAAACAGCATGGATCCTGATCAGACGACTGGTCTGGATCCATGCTGATCGCAAAACCATTACGTTGGTTTTGTCGTGACGCGGCTCATATTATGCTTCCGATATCCGGAGCAATTAAGGTCACTTTCGACTAAAGTTAAATCAGCCATATGGGTTTTTTAGTCATGTAATATTATAATTTATATACATGTCAATCACATACTACATGTATTTCCAATTGTCTGGAATATTTAATGTTCTTATACAGCCATAACCTAATTTACCTCAGTAAAACGTTATCAATCTAAGAAAGAGTTGTTTTTTATGGATCCTTCTGCTAATAAACGAATAAAAATATATTTTTCTCAATGAAAGGAAACGTACAGCATTATAAATTCATAATAAAGATTTATTTCTGACAGGTTATCATATAACACCCGTCTTGCGGGATAAGGTCATAATTTATAATCGTACAACCGTGAATACTGGACAATATAACCCGTCATTAACTTTCATAATAAACCCGAAATACTTGCTCTTATATCTTTTCAGTTCCTTAAGTACCTTGTAATTTGATCATAACAAAAAAATATCGAAAGAAATAATACTTTTTTTCAATCCGTTTTTACTATGTACATAAATTATGTATTATGTACATACTCCTTGTATTCCTTGTTTTGGTGGCGTTTTATTTCTTTTATTATTATTTATTTATTTATTTATTTATTTATTTATTTATTTATTTATTTATTTATTTATTTATTTATTTATTTATTTATTTATTTATTCATTCAGATATTTGTAGTGTGGGGGGGTAACAATAAACACTTAATGAGGTTTATAGATTTATTTTTAGAATAAAACCTGTAATAAAATATAACAACAATAAGACATTACATTACAAAACATTATTTTATAAGACAAATTCATTTTACAAAATACATAATACAAAATATTATACAACAGTTTAAATTACATACACTTTTACAAATAAATAAATAAATACATACCAGACTTGATAGAAGAGATTTTTTAAAATAAATAATTATGGATAAGAATAAATTTATTAAGAAAATTTGTCTTAATTTAACCTTATTTACATATAAAAGATTTATATAAAGTTCCCTTTTTCCCTTTTTCACTTTAGATTAGTAGCCTAAATTAAAACTAAATCATAACAATGATTATTCTGTGTCATATATTTCGAACTCCCATTGCTTTTTTCTCTTGTTTATTAATGTGCACAACATGTTATTGCAGAATTTCATATTTTGTAATCTATGTTTTCAAAAAAATATATATAAATTATATTCTATTCTGTTCTGTACACATTTCCTAAACTAATGTAGAGTAAGTGTGAAATTCCTTATCCGTTGAATTACATTTGATAATATTCAAAACGCCTTACGTCTACAAAAAATAGAGTGAAGAAAAGGAGAGAACAATCAAAGTAGTATGGCGCGACGTCGTTTTGCGCGAAATAATGACGTCACGTTAAAAACAAACAAGTAAAGTACCGGAAGTAGTGATACGGATAAGCCATGTTTTACGTCACGACATAAAATGGAGTAAAGCTGTATAATGAAAGCATGACAACTGCCTTTATATGTCACATAATTGTCATACTTAGTGTTTGCCGTCTTAATTTGGGCGATGGGAATACAAGTAGATGTAAGCAATTTTTTTAATTATGTAATGATCTATGTAATTTCAATTTGAAGCAGCTGTTGTTGTTTTTTTTCCCTTTTCCATAAAAAGGGCTGTAAAAAACACAGATCACAGTTTCTTTCAAATAGATATGCAGGCTTGTTTAAAAAAGGTTTAAATAAAATCCGAAACAGTTCACAAAGATATCTGAGAGAGATAGGCTATCATTAAATGTTCAAAGTTCTAAATTAGATCTACTTATTTGACTTTTTTTTAGATTTGGAAAATGGCAAGTTACGAGATATAATAATGTGTGCATGTATATATCACATACCCGTGCCGCTATTCCGACTCGTGCATATATTTTCAAAGTGATGTAATCGTTAAACCACACGTTATTTATTTATTTATTTATTTATTTATTTATTTATTTATTTCTACTTTTACACTTATTTAGGATATGACATGAAATAACATTATGATACTGAATTTATTGACTTCTTTGAATGAAGTAATATTATGCTCAAGTAATATCATTTTAATCAACTTGTTAAAAGCCCATTATGCCCAAGACAAGCTATTACTTTTAATATTTCAAAAGATTTCTATTTTTGGGGGTCATTTTGTAGTTCCTGAAAAGAAATACTCGTTTGCAAAATTACCTTAACCATTTTTTGCTTCTGTTAGTATAGTTAGTTATACTGGCATGCGAGCAGTTCCCGTACAAAAATCGTAGTCACTTAAACATTATTTTTTATTACGCTCACTCACCAAAATTTAAATGTTACACATCACTATTCGGCTCGTCACACAAATCATGGAAATTCCATCATGTTCTAAACATAGAATAACCCTTAGTTATGAGGCCTCATATGGGGTACCGAAATTATCCATTATTTTGTATGAAGAGAAGTAGTTCCCGTACATAAAATTTAACCCATTATAATTATACAATTTTGTTATATCGGACCTATTTTTCAATTATAATTGTTGAACAGACCATTTTCTAAGAGATAAATTGATGTAATTCAGGAAATAGAGCGTAGACTAAACGCTGGTATCTATTACCCGGTACCGTTACCCCAACGCATTCTCATACAATGGCATGCTTGAATGCATGATATTTTACGCATCAAAGCCATAAAATTATTTAATATAGTAATATTGATCAAAATTCTGATAATTAAACAAGTTTTCACCACATTGCCTACTTATCTGTAAACAGGTGGTATTAGTGGAAAACCCTTTAACATGCCTCACGTGTATTTTAGCGCATGCGCGCAAGGCGGAATCCCCCAGAGAAAACAAGGTCACGTTTTGACAACGCACATGTGAAAGTGATTTAAAATGAGACTTTTATACGTACTGCCGAACTGACACTTAGATTTTGTCTCTTTTATGCATCTGCTTGATTTGAAATGAATTTTTGAAGATTGCAAGTAAAAATCAAGCGTTTAAATGAAAAATACGGGTACTGCTTCTGTACGGGAACTGCTCGCATGCCAGTAGTGATTTAGTATTTTGTATGGAAGTGAAAATACTACTTTGTTTACATTATTTTATTTTAATGACAAATAATTAAGAAGAAAATATATATTCGTTTCTGGGGCATAATGCGCCTTTATAAATATATTCATTTTGAAACAAACATTCAATCTTGTTATAAAGTGTCGCCATTCATTTTCAGTGTCGTGCCCGACTGGTTATGGCAGGTTTGAACAGCACTGTTTCTATATAGGCAAGTTCAACGAAACGCTCGTAGACGCGGAAATGAGATGTTTAAATACTGGAGGAAATTTGATTTGGATATCTGATTTGGAAAAAAGTCGTCTGGTCAACAGGTACTTACAAGGTCAGTTGTTACCTTTTAAGGCCCCTATATCTACTTAAGCACTTGCAGAATAATGAAAAAAGTAAATAAAATTACCCAATTTATTTATGAAATGTCGCTATTTCTGTTTTTATGAAATTTATAATTGTAGTCAAGAAACATTGGCTTATCTTAGAAACGTGGTAACACAAATAAAGTTGAAAATATTTACTTTATTTAGAGGTTAATACTTGCTTGCTGCTCGCCATGAGTAAAAATCATAATTGTCTTATATAAATACACATTTAAGGGTCCATTATGCCTCATAAAGTATTATTTCGCAAAAGTTTTAAAATATCTGAAACGTTACTCATTGCCCAATTACCTGAACGATTTTTTTATCCGCTTCTTTTTGACGAGAGGTAAAGAGGGAAGTCAAAATACTACTTTGTTTTCATGTTGCTACTTTTGTGAAAAATTATTTCACATTGATCGCTATTATCTTTCGGTAACAAATATCTAACATTATCTAAAACCATGATTTAAACATGATAAAAATTGATGTTTGTCCTTTCTAAAGAAGTAAAATTTATTTGTTCCCTATGTATAATGTGCCTTTAACGTAAAAATGTAATACATGTATTTTGGGGAACGAGACTGATTCAAATTATTCTGAGATATGTTTTTTTATATTCTAGAAAACAAGAAAAACATCGCTCATGCATTTCTGTATGGTTGGCTTGGACCGCTTCCACAAAACATTTCTGATATCGCATGGCAAGGCAGCGATACTAGAGCAACCGTTATTATCAACAAAATTCATAAGCCACCGTCCTTTAATCATACCATAGATGGAATTAAGGCAAAAGTTACAATAGCCAGAGGAGGTCCCAAATTCAAACAACCACGTTTGAAGGCATTCACATTCTGTGAATCAGAACCCAAAATTTCAAAGATTGAAATTGACCACTATCTTCCAAAAGCGACACAAAATGAAATGTTAAACTTATCTAAACGAACAAAACGATCGACAAGACGTCATACGAAAAGACGTAGTTATAAGAGGAGAAGAACGCCAGCGAGACGATCTGGTAGAAGAAGGCAATATCGAAAGAAAAAGGGACGAACGCCAGCGAGGAGATCTGGTAGAAGAAGGCAATATCGAAAGAAAAAGGGACGAACGCCAGCGAGGAGATCTGGTAGAAGAAGGCAAAATCGAAAGAAAAAGGGAAGAACGCCAGCGAAGAGATCTGGTAGAAGAAGGCAATATCGAAAGAAAAAGGGACGAACGCCAGCGAGGAGATCTGGTAGAAGAAGGCAAAATCGAAGGAAAAAGGGAAGAACGCCAGCGAGGAGATCTGGTAGAAGAAGGCAAAATCGAAGGAAAAAGGGAAGAACGCCAGCGAAGAGATCTGGTAAAAGAAGGCAAAATCGAAGGAAAAAGGGAAGAACGCCAGCGAGGAGATCTGGTAGAAGACGGCAAAATCGAAGGAAAAAGGGAAGAACGCCAGCGAAGAGATCTGGTAAAAGAAGGCAAAATCGACGGAAAAAGGGAAGAACGCCAGCGAGGAGATCTGGTAGAAGAAGGCAAAATCGAAGGAAAAAGGGAAGAACGCCAGCGAGGAGATCTGGTAGAAGAAGGCAAAATCGAAGGAAAAAGGGAAGAACGCCAGTGAGGAGATCAGGTAAAAGAAGGCAAAATCGAAGGAAAAAGGGAAGAACGCCAGCGAGGAGATCTGGTAAAAGAAGGCAAAATCGAAGGAAAAAGGGAAGAACGCCAGTGAGGAAATCAGGTAAAAGAAGGCAAAATCGAAGGAAAAAGGGAAGAACGCCAGCGAGGAAATCAGGTAAAAGAAGGCAAAATCGAAGGAAAAAGGGAAGAACGCCAGCGAGGAGATCTGGTAAAAGAAGGCAAAATCAAAAGAAAGGGAGAAAAGGAAATTCTGTGAAAAGAAGAAAACCTAACAGAAAAAATAGCAGAAAAGTTAAAAGAAAACGGATTCCGAAGCGTGAAAATAAGAAACCCAGGAAATCTACCACATTTAAGAAGAAACCATTATATGAAAAATATAATAAAGGAAAACAAACTTCAAGTCGTAAAACAATATCAACCGGAAGTAAAAGAAAACAGACACGAACAGTCTTGACACCTATTAAAATAACACTATACAATGATAATAAAAGTAAAACAAGCGATAAAAAGGGAGCTAAGGCACCGAAATCGAATCGAAAACAGGAGGAAGAATTGAAATTACTCCATCAAATACTTGACTTAGAAAAGGGTAAAAAACAAAAGGTGGGAAAGATAAAGTTAAATGTGAAAAGTAAAAAGGTTAATCCAAAAGTCATTACAAAAATTCCAAAGTCCAAGGGTAAATCAGAGTCATCGAAGGCATTAGAAACATCACAGCCCGTCAAGGGAAATGAAAATGATGGTTTTGGTCTGTCTAACATTATACCTAAAAACAGGTAAGCATTTAGTTAATCTATATAACTTCTCTACTCCTCCTCTCTGTGAATTATAATTGTGAGAAAACGCCTTTTAAATCTGCGTGTAAAAATGCATGTATGCTTATTATGAAAAGTTGACTTTCTCCTATAGAACCATCTACATGTACATATATATAGTGTGATCATTTTATAGAGGATATTGAATGAGTGTAAGTTCAATACTGAATTTATTGAACGAGTTGAATAAAATTATTTTATTAGAGCCTCTGGCGAGCATAATATTATTTTATTGAACGAGTTCAATAAATTCAGTAATGAACTAATACGAATATAATATTCTAGTTATCACATATCCAAAATAAAAACTGTTTAAATCGCAAAAGAATCAGTTTTCAGTGACGCGCCTGCATTGTTACGCTACATTTAGAGCGTCTTGACACTTTGTTTGTGACGTCACTTTAAAAGATATGCCCGACCAATTTTGCAATACCATTTTTTATGGAGTTGCAAAATCAGCACGGGAATGTGATAAAGTGTATTTATCACATACCCGTGCCGATTTTTCGACTCCGTAAATATAGTATTGCACGGCCGTGCATATATTTTGACGTGACGTCATTTGCCTTATACAAAAATAGTGTAAAGACGCGCTAAATGTATCGTTTTACTATAGGCGCGTAAATGAAAAATGACGCTTTTTCACTTTAAACAGTCTTTATTTTTGGTATGTGATAAATAAAGTATTAAATTCGTGTAAGTTTATTACTGAATTTATTGAACTCGTTGAATAAAGTAATATCATGCTCGCCAGAGGCATAACATAATTATATCTAACTCGTTCAATAAATTCAGTACTTACACCCATTCAATATCCTCTATTTATCAAATACCTGTTCCGCTTTTGCGACTCCGTAAAATTGGTACTGAACGGCCATGCATATATTTTGACGTGACGTCGACGCCCTAATTGTTAGCCAGAGGCTGGCATATGCTCGTCATTGAAAACTGAGTTTTGTTTTGGATATGTGATAAATAGAATGTTATAATTATTCGTATTAGTTCATTACTGAATTTGTATGATTTTATTCAACTCGTTCAATAAATTTAGTATTAAGTCTACACTCATTCATTATCCTCTATTAATTTACTCGCTTCGCTTTGAATGTAAAACTTTTAACCCTTACACGGCTGGAACCGGTAGTGATTAACCTATGTTACTCACAAGCATAAAGCCAGGCGAGCGCATAACAAATTTGAATTTCAATACCTTCGACATTGATAATAGACAGTTCACAAAAAATAAAAGCTTCTTATTTAAGAATTTTAGACTATCTGGACTGTACTGGTGACATAATACTCGGCTGTGTAGACTTGCTTGACTGTACTTGTGTCATAATACTCGGCTGTGTAGACTGACTGGACTGTACTGGTGTCATAATACTCGGCTGTGTAGACTGACTGGATTGTACTGGTGTCATAATACTCGGCTTTGTAGACTGACTGGACTGTACTGGTGTCATAATACTCGGTTGTGTAGACTGACTGGACTGTACTGGTGTCATAATACTCGGTTGTGTAGACTGACTTAACTGTATTGGTGTCATGACACTCGACTGTGTAGACTGGCTTGACTGTTCTGGTGTCATAATACTCGGCTGTATAGACTGACTGGACTGTACTGGTGTCATAATACTCGGCTTTGAAGACTGACTGGACTGTACTGGTGTCATAATGCTCGGCTGTGTAGACTGACTGGACTGTACTGGTGTCATAATAATCGGTTGTGTAGACTGACTGGACTGTACTGGTGTCATAATACTCGGCTGTGTAGACTGGCTGGACTGTACTGGTGTCATAATACTCGGCTTAGTAGACAGACTGACTGGACTGTACTGGTGTCATAATGCTCGGCTGTGTAGACTGACTGGACTGTACTGGTGTCATAATACTCGGTTGTATAGACTGTCTGGACTGTACTGGTGTCATAATACTCGGCTGTGTAGACTGACTGGACTGTACTGGTGTCATTATACTCGGCTGTGTAGGCTAACTGGACTGTACTGGTGTCATAATACTCGGCTGTGTAGGCTAACTGGACTGTACTAGTGTCATAATACTCGGCTGTGTAGACTGACTGGACTGTACTGGTGTCATAATATCGGCTGTGTAGACTGACTGGACTGTACTGTTGTCATAATGCTCGGCTGTGTAGACTGACTGGACTGTACTGGTGTCATAATATCGGCTATGTAGACTGACTGGACTGTACTGGTGTCATAATACTCGGCTGTGTAGGCTAACTGGACTGTACTAGTGTCATAATACTCGGCTGTGTAGACTGACTGGACTGTACTGGTGTCATAATATCGGCTGTGTAGACTGACTGGACTGTACTGTTGTCATAATGCTCGGCTGTGTAGACTGACTGGACTGTACTGGTGTCATAGTACTCGGCTATGTAGACTGACTGGACTGTACTGGTGTCATAATACTCGGTCATAAACCATTTTGTATTGCCAGTATACTATATGTTAGTATTTAATTATTGTTGTTTTTTCTAATATATTTCAGCTTCCTCATGTCGCGAGGATCACCAGGGGTCGTGACTGTTGATTTAACCACACTTGCTGTCCTACTAACTGCTGTTTTCTTATTAAGTTAAAAAAACATAGAATAACATTCAAAATCACTGAAAATATTTGTAAATAAACATAATAATTTTTCGTTGTGTATTTGTATACAATTATTCCCAATGTTAAATTGTTTATTTGTTTACGGGCTCGAATCCTCCTCATACCGGAAGGCCCAGTCGACAGCGAGCGTTACAGTATCGCAAGTATGTTCAAAAGTATGATCGCAATCGGAACACCGTGATTAATATTCATACTCATCTCGGAGTTAATACAGATTGAATGTAGTTCTACTACGCGACGACTGCAGATGAAAATGAAAACAGAGGTTGTACTCTTTGTACGAGTAATGACTAACCTGTGTATTTGACATTTAACTGGGGAAAAAAGGCAATTTCAGTAAAAAGTCTTGATTGAAAAAGTGTCTGACAATCAGTGTCAGTTTAAGAAAAGCCCGTTATCAACCATTTGTAGGCCAGATCTATCATCAACATGTATACAATAATATAATACTGGCTGGTCTGCTAAAGCAAAATTAAGAAACGATAGGTTGAGCTACATACCGCCCATTTCTTAAAACAGACTGACATGGCCTACAGTACCTGTAAGCATTCATAAAAACTAACATACTTTCATCGATGCTTGGAACTACCACATTCTAATATAAATATCAAAACAAGCTTACCTCGATCAAAGCTCTACGATTTTCCAGGATTTCCCATCAACTCGATATCGGGAACGAACGATGTCGAAAGACTGCCACTGATTCGGACAATATTTCATCCACACGATACGTTGTCACAGATAAATAAAAGTAGATATCGTAGAAAATAGCTCTATGCTCATGAATAAAAGGAAGAACTACACTTGGATTAATTAATGAGCTTCTAAACGAGGTTTACACACAATTCTACCAGAAAGTCTTACATCTCTCACGGCCCCGTCCGAAAACTACCTGCGCATGCGCAGAACGTAAAATCTTCCGTTTCTCACGGGTCTGACAAAATTCACACCACACCGGAAAACATTCAATATTAAACAGGTGAATAATTGATACATAAGCGCCACTTAGACGATCGACGCGGTTTAAACGAAAGATAGGATTCAACATCCCAAATTCATGGATTCGGTTCGGGTTATTATATTTCAAAACAATCGTTTAAATAGGTTCAAATATTTTTTACTTGTTAAAAATCTAATGATATAAACGCCACGATTATCTTATGAAAAACCACTTTATAAACGTGCAGTATCATATAGAGGATATTTGTTTAGTTCAGTGTAAGATCGGAATATATTTCACCGAGTGAGCACCAAAAGGTATATTTCTATAAACCACCGAAAAGCATGTAATAAAAGTTGGTATTCCAGTAATTGAGTATGCTTGTACGTACATGTATCTTAGTATTGTGTTAGATGACTTCTTAGATTATAATGTTACAGCTAAATAATATGTTGCACAAAGTGCTGGTCGTGCCCTGGGCCTCCTCATTGCTAAATTTAAAAATTCCGGTGATCTTCCTTACGAGGTATATACAAAACCATTGCATCTGTAAAAACTAAACTATCGATGACACTATTTTATACCGGAGCTATGTAACACCGCAAAACGCCCGTACCGCAAAACGTACGTATATGGACGTTTCGCGGCAAAAAGGCATAACGTCCATATTTTAAAGTTTATATAATTTTCGTTAATTTTGACCAGTTATTATCAGGTGTTATTTTGTGTTAATTTTAGCTCACCCGAGTATGCGCCTGTCTGTCTGGCCGTCTAAATTTAGCTTGTTACCACTCTAGCATCCACATACCCTAAGCAATATGTCCAAAGTTATCTGCCCTTGAATTACAATATCCGTTATATTTCACATTGTTACCACTCCAACGGTTTCATTTCTTCTTCAATCTTGACAATTTTCAACAGAATAACTATGACCATAAAATCTCAACAAAGTTAGATTATAGGCTAAATCTAACCAAAAAAAATAATATGACTAGGCGGCTAAAAGCGCACCCATCACCACCCCCGCCCCTTCCCCCCCCCCCCCCCCGCGACAAAAGCTCTCTTGCTCAATTATGACTAGGCGACTTAAAGGCCCCATCTCCATGACAATATAGCTCTCTCGCTCAAATATGACTACGCTGTCAAAAGCTCCAATCCATCCCCCGTAAAAATGAACGGTAGAACCAAACCTCCATAGTCAACAAGAACACAAAAAATCATTCCCACTTCTTGATGCAATTATATGAAAAGCTATTGTCAAACGCAAAGCTTAATTTTAATATTTTTTGTCATTAACTCAGTCCAATCCCCGGTTCGTCCGTCCGTATAGCCGTCCTTTCCTGTATGTCTATAAGATTACATTTATTTCAATATCATCGTTTTTATATCTCTGCTGCTGCTGCTTGGTTCCATTCCATAAAATATATATTCGAAAAACATCCTCGTCTTAAGCATATTTCTTTTTTTAAATAAAAAAAGTCAGAATTATATAGGATCACAAATATATTACACTTTAATGTTTATTTCGTCATATCTTTACCTGAAACAATATGAAAGTGACAGAACCAATAAAAGTAACGTTTATAATGAATATATTTTAATACAAAAAATATGGACGATATGCGACGCAAAGACACACTCTCGCCGCAAAACGTACCAAGTACGATATGCACCGCAAAACGTCCACATGGCGACGCAAAACGTCCACACTCGTACGTTTTGCGGTACGGACGTTTTGCGGTGTTACACAGCTACACGAAGAAATGCAAAACGGACATTTTCTTCTTCTCTCAAATGCCTTATCCGGAATACTCTACTTTTATCGTTCAAAAGATCGTCGCTCTACGATAAAATTAAGAGTATTCCGGGTAAAGTTTGTGTGCAGTGACGAAGAAAATACCGGTTTTATATTTTGTTCGTGTAGCTACGGTATAATATAGATTTGGACCGGATTTTCTTTGGTGAGTGTCACCGATCGTTTAGTTTTTACAGATGCAATGGCATTTCTTGCGCAACATTGCATCTTTTTAGCGATTCAGTCGTGGGAAGTGAATCAGATCTTGTCGGATTTCACGTTACCGGCTGTTTCGGTGTCCGTATGCAACAAAATACTTAACACTGCTTAAAATGGAAGATGTCATTTTATACATACATTTATACTCTATTGATCGAGAGAAAGTTTTTTAAAAAAATATATAGAGTTTTGGCTGAGTTATGTCATTGAATATAAACTTGGGTAGAATCAAAGTACTGGAAGGGCGATAGAGTTGCTAACCTTCTATAACTAATACTATAGAGGTATAATGAAAATTGTGTAACGTTGTGTCATATCATTGTTGTTATGAATACTTCATGTGGATATTGACTTAAAAACATATTTTTGGGGGGTTGAAACAGGGACTGGAGGGAGGGGGGTCAGGTAGGGGATAATATCAGATCAATGCGTCTTATCCCTGTGGTCACGTGTGCATTAAGTAGCAAGCACGTGGAAATAAGATATATATGATTGCTATTGTATTTTCTTAATGTGTTACATTCTTTAAATAATGATATTATTCTCATCGTTTTTTTATAATTATTATTATTTATTATTATTATTATTATTATTATTATTATTATTATTATTATTATTATTATTATTATTTTATTTTTTTACTATTTTTTAATTATTATTTTTATAATCGTTATTATTAATAGCAATAATAATAGTGAATGTGGTGCGAGAGAAAATACTTATTACTACTTTCTTAAATGCCCTAAGTATACTAACCTACGACCTGAATCGGTAAGTACATTATCACAACTTTGTAATCCTTCCATCAATGTCATTCTTACTGGTTCCACTACTTTACCTTATGATTCTAATGTATCAATCTTTAAATCAGTTCAAAAATATATCCGAGATACAAAACGATTTTAGCGTACTTAAGACCAGAGATGTCTAAACATATTTGATATTTAATAGATTATGCATCTTTGTTCCTCGTTATTGTTCCATCATTGTTCATCCATTTCTTCCTTCCTTTTTCTTATATTTTTTTTTCTTTAAATATTCAGTGTATATCTATTGTGCGTATCTGCTAATATACAGCTGCTTCTTTTTATTAAATTCTAAAACGAAAACAAAATACACACAAATGTATTAAAATAAGTGGTTGTTTTTTTGTACTTTTTTGGGAATTGCTTTATTCATTAATTTTTTATTTTTTTTCTCCTTTTTACTATTTGCTCTTACATATGTTACATTGTTAAATACGAATGTCTTTGAATACTTCAACTAACCGTTGTGTATGGTAATGCCATGAACTCTGTTATTGTAAAATATTATAACTGGGAGAGGACACTCATAAGCTTTATAGCTTTCCGCCCAATTCCAAAATGTACCTATTGTAAATATTGTTCACTTGTTAAATGTTTTGTTGAATAAATATGTTTAAACCAATAGCAATAATAATAATAATATTTTTTTTATCATTATCATTATTATAATAAGCATTAGAATTAGTATTTGTTTCATTATTAGTAGTATTAGTATTAGTATTAGTGTTATTATTATTAAATACCTGAACACGCAATTATTAAATTATATTCAACAAGGGAAGTAATCGTAAATTTTCATTTGCTTCCGTTCAGACAGCGACGTCATTTGGCGCCAAATAATGACGTCATGTAAAATTAGGACCGGAAATAATGGAAAATATTAGAAACAGAAGAATATAGGAAACAATTTAAGAAAATGGTGAAAGGGACATGAGAATTAGTTTAAACGTACAAGTGTTTTTGCTTTTGTGTATCTGCTGTTTTCATTCAGATGACGGTTTCTCAACAGGGGCAGTAAAGTATACTCTAGATTTAAATTTTTATTTTACACATTTAGATCTAGATCTACTTTACTTTAAAAATTCAACTGTTCTTGAATTAATATACTGTATTAAAAAATTAAAATGCAAGTAAAACATTTACACAGTATTGACAAAAATATGTTTCGTCTTGTTTGGTGAACTTCAAAACTATAGGATGTGAATAAATGAGTAGAAAATCCGACCAGAATAATTATTGTCATCTTTCAAATAAAAAAATATATATACAAATGTACATGACCAGATTATATCTATTATAACTTCATCAAATCAGAAGCCAGGAAGCCGCGTGTGTCATAAAAAATTGTTTTTAAAAATGGGCATATATTTTTCCAAAATAACATGCAAACTCACTTACCTGAAGAAAATTAGTGCGAGAGTTGTAAATATTCATAACTCGGTAGCCATTTTGTCCAGTTGGCAACCAATTTTCTCGCTTGAACCAAAAGTGAAACCACTTCACGCCCTGTCCCTTGATCTAAAACTATCTTATTAAAACATAACCAAATAATTACTGATGATGAAATGAAAAGCTGAAGCTACTGACTGCAACAGATACACCTGAGAAAGTAGTCCCAAAAATAAATGAGTTTTGACTCCGCCCACTTTCATATTCATTTTTTCATACAAAATTATATTTATCTATATTTGGTAGATATGGCATCATTTTTCATGATAGATTTTAAATAATCCCATACTGTATATGGAGAAATGCAAAACAAATCGAAACACGCCACGAAGATATGAAAGAACGTTATTTATTATTATTATTATTATTATTATTACTATTATTATTATTATTATTATTATCATTATTATTATTATTATTATTATTATCATTATTAATAGTATTATTATTATTTTTATTATTAATAATTATATTATTATTATTATTATTATTTATTTATTTATTTATTTTCCTTTTTTAACACTTTTTTATTATTTTCAGTGGAATGCATCGATCACTTCAAAAAGTCCAAGGAGCGAATAAATGGAGAAAAATATAATTATTGCTGGAAATTTGTTCCATTCACTCGCAGTGCGAAATCAGCCAACATTCAATGTCATGGGTATAGGGGACGTCTAGTCGCAATAACAAGCGCATCAAAAGCCAAAAAACTCTCTGCATTTGTTAAAGGTATATATTAATTGGCTTTTAATATATGTCAGTATTTCTATTATTATATGCACGTATATGTACTTATAAATGAAATACTGAGAAATATTGATGAAATAAAATGCGTTTTTTCACAGTAAAAATTTATTTTTCACTGCAGTGAAACATATTTTCCGTGTTTTCACTAGTGTTTTACCGGACTACTTATAATTTCTGCCACAACACTTTGCTACAAATTGAAAGGAAAGTCTTTCAAATCGTAATGTCTAAAAAGAGAAAAATGTATATAATAAACGGAAAAATCATGGGTTTTTTTATAAATACTATGAGGATATTTTTTCGTTTGAGGGAAATATGAAATATATTTTCACGAAACATGATAGATCTAAAATGCCACATATTTTCACGAGCCGGGACGGCGAGTGAAAATATGTGGCATTATCATGTTGAGTGAAAATATATACCATATTTCACGAAAACCGAAAAAATAACCTTTTTATTTAATTTCAATATCAAAGAAAAATTGTTACGAACCCACTTGCTTGCTACGCAACTGCAATTGTACAACGCGCAGTAATATAATTGGCGACGCCGGTGAGCGGCGTCGTCTTTTATGGAATGCTTTTTATTTTGGCCTATGGAAGGAGCTGTTATTATTAGCAGTTAATGTCATCTTGTGTTAATTAGTTTTATTTTGATTCGTAAAAATCAAGTAAACAAATATGTTGTTATATTTGTATTTAATAACTTTATGTTAAAAGCATGACTGTGCATTGTTATTGTCTTGTTTTGCGCGCGATATTTAGCGCTACATTGTGACGTCACGTAATCAACTCTTTAAACGTCTGACAGCGTAAATGACTGAATTAAAGATATTGGTGTTCGGATTAATTTCTTAGATAGACCATTTTCTATCATTCTAGATAGTTTTCAAAGCAAAATTCAACAAAAAGTTGTTTTGTATTTATCAGATTTTTCAAACAAAATGGCGAAAGAAGTCCCTTAAAATAAATATGAGTTTGACTCCGCCCACTTTCATATTTATGTTTCATATTTATTGAAAAAAGTATGAAATATATTTGACTTATATAGCACCATATTTCATGGGTAAAATTAAATAAATGATTTATTTTCATCTTGTGGCATGGAAATTATCATATTTCATACGTGGCTACCGCCACTCATGAAATATTTATTTTCATACCACTCGATGAAGATAAATCATGTATTTATAGAAAAAAAACTTGAAAATCCTCTATTTAATCCTGTCATTAAGGTTATTTGAATGTGTAAAATACTAAGAGGTCCAAAAAACTGCTGACATAGTCCAATGTTGATGGTTCAGCTATTATTATGCGCCAAGTATGCTAGTGACGTCCAACAACATCTCTTGTTTGTGATTTTTTTATCATTATGAATGCACACAAGTGACTTTGCATAGAACTTAAGTCAATAGGTCACTCATTGGTTCCACGAAAATGGAAAATGTCATAAAAATTATATTAAGGCTTTCAATCAAATGCAAAACACATTGAAACACGTGATCGTACACCCATATGACAACGTGTTCAAGTGTTGCCTTATCATGCTTGTAAACTTGTGCTCGTGAGTTTGAAACTAATGGGGGTTGTAACTTTATCATTTGCAGTTTTGTGATACAAATTTTCAATATTCCAGGGTAACCTCCCCTGGACGCTGTATCAATTCGGAATGACCTTTGTTTTATAAAAAAGAAAGAATCTCATATTTTAAAAAAGTCTCTTTCTATCGGAAGAGAGGCGCAAATTGGATATGAACAACAATTACCGACAACTCCGTTATTACGCGCCGATTTGATTGTATTCATTTTCTTAAAAAATCGGTGAGAACAGATGACCTTTATAATTTGAAACTTAAATCGGTATTTGAAATAAATTATTATTCCTCTCTTAAATGAACATTGAATGTTTAAAATTATATTATACATTCAGAATCAATTATAACCCGACACTTACATTTTTCGGTATAAATTCGTTATTTGTAGATTTATATTATTCAAATTTTCAACATTTCATACTTACTATACCAATAATTTGATACAGGTACATGTAGATGCTTCAATGATTATTGTAGATGTTTCCCCTACTTTCAATTTAAGCCGGGACGAGAGAAATTGAGGTCTGATTAACGGATTGAATTTTCCATATACTTAAGACATGGCATCTAAAACTTCATAGCAGCAGTTTATACAAAAATTGGGCTTATATGTACAGCTGACGTTAAACAATAGTTAACAAATGAAACAATTATAATATATACAGACAGATGTATCCGGCCAAGGTCGAGCTGTTTATGTTTACTGACTTCATATAACTTGCCCTGAACTGATGTGAATTCGAAAACCACCAGGGACTTTCCGGAGAACCTATCAAGCTAGCTTCATAATGTCGATGGTTCTCTGCAGGTGCAATATTTTGCCTGAAATAATGAAGAAGGCGCACATGAGGTCCTTGCCTCCAGTAAAGCTAGAATGTAGAGTTCAAGTTTGAAATAAAACCACAAAAAAACAGTCATTACCTAGAGCATGTAGTACTACAGTTTACATAGAGTTAGCTAGCCAAAATGAATTTTGTACTAGAGTTCATAGTCTTCTATATTTTTGCCCAAAAAAATGTAGGGCTGATACAAGAAAATATAAGATATTTTTCAGATATTATTTTAAAATAAGTAATATGTTCATGTTTATCTGAAAAAGTAGTTTCCGCAAAGTAAACGTTCAAAACAAATGCTATATTGGAAATGAAACAACGTATTCTAATATTCAAAAGCAACAAACAGTGAGTGATCGGATTTTTATCAAGTGCAAGTGATTATTCGGTTAAATAGACGTATATTACCAACAAAATCATTGTTGAAAAGACAAAAAATACAACTGCATCGTATCATATTTTATTTCTACTGCGTCGTATTATTTCGTACAAATCAATGTTGTTATTGTTTTGTGGTTTATTTTTTTATTTTGTTTTAGAAAATAAACATCTCTTTTTAATGAAATTTTAATAATGAAGCAGAATTTTATTTTGAAGTTTTATATGGTAAACTCTGAAACGAGTATATAATTGATTTGAAGGAAAAAACGATAGATAAAGCAATATAACATGCGTCGTATCCACAAAACTTCATAAAAATCTATGTCTAGCTTCAAGTTCGCTATAACTTTTGTTTTACAAAATGTATGTACAAGCAACATCACAGACACGAGTATCGGATCTGGAAAGAAAAAATATGACCAGAATTGATAAAAAATAAACCTGTGTTCATCTTAAAAGTGAAAAAAAAATGTAAATTATGACTCGTGCCTGTGAGCAACATATACCGAAAGAAGCAGAAAATGTTGCATATATCTGGTTTTCAGTCATTTCCAACAAAAAGAGTTATAAATAAAAACATACCCTTTTCCTTCCAAGATGGCGGCGTTGTTTTACATTTTGTAGGATACGACGCAGTTCTGATTCCCAGCCCTGAAAACAGTGACTATAACAATATTAATACATACATTTCAGAAATTGTACAGCATGGAACTGGCAGGGGCCGGAAAGTAAAGAAAAAGTTCAAAGAGGTCTGGATCTCGGATATCAAAGATGGTAAATGGAGGGCCAAGGGCTTTAAGGTTGATAAAAAGGCTACGAATGAAGCAGCCATTAAACCGGGAGCACATTGCGTAGTTTTCAATTACGTCACGGCCAAGTGGCGGTATGAAAAGTGTTCTAAGTCATACTACATGATTTGTGAAAGCACCAAAGTAATGTTACCGGATGACGTGGACGCAGGTTAGAACTGTGTTATTAAGAGGTTAATACACGGCAGGAGAGGGCCGGAAGGTGATAATCGGCCCGCAAAATGAATAATGGACCCGAGGGCTTTAGCCCGAGGGCCATTATTCATTCAGGGCCGATTATCACCTTCCGGCCCGACGCTGACGTGTATTAATGTCTTTAATACACTTGGTAGATCTAATAGTACCTACTGTAGCATTTAAAAAAACAACAACAAAAAATAACAAAAACACAATCAAAACAAAAAAACTTTGAAGTTCTTTCGTTGAAATTCTTGTCTACTCTTCTACTGTTCTGGACAGAGATGTTTTCTGTTTGTTATTCAAAAAGCAAGTTTTATTTTCATTTTTTTGGGAATGAATTTGTCGTATTATTTCTTCAAATTTCAATAGTAACAAAAATGTGTTTGTACTAAATACGCTTAAGGTCTCATAATAAAAATAAAGCGATTCGTACTGACAACCTACTTTCACTTTTACAGTTAACTGTTTGATGACGTTAAATGTGACGTCATTGTTTCAGTGTGTGCACGTGCACATGTTCTGCGGGCTGATAACTAGTTCTCGGCCCCGGGCCGCAAACTCATAATAGGTCACGTGACACTCATAATCAGTTGAGATCATAGGCAATTTTGTTACTATATATAGTAACAAGTGTATTAATTGTATTTCCTTTGATTCAAAGTCTATTTAGTCGCAGAAATTAACCCTGTATGGAACTGAATTTCTACAATTTGGTTTAACTATGTTTATATAGAACCACTGACTAGATGAAAGTCTTCATATATTGTGCTTTTAATGAGCTTACAATCAATACTTAGATACAGCAAAAACCTAGAATATGCCTTGAAAATATTATCACGACGCTTCAAACGTTTACAACCCGCAACTTAAGAGTAAAATTTAAAAAAAAAATTAGGAATATTCTATAAGCAACTTTAAGATAGGGAAATTTTGTGTTTAAATAAATATTTTGTTTCATAAGATCGTATAAGATGACTTTACGAACGGTTTTATCTCCTTTATAGAGGACAAGCCATTTCCACCGTCCAGTCTTAAACCAACACCACCTCCGCCTGTTGGAGCCAAACGTAAGTTTTGATTGGGCATTTTATTCTACAACTCACCACATTAAATATGTTTACTCATGGAGATACATATAAGTTTATATATCTGTGGTTAACTATTAGTCTTTACGTTTATTTTCCGATGCATTTAATTAATGCACTATATACTATCGTTTACACAGAACCATTGTGTTGAATTATGTACAAATACATTAAAATGTCAGCATATTATATTAGTGTAAAACAATTGGTCACATAAAAGTATTAGAAGGCTTGCGCTTGTAGTATTGTTGCACAAAGGTTGAAAGTAGTTCAAAAAAAAAAATGTTACTCTTTTTTTTTCCTTAAAATAAAGTCGTGAACATATTTTTTCTGTTATAACTCTTTTTTAAAATAATAACCAGTACCCGTTATTGTAACGGAAAAGGTGGCCTTGTGATAAATGAGTTAGTGCCCCAATCCTGGGATCGTTGGTTTCAATCTTTATTGGATTACAACCATATCTCCTAAGTCGACATCAGCACTGGTTAGTTCCAGGAAGAAAACTGGGAGTGATTCAAATGAGGTTTTACTTTAGCTAAAGCTTTTATGCTGATAAGGTTTATCAATCATTATAATAATCTGTTCAATCCCGGCACATCGTGTCAGGAGTGTTTAGGTTCACCACGTTATAACTAAATTTAAAATTTAATGTCAGACATCGTTCGCCGTTCTTCAAACCTATTCTTTTATGGAGACCTCCGCAGTTTTTCTTTCGGAAATGAACACTTATATTCCTGTACAGCTTCCTATGATCCCCATTTTGAGAAAATGACCGTTAATCATTGACTGAATTTGTCTTTTAAAGGAACTCAGCTGAGTTCAAAAAGCCTTTGAAAAAATTGAGCCGCGTCACGACAAAACCAACATAATGGGTTTGCGACCAGCATGGATCCAGACCAGCCTGCGCATCCGCGCAGTCTGATCAGGATCCATGCTGTTCGCTTACAAACCCTATTACAAGTAGAGAAACTGATAGCGAATAGCATGGATCCTGATCAGACTGCGCGGATGCGCAGGCTGGTCTGGATCCATGCTGGTCGCAAACCCATTATGTTGGTTTTGTCATGGCACGGCTCAAATATTTTCTAAAATAAATCGAAAATCAAGTCTTTGTATTAGTCTCAGTCCAATATGTGAGCCAATCGTTGCAATTATCGGTTAAGACCTACATAAACTGGAACATAAATCTTGTTCTTGTCATGTCAAAAAAAACTCAGTGAAGTCTCTTTAAACAAGCTCTAAATTGAAAGACATGGCTTGTGATTCATTGAAAGTCCTAAGTCTAAAATATATCACAAACTGAGAAAATTTTCGCTTCAAAGTGAATGTCCTAACTTATGACGCTAATGTTAAGACTCCTTTATTTCTGAAACAAAGGTGGCTGATTTGGAACACTTTTGAGCGTCGTGTTGTCGCGAGCCAAACGGCGCACTGTCGTCTTGTCGTCATGCCGCTAATGATTCGCACCAAACGGTGCGTTGTCGTGCGGCGTGTTGTTGCGATATCACATTGGCGATCGGCTAAAATCAAAGGATTGGCTATTTGTATATAAATTATTTATTTCTTTCTTTATTTATTTATTTATTTATTTATTAAAGTCTTATTTATACATGGTACAATATAATATAACATAAAAACATATTATAAGAACATGTATATAGCCATTCTATACAGAGTTACAGGAGACTACAAATGTATAAAGCACATAAATATATATAGCATTTTATAATAATGACAATTTACATGATAAAACTAAGAAACATATGCTCTAATCGCATGTAAAACAAAGGTAAGAATAAAACAGTACGACTTTGTAGTTAAAAGAGGAGCACTTATGTCCAAGCGACATGGCGACATCGCCATTTTGCGTGCTTCACTAACGACAGGATGACATACAACAGTGACAAGACGAAAAGGCGATAACGATATAGCTATCGACAACGCAACGCGCAAAGTGTACCAAATCAGCCACCATAGAATACATCGATGCAGATGAACATTAACACATTTCGGATTGAAGCGCGTGCGATTGTATTTTGTAACTTTTACCTGAAAAATGAATTAAATAAAAGTCTAAAGTCTACTTTTACTACAGACGAAATTTTTTATTGAAAACTTCCGATGCGACGTCATCAAATTTGTTCTTGTTTCAGTGTCCTGTCCTCCAAGGTATTTCGGATATGGCAAACATTGTTACTTCATTGGTCAAGTCACGGAAACACAAGCGCAAGCAGAAACAACGTGTCACAAGACGGGCGGTAATTTGGTCTGGATATCGGATAATGCAAAGTACAACCAGGTCAAGGGAGTTGTTAGATGTAGGTACAACATACATGTATTGTGAATTTCTTATATCAAGGAATGATAACTTTTCAAGTCGTCGCAGTTTGTCAAAACTCTGATAATAGTAAATCAGCAAGGTGTTTTTATTGGTTTAATTTTGGATGGAACATGTAAAAACCTGGAGAGAAAAAAAAATATGTAGCCTTCATTTATTTTTGTACATGTACACATCAATATCAATACTCCCTTGTGTTAGATCTACATGTATATACTACAAAAAAACCCTAATTTTCGGAGGCTGATAATCAAACATCAAAATAGTTTTTGCAGGTCCGGAACTAATATTGTGACCTGAAATTATTCGTTGATGCTCAAAACTGTTAAATTAAAATGAAACATTCCTTCTATACCAGCACACTGTTGTATAATTTACACCTCTTTTCTTCTTTTAAGCACATCGAGGTAAATTCAAGAAAATACTTCACGGCGCTTGGCTTATGCGATTAGAAGGAAATGGCTTTATTATCAAATGGAAGGAATTCGGGACGAATGCGAGATTTCTTTTCAACAAAGAAACTATGCAGTTTCGGAGTAACTTTGAAAAGGGTAAAATGCCAAATTTGTATATCTATGAAGATGGATCAATATATAAATGTTTTAAAAAATGCATGGACGTGGGAGCTTTTTGCGAGTCACCACGTAGAGTTTTAACAGAGAAAGAGCAACAATTAGCTGCAAAGATAGCAACGGAGAAGAAAAAAACAGCTACAGTAAAGAAAACAAATGCAGCGAAGAAAGCAGCGAAACGAAAACAAGCCAAAGCGAAGATAGCAGCGAAACGAAAACAAGCCAAGAAAATTGTGAAAGCGAAGATAGCAGCGAAACGAAAACAAGCCAAGAAAATTGTGAAAGCGAAGAAAACAGTCAAGACAAAAAAGGCAAAGAAAATTGTGAAAACGCATCAAAGCAAGTCACAGAAACACTTAAATAGAAATTCAAAGTCAAAATCCTCTAAACCATTAAAGAAACAGAATAGTTACACTCACAAAGAAAAACCAAAGACACAATATCTTAACAAACCTAAAACTAAAATTGAAGAGGAAACAAGTGTGTTGGAACCGGAGCAGACGAGCCAAACTCCCGCAAAAGCTGATAACGTGACACAGCAGATGAAACCACAGACGACCGATATGAGTAAAGTTAATAAATCTCGTCCGATGAAAAAAGACCCAGATGAAAGCAATGTAGCCGTTAAATCTAATGAGTAAGTTTTACAAGTTTACATTAGTTCTGTAATTGTGCGCTTTGCCTTTTAATCAATTAAAGCGAAAAGGTTGCGCAATTAAATTAGTTTCGAACAAAAGACTATAAATGTCGTTATCTTCATAATAATTATGCACGTGTCCTCCTACTGACTATGTTATATAAAATTTAGAATTTCTTCAAGCTAGTTTCTAGGGCATTGTCAATATTTTGTCCTTAAATTTATGCATGCAAAGGGTGTGTGTGATGTGGCATATCTCAACAGTTCGGACCGACTATATCGGCGAGGAATCAAGACACTTCATTTTGCCTAAAAGACCCCGGATGTGACCTCAGGTCATGATGTGTCCGCATAATAAAAGTCTCGTCGCTATAACTATTACTTATATTTACCATCACTATAATTGAGCCGCGTCATGACAAAACCAACATAGTGGGTTTGCGACCAGCATGGATCCAGACCAGCCTGCGCATCCGCGCAGTCTGATCAGGATCCATGCTGTTCGCTATCAGTTTCTCTACTTGTTATAGGGTTTGTAAGCGAACAGCATGGATCCTGATCAGACTGCGCGGATGCGCAGGCTGGTCTGGATCCATGCTGGTCGCAAACCCATTATGTTGGTTTTGTCATGGCACGGCTCATATATAGTTTATTTATAAATATAATTATAATAATAAATCAATTTATCTATTTCATTTATGTTTTTTTTTTTTTGTTTCATATTTCAGGTTTCTCTCGTCAAGTGGCTCCTCACATCACGTGACTATTTATCAGTATCACATTTTTCTACTAACGTGCATGTTCTTATATGACATAACGGGTCAGTGATCGTCTTTTGATTAATAGAACTTGTAGCCAGAAATAAAATTCTTCATATAAAAGAGCAATGACTTGTTTCTGTTTACTAAGATAATTGTCCTTTAAACTATTGCATATTGCCTGCAATTAGCGTTATGCTTTGTACCAGTACATACTTTGCTATATTTACTGCCTGTTTCACGTGCATTAATACTTTTTTTGTCACACATACATTGTAAAGGTCATATAGCAACTTTCAAGCTTTACTGGTGGAAGAAAACCTTAGGAACCCCAACATGTACTATTTAAAGCACGAACGGACACGTGAGTAGAACTACCGACGGTCTGTAAGATAACTAAAGAGCTTCCTCACATTAGAAATCCAAGTCCCTGATGGTGCTCGTACCCACAGCGGTGGGTCAATGACCTTAACCACATGCACATTTAAGGACAGCAGAACTGCACGAGAAAGACAATCCATATTACAGTCGAGTATGATCCTAGATGACGTTGCTAACGTGCAAACGTCTCACAGTGATTACCTCCCTTGGCAGAATTGTAATCACTGCTTCACAGACGTCACCAATCTCCTACGCAGTGATCTCCCCTTATCAGTACAGAGATCTCTGCCATCACAAACATTGATATATCAATATTTTGATATTTATATTTTTTAGCTTTTTAATTTATTTTTCATTATTTTGTATACTTTTGATAATTTTTTGATAAAATATAACGAACGTAGGTACAAAAAGTTTTAAAAAAAAGAAAGAGAAAAATGACGTTATATTTTCTATGTAACGGTTGATATTTACATTTGAATTTCGACGTTACGTCATGTGACTTTCATCACACGTCATTTTTCTATTTTTTTTTTTTTACTTTTCGTACCTACGTTCGATATAGTTTATCAAAAAATTATCAAAAGTATACAAAATAACAAAAAATAAATTCAAAAGCTAAAAAATATAAAATATCAAAATATTGTCTCGGTAGAAAATATTCTCATAATTTTTAAAATTATTTCTAAATTTTCATATTATTTATTTATTTATTTATTTATTTATTTATTTATTTATTCATAAACAGTGTTTATCAGTGAGAAAAAACTTAACTGATAGATAAAAGCAGTAGATAAAACATTTTTTAAAAAACAAAGTATAGTATATCAGAAATTCTGATATATCGGACCGTGTTGGCAGAGATCCACGCCAAAGAATTAAGGGGAGATCACTGCGTGCAGATTGGCTAACGTGCTGACGGGTACAGAATCTGTCCATTTGACCATTGAAGACCAAGATCTGCCGGTTGTCTGATTATAGACTACACTGTTCGTTGATTAGTCAATACATGTTTTGAAATTTTTACTAAAGTGATAAATGGTCTTGTTCAGAATGAATAATGGATAAAGTCCATTCAAAGTCCATTCAAGATAGTTAGCTTAGTATTGAATAAATTACCAAATTCATTAAATTTATCTTGTGCAAAGATTCATTCAATGTTAAACTGTTTCGTATCAAATGTAAAACAGGCCTTTACAATAATGATATATTTAAACTGCATAGAAAGAAATGTACCGCGCTCTTTGTTCTAAATTCAATAGAAATTTAAAACATAATTAATGTGCCGCGGGACAATCGAATTTTGTTAGTGGTAACCCCAATAATACGTACAGTTGACGACAGTTTCGAGCGCTACAACGCCATGCCTTACAGTTCCACAATCGTGTTAGTATGGTCATATGGAAACAATGTTTTACTATTTATTTTTTATTTGTGGTGCCGCGTACAGTTACCGTATTTGGAGTAATGATACATGTATTAACTTTCATGTAACCAGTTTAAATACATGTTTGGTCAACTCGGATGGTATGAAGTTGTCACCAATGTTAGGACTGTCTTTACAATATTGTGTGGCTCAGTGTACAGTCCGAGAAAACTGTGCTGGGCTTATTTACAGGAGATTGAATTTATTCTGTCAGCTTTATATGGAGATAAATGGTCAGCAGGAGGTCAAAGGTGACTGTGTTTACGTAAAACGCAGTGCTATGTTAAATGTAAGTATATATCAAATTTATTTAAAGGGACACCACTAGGGTTTAAAAGCCTAAAAATAAAATATGAAATTCTGAGTCCATATATTAGCTGGGGCACTTAAAACATAACGATATGCAAAAGACAATTAAGAAATATAATCAGAATTTAATATGTAATTTTATCATTGCGCTATTCAATTCACCAATAGATTGATTTTTTTTTTGATTTTTTTTTTAGAAAAATGGAGTCAGCGAACTTTGCACACAAGTTATTTTTCTAGACCTTTTATCAAATGGAAAATAATCTCGAAATGTTATTCTCAGTCTCGTCATGTCCAAAAAAAAAACAGCGGAGTTCCTTTAATACAAGAAACGTTAAAGACTCAACATGCATTTAGATGTATAATATTTTAATTCAAAGGAGCTATTTTTAAAATAAAAAAATGGAACATTCAAAGTTAAAATATGCTCAATGAAATATTAGCTATCGTAATTTCTAAACTCTAATTAATTGGTAATATGCAAGAAAAAGAACCAAAGACTGGTTGTCGCCACAGATGAGACTAAACAAAGCCTTGTTACCACAAGGTATCCTTGAGGCAGAGAAACCGGAGTGTGGTGTTGGTAGTCTGCACTCCGAATCACGGCAGTAAGCCACATTGAATTTACGAATGTAGGACAAAACCCCACCAGTTAAAACCCCACCACTCAAAATTTTATAGAGTGGACAAAACCCCACCACTACATTTCATAGAGTGGACAAAACCCCACCACTTCAGTTTTATAGAGTGGACAAAACTTTCTTGTAAACATGTTAAAAAACAAACAATAATTGTGCATCAGCAGAAACTCAAAATAATGTGTGAACAACTCATCAATAAGGAGTTACAGTTTGTAACACCTTTTTGCAATCAAAACATCAATAAATAATCTGTTTTGTTCTTCAGGGATTAGGATTAAGTTTTTTGTGTACAGTTTGTAACACCTTTTTTGCATATTGCACATGCAAGATGTACATGCATTGTTAATAAAATGTTCATTCTTATATTACACAAATGTTATATTGAAATTAAAAAATAAAATGTGAAAAAAATGTGTATATTATATATATTATACTTCATCAAATCTTGCCCAATAAGTGGTGGGGTTTTGTCCACTCTATAAAATTTAGTGGTGGGGTTTTGTCCACTCTATAAAATTTTGAGTGGTGGGGTTTTAACTGGTGGGGTTTTGTCCGTCTTCCTGAATTTACCAGTGTAAAATTTACCGACCATATCGTTCCTGGGGCAGGCTGTCAAGCAGTTTTACCAGTACTAGCTGCTTTCACAAGGAACTGATAACTTCTGTACACGCCAGAGGTGCAGTGCGAATGACCGTAATCACAACAAAAGTGACATTCATCGTCTACAGTCCAATGCCCTACCTAGTTACTTATTGAGATAATAGACGGCTATTAAGCTAATCGGACTGGTAGTTGACGAAAGTTTTTTTCTTATAGTCTTAATCACATTTAGAGACATTAGAAGTGAAATGAAGGAAGCAATTCCATATAGCCACCCACAAGTAGCATTAACTTTATAACAAATGAAAGGAAGTCCATAGCGAATATGTAATGAAAATAAATTGACTCTTAAATTCTTTATTTTTCAGGATCGACAGGACAAAGACATGCAAATATGTGAAAATGAAAATAAAGCAGCTAACGTAACTCCAGGTATATTCACTTTTAAGACTGATTTCCACAGTTTTCAGTCTGAAATCTTGTATTTATAATAAAAAAAACCTTAAAAATCCTCTTTTTATATCATATCATAATCGAAAATACGAAAGTATATGTACAAAATGCCAGGGTTCGAATTTCGGTTATTTTCACTTACTTACAAACATTCAAATGTAAACCAGTGTTCATAGCCTTAGTTTTCTGAAAAATAGGGTTAAAATAGCGTTTTCACTAGGATAAAAGTTAAATATGCAAATAATTAAACGTAAATTAAATCTTGCTATATAGTTTCCTCGCCAGGGCGTGAATTAAATCTCGCTATATGGTTTCCTCGCGAGGGCGTTAATTAAATCTCGCGATATAGTGTCCTCGCGGGGCGTTAATTAACTCTCGCTATATAGTTTCCTCGCAAGAACGTTTATTTAATCTCGCTATATAGTTTCCTCGCGACAACGTTATTAAATCTCGCTATATAGTTTCCTTGCGGGAACGTTAATTAAATCTCGCTATATAGACTGCACGCGAGGACGTTAATAAAATTACGCTATATAGTCTCCTCAATATCGCTACTTAATCTTTTTAAAATGAAAATATGCGACATTTGAGGTGGCCCAAACAGGACGCTATATGATCGAGATGTTCAGTGACATATTGTCTGAATTAAAGTTATATATGGTTGCAAAACTACTTGTATACAATAGAGACTGTTTTAAAACACTTAAAAAACAATTAAATAATTTAAATTCTATTCAACATCAATATTTTTAGCACTTATGACAATACTTGCTCTTATAAATAAAAAAGGAATGTATTTATAGAAATAAGTGGCAATGTTTTACGATATTTGTTGATCCATATTTAATGCTTTTAGTTATTGTTTTAACATGTTAACGTTTCAAACCAACATAAAGTATAGTGGTTTTTTTATTGACTTGCCCATTTTTAGTACTAAAAATAAGGACAAAATCGGAAATGACAAAATTAATCCTGTAGCGAGTTTTCGAGATGGTAAATAAAACATAAGATTCAATTATGTGGTCGATTACTTCTGTAAATATTGCACTACCGTTCTACTCCTGCGTGTCGCCAAAAACAATAAAACGATGGCTATAAGTACTATAGTACTATATCACATAAACCGCGGCGCAGAAGTGTAATAAAGCCATTTAATAAAAACGATATTACACTAGTGTAATAACACTTTGACGTGACGTCATTTGCGCTATATAGAAACATAGCGTTAAAAATAACTCATTTCAACAGTTTACTGTTCTTATTTCATATATGTGATAAAAAGAATATTATCTTCGTGTAGATTCAATACTAAACTTATTGAACTCGTTGAATAAAACAATATTATGCTCGCCAGAGGCTCGCATAATATGATTTTATTCAACTCGTTCAATAAATGTAGTATTAAACTACACTCATTTAATATCCTCTATATAAGGGGATAAGTGGAAAATGACAGTTTTGAGATAATCAAGAAAAACTGCTTTTATTTGTTATTATTATTCAAAGATGACCTTGCATGCCCGTAGACAAGTAATGTTAGAAGCAATATAATCATTTTTAACTATTATGTGACCGTTTGTTAGTTCAAAAATCATTTGATTATTACCTAACATCTTATAACATTTGCTGAAATGTCAAGGTGCAGAAGCGTTATCTGCCACTTAACCCCTTTTAGAATAAACAATGTAACCATATGAGCCGCGTCATGACAAAACCAACATTATGCGTTTGCGACCAGCATGGATCCAGACCAGCATTCTGATCAGGATCCATGCTGTTTGCTTACCAACTCTGTTACAAGTAGAGAAACTGATAGCGAACAGCATGGATCCTGATCAGACTGCGCGGATCCGCAGGCTGGTCTGGATCCATGCTGGTCGCAAACCAAACGCATCACGTTGGTTTTGTCATGACGCGGCTCATATGATTATTCAACATACAGTGCCAACTGCCACTTACCACTTGACTTTCTATTACTTTTAATCAAATTGATCAAAGAATCTTTATTAGTCTCAGTGTTAAACAATATTTCAGTTGTTTTCTAACCTACATGTATATGCCCACAAGCAACTTTCAACTTCTCCACTTGAAATTATTGAAACAGCGATGGAGTCCTGTTAGCTGTCACTAACAAATGATAACCAACTAGTTCAAAGGGTTATTATTATTATTATTATTATTATTATTATTATTATTATTATTATTATTATTTGTTTCTTTCCTTTGTTTTGGAAATTCTATTTGGCAGATTGCTGAGAAAAATTTCCGAGATTTTAAGAAAAGTAAAAAGATTCATGATTCATGTTATGTGTCATTTATGGCTGGTTTTGCAGTATTATTCAGTATATTTCTACTGCGTTACTAACTCTGTAAGGGCTATTTTTTGTATATTTTTGACCTCTTTAGTAATTTACATGGGTTCGTTTACAATGTGAAAATTATTTTCATTTCATTTCACAATATTTTACTTTTTAATACATTTTCAAAAAATTCATGAAAATTAGCATGAATCTGGAGGATGCGTGCTGCGTTAACATACATTTATAACATGTACTCATATTAGCATCTAACAAGTAACTCATTAACTTCCAGAACAAGAACAATTTAAAAGAAACAAGAAAATATGCAAACTTGTGTTAATCAAGTAGTTTAATCTTTTATTATAATAAGTAAACAATACGTAACCAAGAATTGATTATATTTAACAATTTATTCATAATTATTATTTGATATTACAGACATATTTTGCTTTTTGTAAAATACATGTAACAGAACATTTCGTCGTCATATTCATTCGAAGTACATGTATATTAATATGCAATTCGCATGGACATATTCTTGGCGCAACGAAGAAATGTTTCTTTAACTCTGTCTTTGTCTTGAATTTATTTTAAATATACCAATCATTTCCATTTTTACTTGTTATTCAATTTATTTTCCTTCGACCAGACCTTTCAATCTTTGTCGCAACAGACAAACATTTCAAAATTACAAACATGGCATTATTTTGTAAATGCATCAGATTTTACTTAGACACAAAAAATGCAACTTAATCATGAAACAACGAGCACATACCAAGAACATGAAGAAAAATTTATTTGCTTCGGATAGAGAACAATTGTCAAGGCTTATCATGTACATGCCCTGTGACCGTTCACATCATTTGGCGGCATCTTTGATGTGCAGCATCAACATTTAACTTGTTCGCTTCTGAGATATATTATATGTTCAATCAGTGATAAGTCTGAAATTTGCTTAATATCAAACCCCGAGTTTTGTCAATGTTTACTTACATGCACTCAATATTCGGCCCGGAGTTTCATTACGTTCGCTCAGTATCTAATCCTCGATATTTTCAACATTTATTTGTTCAATATTCAACGTAATCAAAAGTAAGGAACTTGAGTTTACATCGAATACATGTATTACATGCACAAATACGGCCAGACAAAAAAAAGAAAGAACTGTTTTAAACTGGGTGTGAAACGGAATGTCGTTGCTGACATTATAGTCGAATTTGACAAGGTATTTTGTTCTATTACTATGATTTGGCTCTTCTGGACTTTACTACAGCGTATCAAAATCGGCGCTTGAGAGAACCTTGCCTTAAATATCCATCCAAGTCAAATTCAATTCAAGATACTCTATTATATTTCACCGAGTGAGCACCAAAAGGTATATTTCACGAGTGGCGCAGCCACGAGTGAAATATGAACTTTTGGTGTTCACAAGGTGAAATATATTTCGATCTTACACTAAACTAAACAAATTTTCTTTTTATTATATGCAAAGAAACGTTTTAAAAAGACATAGAACCTAATACTGAATAAAAAGCGCGCCAAATAATAATACAACGTGACGTCATTTACGACGTCACGTCATTCAGTTGGTACCCAGTACTGTGCACGCTGGCATTTCACTGAAACAACGTAATTAATGGGCTTAAACTCAAAACAGTGAAATTATCAAAGTGGTAATTTCACTGTTTCAAACAGTGAAATTACCAGTTTTAAATCACTGATATATTTCTATAAACCACCGAAAAGCATGTAATAAATTTCTATAAACCACCGAAAAGCATGTAATAAATTCCGATCTTACACTGAACTAAACAAATATCCTCTATATAACCTTGTTTTATAACTACTTTCGGTTTTTTTTTTGGCTCTAATGTTTTACTCATGCAGTTTAAGTATTAACTTGTTGTTTGTTGTTGTTCTGTTGCTTTTTTTAGAATGTTCATATCCGGAAGTAGATAACGGGGGACCAATTGGAAATATCTTTTATGTGGACAGTAAACAAACTATTCAATGTAACTCTGGATATTCCAAATTTGGTAGAAAGATTATAACGTGTCTGAGTAACCTAACATGGACTGCTATGCCAGAATGCAGTATAGGTAAGAGGTTTTTCAGTTAATCTGCATGTTAATAATACTGCATGTTTGAAAGTCTATGGTGGCTGATTTCTGCCATTTCGTGTTTTCGTGTCTTCGTCCCGAAAGTCGAAAGGCGAAGACAAGAAAACATACCTATTTGTCGTTATTTCGACTTTCGCCTTTCGGGGCGAAAACACGAAACATGCTATGCGTAATAACGAAACTTTAACACGCGAAGGGACGAAAATTTCATTGTTAGTTTTCGTGTCGGCTGGGCGAAATATTTCGTGTCCGCGCCCTTTGTTTGTCGTGTCTTCGCCTTGAAACCCGAAGGTCGAAATATTATGCGAAAATACGCAGATTTTTGTGTTGTCGTGATTTCGCCCCGAAACGCGAAAGTCGAAGTAACGACAATGACATCGATTCGGGTTTCGCCTTTCGGTAGGGGCGATACTAAACTGCTGGGGTGCGTTTCATAAAGAATCTTAGGACCGATTTTATTCGTAAGTGCAAAACTGGGATAAAACTGCGTTTCAAGAAAAGTCCTAAGTACAATTTTAAGACTAAACTTAGAACTATTCCTATGGGTGCCATTTTTACGTATATATCTATATCAGACAATAAAACAAAAGCTGCAATGTTTTTTAAGCACTTGTTTTTGTATTTATGACTTAAGACAAAAGTTAGGAGTGCCCTGAGGCACCCATAATAATAATAATAATAATAATAATAAAACAAAAAAACAAATAAGAAATTCACGGCAAAATATCATTTTTCTCTCCATAATAATTGGTCAGCAGTTTTTACTAAAATTAAACGGTCGGCATGATTTTATACAATACATATATATTAGCTTTGCAGACATTACAATATGAATAGCAATTTTACGGCAAAATATCATTTTTCTTTATATATCTAACTGGTAAGCATTTTCAATATATGTTTAACTGGTCAGCATTTTCTCGCCTGAATGTAAAGAGCGTTAAATTTTCTGACCATAAGAATAAGAAGAGATTTACGGCTTAAATCAATTTGAATTCTAATATATAATTGGTCAGCTCTGTTTACTTTATAAGATTGTCGACATGATTTTATACAATATATACGGTGGCTGGAAGATGACATGTGTATGTTTTTATTTATCTCGAGCGCATGAGATACTAAGTCGTGGCCACGAGATAGCTAAGTCGTGGCCACGAGTTACTAAGTCGTGGCCATGAGATACTATGTCGTTGCAACGAGTTACTAAGTCGTGGCCACGAGAGAGCTAAGTCGTGGCCACGATATACTATGTCGTGGCCACGGGTTACTAAGTCGTGGCCACGAGATAGCTAGGTCGTGGTTATGAGATACTAAAGCTGCCGTATTTTCGTTATTTCGACCTTCGAGTTTCGTGGCTAAGACACGAAGACAAGACAAACAAAGGGCGCGGACACGAAATATTTCGCCCCGCCGACATGAAAACTTAGACAATGTTTTCGTCCCTTCACGTATTAAAGTTTCGTTATTTCGCGTAGAATGTTTCGTGTTTTCGTGTCTTCGCCCCAAAAGGCGAAAGTCAAATTAACGACAAATAGGTATGTTTTTGTGTCTTCGCCTTTCGACTTTCGGGGCGAAGACACGAAAACACGAAATGGCAGAAATCAGCCACCATAGAAAGTCGGTTATCAAATGAAAAGCGACGTTTCAAACGTTAGTCTAATAAATATTTTTTTTGCATTGCGACTCTTGTCATTGAAAAAGAAGCATTAATATTTCATCACAAATTCAGCAAGTCACAAAGTCATTCAGCAAGTATGATTGCTTTGGTACACGAGTATTTTCTAAATTTTTGTGTTTGTATTGATTTTTTTCCAAAGAGTGCAGCGTTCCCGTCTTTGACAACGCCTACGTCGACGCTGACATGGAACAATATCCTGCACGTGCTACAGTAACGTGTCATGAAAATTACGTATCAACGAAGACTAACAGCAAGCTCTACAATATTACAGAAGAATCTCTAATATGTAACAAGACTGGGTCATGGATTCCTGATATTACATGCACTTATTTTCTCAGTAAGTTTTGTTCTTTGTGCTAGTAGCGGTTTTATCTTTATAGTTATGTTTAAATATTTTACATACAAAGTACCGTATATGGTTTTGCTTTTGTTTTAAAACTTCAGCAATTTAAACAGCCCAAAAGGAGCTGAAGCTGTTTAAAAGGTTTAATAATTTAGTTGTTTACCTACAGTGTTTATTCAGATAAATGCAACGTTGCACAGAAATAAATGGTAAATAAACTCTACTGAGAACAGTTTATGAAAAATAGACGGCCATCTCATTGGACAAAAAAGAAGGTCCTTAACCAGTTACGGTCGCTTCTACGTCGCTCCTGTTTTAGAGCTGTCTTCGTTTAAATCGTTTATTTTTCCTTGTTCGTTTATAACTGTAACTTAGCAAAAAAATGAGCGCGATATAAGTGTAATGCGCGCATGCAATTATTAACATTTTGTAACTATGTTGTTGCTTGCTGGAAATGTCTATTCATTGAAGATTACCATGTCATTATTGCTACTTAACTAATATTATTATGCCCAGATCCCCAACACTAAGCGCCCTGACCTTTGGTCGTCGTTTTTTTTTTATCAAAAAGGACCGTGTAGGCTGCGACCTATACCTTTTCTAGAAAAAAGACAAATCATTTACTTGACGATCTGCAATTTTAACTAAATATATTTATACCAAAACGCAGTGGCAAAACTCATTTTATATGTGCTGCATATAAATTTAAACCATATACTACACACCTGTCGTGTGAAATATTATAAGAATAATATTACATAAAATAAGTAAAAAGTCCCACACATTATCGATATAATTAAACGATTTATTTCAAAAGCTAAGAGTTATGTTGAAATGACATGGGTGCATTTTTAAGAATTTGCAGATTGACCTCTATTGTGAGCATGTTCTTTCAAATAGAATTCTATTTGAAAGACCCTATTGGTGTAGAAGAACATTTGCATTTTGAACTGATTCTTTTACATTTAAATTTCACTTAAAAAAGCTATAAACTTTACATAATTACATGTATATGGAACATATTGATTCATTAGTGGATTTTTAGACTGTTTAAAAACGTGCGTGTTGATATAGCACCCATATTGTTTTCAATGTTTGATTATATTTACGTTCGAAATAACATCAGGGCAAATTTTGAACATATTTGCAAAAAATTCTCAGAGTTTGCCGCAACCAGCACTTCCAGTGCTTTGATTTTAACGTTAATCATTTCTAAGAGTTTTAAAAGCGTCCATTTAATACACTAGTTCAATATGGCCATGCATTGTATGAGCGGTGTTTTGTAGATATATTTAACATGGCGCTCTACAAGCCGGCACGCCAGAGCTCAACATATGTTGGATTCGTAGCAAACTTGGCAACCGACGGATTATGGTATCCGGACTTCAATGATGGGTCATGCATGCATGCGGATCTTCTTGAGGAGAGTTCCTGGTGGGAGGTGGATTTACTGGAAACGTACTCAATACGCCGTGTGGTGATTCTTATCAGAAAATTTGGTAAATTTTAGTTAGTTTTCGAAGTTTTAAATTACATTGTTTACACTATGCATGTCCACCGGGGATTCTTTCCTCGTGTCTGAATCACGTGACATGATCTGAGTGGGGGAAAAAGACGGTACATGTTTTTATTTTCTGACTTAACTTTTTTAAAGTTTTCGTAAAATTACACTATATTAGCTGTGAGGGTAGTTACAAGCAATTAATTCATATTATAAGACATTATAATTTTGATTGATTGATTGATTGATTGATATCAGAAACAGTTTAAGCCGAAACAAAGGACGCCGACAATCTCGTTTCAGAATTATTTTCTTGAATTTGAATTTTTAAGTTTGAATAGATATCCTTTGAAGAATTTTCATTCTATCCTATTGTAGGAAGCGTTATAATATAACCAACCCATGGGTGCTTAAGATTCGGGTGGTATTTCTGATGAATATGAAACAGGCGTTAGAACATCATTCTATATAAGTTTAACATTTACTTACGACAATGACAAAGTTTATATTATACTGAAATATTTCTATGTTTTCTTCTTTACACAACGAAAAATGTTTTCAGCTTTATTCGCCGTAAGGTTTCACGATGTCACAATAACTGTCGGAATGAAGACTAATCCGAAAGAATTTTGCGCTTTTTACCAGGGACATGAAGTGCACGACTCTCCTATACACTTGTATTGTGAACGTAGAATATTAGGGCGGTACGTCCGGATCACGAAACTAAACGACAAATACCACCAGGATAACCTGGCCATGTGTGAGGTCGGTGTTTACGAGGACTAGGACCGAGATCACGAGACCGAGTGACGTCATTTCCGTTATACAAACATAGTGTAAAGACGCGCTAACACATTAAGCGTTATACTATAGGAGCGTCAATGAAAATAATTCTTTTTTTTTCATTCAGTTTTTTTTCTTTCTTTCGATATGTGATAAAAAGAATGTTATATTCATGTAGATTCATTTCTTAATTTACCGAACTCGTTAATTAAATAATATTATGCTCGCCAGATGCTCGCACAATATCATTTTATTCAACACGTTCAATAAATTCAGTATTGAACTTAAACTCATACAATATTTTTATATTCTTTAGTCCCCTTTTTGTTTACCCAATTATTTTCCAAATATGTATGCATGTACTGTGCGTTTAGGATAATTATTTAGTGACGCGGTGGTCAAGTCCACTTTAACGGTGTGAAACAGTTATCATATTGTGTTTAATATCTTAAGTCAAGCAGGCTTGCCATATAAATTAAAATATCGACAATTTTACCAACTGTCGGCGTAACGCAGTAGGTAAAGTTGCGTGATAAATCTTTAGTTACATATCAATGCAAGACAGCCAGGTTCGGTCCCAAATTTTTTTGTATAATTATCAATCGATTAAGAATTTCTTTTTTTCTTGTAAAGATTATTAGTGATGTGTTATTTTCTATTAACTTCTCATTTCACTTTGTTTTTAAATGTTGCTATATTTAGCAAGTTGGTGCAACCTGATACGGAATGCATACATGTACATAAATTGTTTCAACTATAGTTAAGTTGGCACGAAAAACTTATGCACTGCAAAAGTACTACTAATATATATTACACACTACACAGAATAAAAATTATTATTTCCGGTATATATAAATTATTCGAAATTTTAACAAAACTGCCTTTATATTCCAATTAATTTGCATTTCATGTCAAAATAGAAATAGGGAAAGAAAAAGGAAAAAAAGGTTTGACAACTTGTGTGGCTCGAACTCATGATACAATTTAATTTGTATGGCAACCTAGTGACTTAACCAAGTTTGCCATCGAGACTTTTCAAATTTTATTTCTGATTTTGAATCATATTCACTTCTAAAAACCCTGTTTTACCTATTCAGACAAAGATTGTAAACTTTTATGTACACAAAAAATGCAACGTCACTCTCACATTATCATAGCGGTTTAGTACAATACAGATATATAAATATACAGCTTATAAACATATATAGTTTTTTTTTATTTTTTTTTGGCTTTGATAGACCCTGTCATTACCAGTCCTGCAAAGCTATCAAATCTTATGAAACAATCCAGAAAGGGTGTTCTTAAAGCATCGTATCTCTATGTTTATGTTAACTTTTATGAAAAGATAAAAATACGTCCGTTAAAAACAACACACTCATTTTCGCTTAATTTGCTGCAAATCTCACGTCATGGCGAATTTATGTAATGAAATTGCTTTGAATTTGAAATAGTCCGTTGAAAAATAAAAGGGATTTCAATATCAAAATACAAGAATCAAGCCTCTAATAGTACGGAGCTTGGCAAGACTTCGCGGATGTGCAAGCTTGGTTGGTTCCATACTGGTGACAAGGGCTTATCACTTTTGGTTCGAGCAAGTCTAATATCCACCTTTTTGCAACAGTTGTTTTATTACCTGGAGGGGTGCAACTTTAAATATGTAAAATTGTCTCCGTGGTAACCACCCATCGGTAAGACAACAGTAATTACCAGATCTCTGGATATACCAGTCATTCATAACAGTTTTAACAGTGTGAAGATATAATATTCAAGACCCATATATTTATGTATTTGCTAACGGATGTCAGTTTTCTATAGAAAATTAAAAATATATATTTCACCGATAACTGTATGTTATTCTTTAATTATTATAGAAATCTTTCAACTTGCAGTACATGGATGAAAGATGTACCCTGTGATACCTAAACTTGAAAGTGACCTGCGCCGTCTGGGAATCGACCCCGGGTCGCCCGGTTCACATTCCAACACTCTACCTATTTAGCTAACCTAAACCAACGATTTTACATGTATATACCATAACGCACTTGCGCCGTGTCGCTTTTGAATTTTAACCAATTTTGTGAATTTTAACCAATCAAAATTTAATGTGTAAATATAAATAAGAACACAAAACACTGTATATTAAATACCAAAATCTTTATTCTGAAGATTGACACAATATATCAAGATGTTTGGCACTTACAAAGAATGAAGCTGTACAGTGACTAGATTGCTACGATGATGAGACAACAAGCACGTGAATCTCATGTCTGTACAAAGTTTTGGCACATGTGGTGAACTCACTGAGGGAGTATTCATTAAAATAATATCAACTTCTCTTACAGAAATTTTGAGAGCAGTCGTTTTGAGCATTTGCTGTTTGATGTTTTAATTGAGAAAGGCAGTCACTATCAACATGTACCACTATCAACATGAACGTTATTGTGTCAATATGAAAATCAAGAGGTGATAAAAACAGGTTATGTCCATTTTATATGAAGGTAATGCAGTGAATTCACTTCCTGAAAAATACTAAGGCACTGACTTTGGGCTGAACCCCAAACCTTTGAGTAAGGCTGTTGGAAGTGGCTCATATCTATAATCACTACTGTACTTGAAAACCGACTACTCGCTCATGGTGTTATATTGTTTACAAATATGCGTTTTATTTTCTCCAAAACCAAGAATAACAAACTACTGACAGATAAAAACACTTGCCAAAAAGAGAAAATCTTTCAAGGAAAAGTTTACTTTCATTTTGTTGTTTAAATTTTAACTTTTTTTAGGTCGATAGTGACTTTTTTACTTTTTAATATTCAAATTCGTTATCTTTTTTACATTTGAAAATACAACAACATTACTTTAGAATAAGAAGATAAGTTTTAAATGATTAATTCTCCCGGATCGCTATGTAACAATTTAAACAACACTAAAATATAGAAGATATATATACAAGAACGTATATATATACAGTATTATTATTATGGTAATAGTGCATGGCAATACTTCAATGTAATTGCAACAGTTCCAATTCTCACCAGATTATTAAAGAACACGTTTCTATAATTATTGCATAGTTTTAATCAATTTGCATAGTACATTAGAAATCGTTACTACTCAATAAAACAAGAATTAAATTATCAATGTCCACTAATTATTAATTTTCATAATCTCAAATACTTTATTACCAATTAATCACCCAACGCGGTTTTTTCTCCTAATTTAATGATAATTTCAAACATTTTCTTTATGAAGAACTCTAATTTACAGAAATGAAGAAGAAATACTAAATAATACATGTATCGTCTGAGCCGTGATGAAAATTGAAAACAGACATAGATAATAATCATAAGCTAAATATAACAACCAATCACGACTCATTTTACAGATGGCTCACGGCTTGTCAGTGACGAAGCAATTTTCTTTATTGTCCAATCAGATTGGATACTGACTAAATAATCTGTCCAATGAGAAAATCGCTTTCACAGCTTTGGAATCCACCAATGAAATGAGACATACTATTACCCATTTTTTTCTCAGCCAATCAAATGGCAGTGTGAATCGGATATCAGATCACAGATTAGCCAACTAACATACGTCATCACTCACACTATAAAAACTTTAATCATTTGATAGTTAGAATAATTGTATATATGCTTATGTATCAAATGGCAACTAGAAATATTAAACTATCAATATAATTGGTAAATATTTGGCAATATTTTGTTTACATCAATTTACAATATTTCTTTTTTTTTTGATTTTGCAACTGTTAGGCTACCAAATAAGATTTAATAAATGCCTTTTTATAAACATATTTTTTATTGTTGCCATGCCTACTATCAAATGATTATAATTTCACACAAAAAGCTTAAAAAATTTACTTGCAAAAAAAATCAACAAAAAAAACAAGTTTAGCTACAAAGTTTTGCAAAATTTATATAATCTCATATTTAAGGCACATATTGGCAAATTGCCAAAGAATCTCGCATTCACATAGCAAACATCTCTACATGAAATAATTGTCTAAAAACACTGTCTACAGTCAGTCATTATGAAAAAAAAATTACATATATACAAAAAAAGTGATATAAAACTGGCACATATAATATGAACAAAACAACACGATTCCTTAAAAATGACTATACAAATTTTGTTTATTCTCTCCTAAACTGATGAAAAATGTATAATAATCTCACATGAAGTTTACAAACTAAGCTGTATTAACTAAATTAAGTTTATTATCCTCGGACAACCTTGGCGCAAACTTGACACCTACTGACGCGTGAACGAAGATCTCCCGCTTTAAGAGTCTCCGATACAGGTACTCTAAATTGCTGATTTTCTCCTATTGTTGTCAGCCAGAAACTGTATTTATTAGCAAAGAAATGACAGGTGCCTCTAGCACCGTTACATTCTATAAACGGAGTAGCACGGAAATCTTCTAAACAACTACCAGGACTAGATAACGCTTGACCTCCTCCACTCGGTCCTGCACCAGTGTGCTGAAAAACGAAAAAACAAAAACAGCCATTAACATTAGTAATATGATGGCAGAATGCATTATAAATGTCCTTTAAATCATGATAATTTCTTGAAATGTACATCTTGACCTAGCCTGGGATTCAGGCGTTGATATTTTTTGCTTCTTCATAACATAACGTGCTATTTCATACTTGTGCTATTTCATACTTGTTCGTGTTTTTGTTAATATGTTAATTTGCCTGACAGAAGCACATATAAATCCAAGTACAGAACGTTTAAAAATTTAATACTGTTTAAATTAAAACAAAAGATGTCACAGAACTATCATAATTTATAGATCCTAAATAAGAAAGATACGTCATTAAATAAAATAGCGTTACCATGACGAAGCTGTATCCGATCCAAAGACCATTCCAACCAATCGGACAATCTGGAATAGTAAGCGTCTGACTGTGAACAGCCATTACATTAGAGGGAGCATCGCAGACGACACATCGACTGATGTATGGAGGAATGTCGGTCTCCCCAACAGGCATCATTGGCATCGGGGCGTTTGTCGACAGCCAGTAAGATTTGTCGTTCCTGCTAGCGTAGTTACATACGTTGTCCGTACCACAGAATAAGAAAGGCATCGTACTGAATCTGCGTATACAGGAGCCGGCCCAACCTGTCACAAAACAAAATATGAAGTTAAGCTAACATGTACAATTACAATTTCGCAACTAAAATTCTAGCAATATATATGTATTATAAACTTAAGCAGTCAGATCTATAGTAAGTGCATGTTAAGAAACATTTGGAAACTTTCCATTCAAAATTTACGGAATTTCGTTCACCAAAAATACAAAAATTGAGTTGCCAACAGAACAGAGCCTCGGGACAGTCTGCAAGAATTTAGTAGCTGGCTCTATACTTCTGGCAAAGAGTAATCACTCTTTTTTCCAGCAGGTTCAGGGTTTAAATAAAAATTTAACAATTATTTGCAACAGCCATGTATAAAAGATATTAACTAAAGATAGCGTGGATGAAAGTTGGCATTCTAAAAATCTTTCTATAAAATATTTTGAAAAATAACGAGGCCTTTTCAGTGTCTGAAAATCTTATAATTTAGGACAAGTCATGAAAAAAATTCCCATGCAACTGTCCAATGAGATTCAAGATAAAAAAGGTGCGGTACTTATAAAGATGTCGGAAATTGGTCTTACCTAAATCTTGATGATGTGATCTCTCGTTTCCTTCAACATATAACAGACTGTAACCTTCCCACATTTTACCCATACCGTCTGGACATGTAGGTACGTTTCTCGACTGACTGTGTTTCGTCATTAAGAAACCGACCGGTGGTACGTAACCCGCTTTACCTGGTATACCCTGAAGACCCTGCGGACCTCGAGGACCTATAAACAGTAACAAAAATTTCACAGTTAAAGCTGATTCAAAATCAGTACCAACACTCGTCTTATGGGTGCAAGTTGGAAATTTTAAAAATCCTGATTTAAGCATAATTTTCTATAGTTTTACATAGGAAATAGAAGGCTTTCAGGAGACTGAAAATCCTGATGTTCAGGAATAATCCTGAAAACTTTCAGGGGCAGGTGGGCAGTGACGGTCTATTAAATGTAACATCAAAAAACAACAGCTTGTAAACTAAATGCAATATATGGTTAATGCATATTAAATTTAGAAGGCCACGATCCGTCTGAAGATAATCACGCTCCACTTTCTTTTTGACTACTACCATGACTCCCCAAGGTGCATATACATACAAAGAGCTGCGCCATGACAAAACCTACATAATGGGTTTGCAACCAGCATAGATCCAGACCAGCCTAAGCATCCACGCAGTCTGATTAGGATCCATGCTGTTCGCTTACAAACCATTTAACAAGTAGAGAAACTGACAGCAAACAGCATGGATCCTGATCTGACTGTGCAGATTGGTCTAAATCCATGCTGGTTGCAAACCCATTATGTTGGTTTTGTCATGGCGCGGCTCAACATTATTTGATACACTTTGGTTAAAAACAAGTTTTATGTTTTGTTTTCACAGGTCCAAGTGAACTTTGACCTTAGACATTTTGGCCTGCATATGGGTAAGACAAATACAACCCATAAAAGTGTATTCATCTGCAAAGTTTAATGTCGATACCTATTTACAAAAGTTTCTGCACCATCACTACACAGCAGTCAAATTTCCTCAACTTTCTTCAAAATACACTAATATTAAGTTGTCTTTAAAACACAATGTCATATAGTAGGAGATAATAGGTACATGTGCATAAAAAAATTATATATAAAAATATGAAGCCTATTGGTTAAAGCTGCATGCCTCCAGATGAGTCAAAATATTTCAACAAAATCAAACCTGAGAAATATGTACTACAATTTTAGGAAAAGTAAAATGATTCAAGATTCAATTCAATATAATTTTACATGTTATGTGCAGTTAATGACTGATTTTTCAGTATTTACAACTATAATTTTACTGCATTACTTACTCAGTAAGGGCTATTTATACACATTTTGACCACTTTTTGGTAAATTACATTCATAATGTGTACATTGCTGCATTTTGGTTTTTTCACAATATTACATATTTAAATACATTTTCAAAATTTTCATGAAAATTGACGTGAATCTGGAGGCGGGCTGCTTTAACAATTTGAGCCATGTGACATTTTCATTTGCTTATGTCAACTTACCATCAAGACCGTCTAAGCCTGGTCGACCATCAAAACCTCTAGCTCCCTCTTCTCCCTTCATTCCTGGATAACCTGGGACACCAATATCACCTTGAGGTCCACGTGCACCAGGGAATCCTGAAGAATAAATCAGAACATGTTTTTTTTATTTCCTTCTACCACATCTGGTGTGAAGAGATGAATAAAGTGCATTTTGGTGGGTGAAAAGGCGATAATTTAGCATTTAATCATCTTAATCCCCATGTCCGGTATATACTGGAATACGGTATTTAATGTGTTGCTCCAATACTTTTTTTAGTCTCACTCTTTAATTATATACAATTAATTTGCCCCAACTCTTTAATTTAAGGTTACTTTTGTTAAATTAATTTTGTGTTTCTGCTACACAATATTTTCATTAATTTGCTCTCCTAATGTGTGTTCCACACAACTGTTATGTACATGTTCATAATACTTAAGCTCATACAGAGCATAAAGCTGACATGATTACGCTCGTTATTTCTTGGTTCAATAAAAACTCACTAAACCGGACATGGTTGGTATCGGACAAGATTTTCGGATAAGCCAGGATTCATGTTTACTGAATTAAGGCATTGGCATTCTCTATTAAGGCATTGGCATTCTTAACATACTTATAAAGGCTGATTGGGTGGAGAATTAAAATTAATACTAACTTGTGTTTTTTGTTTTTGAATCATGATCCGATTTTACAGGTTCTACTGTATTTTTTTTGGTTTCTCGATATTTTTAAAGTTCATAGGATTTTGTAATATAATAATTTAACATCATAAACTAAAGCATAAAATAAAATGTATTATACAAAATGTTGGACCAAAAGCTATACCGACTTCATCTTGTGTCTTTCCCTTGATAACTGTCATGACATGACAAAATACATGTAGATTAATGCACAAAACTACCCCCGCGTTAAACATGCCTTTTCTACATTAAGCCTTATCATAATCACATACTTTAATTCAGAAATCACAATGTTATATATCAGACTCCTAACCTGGCTCTCCTGGTTCTCCGCGCGGGCCTGGAAGACCGTTGACTCCTGGGAAACCCTCAGGTCCGGGCTCACCTTTTGCACCTTTTACAACATTCAGTGGAGCAGGGTCACCTTTCATTCCTTTTTCTCCAGGGAAACCTTAAATAATACCAGATAAAATATAGGTTTCTTTTTGTCCATACATAAAAAAATCTTCAATCTTTAAAATCAACTACACTTTTACTTTACAAGTAAAATTTACAACAAAAATTTAAACATTGAATTTCCAATGAAATGACATTAATATTTAGAAAGTGCACTATCTTATTTAATATTTCTTCTCAATTGTTTGAAAAAAGTAAAGTTATAACAAATTTCAGTTAAAATATTTTCAGTTAGACTAGAGGGGGTCTTTGTCACAAAAACCATATGTCTACCATGTATAATTATAATCTAAAGATGGAACAGTGGCTTGTAAATCACGGCTGCAGTTTGACCTGTGAAAGCCAGAAAAGATTTTTTTTCTATTTTCAAGTCCAGCAGCCATTTTTTGGAGGGAAGGAGAATTTGCTAGCGATACACAACTAGGGTTGGTACAAATCGGCAATTTGAAATGTGAAATCTGGACAAGCTTAATGCGACAGACAGACGGCAAATGCAAAAACAATATGTCTCCTAAACTTTAACAAAATGTTCAAGAAAACTGCTGTATGGGCACAACAGAGAGTGTTACTAAATTCACAATTGCACGCTTTCCTATGTAATGTTAAATAATTGTCAAGGCGTAAATGGCAGGCAGCTTGCACTTTCCAGAACTGTCCATGAACAAGCTCTATCAAAACAGAGCCTGCAATACTTTCAATTTTTCTGTTTTGGAGAAGACCTTCTCAAGTGATTCTATTTCTCTCTATTTCTTTCAATTTTTCTGTGTTGGAGGGGACCTTCTCAAGGGATTCTATTTCTCTCTATTTCTTTCAATTTTTCTGTATTGGAGGGGACCTTCTCAAGGGATTCTATTTCTCTCTATTTCTTTCAATTTTTCTGTATTGGAGGGGACCTTCTCAAGGGATTCTATTTCTCTCTATTTCTTTCAATTTTTCTGTATTGGAGGGGACCTTCTCAAGAGATTCTATTTCTCTCTATTTCTTTCAATTTTTCTGTGTTGGAGGGGACCTTCTCAAGGGATTCTATTTCTCTCTATTTCTTCATTTTAAATATCAAATGTTTTATCTAAGCTTGACATTTAAAGTGTTTTCAGCTAGTATGATTTGTCGTCTGCTTCCTGGAATTATCAGAGACTGATGCCAAAGCAACGAACATGGTAATTTAATGAACTTTTGACCCAAAGTGAGGCTCCATTCAAAGTTACAAGCTTGAGAGATAAACACTTAAGGGCCCATTCTGACTCAAGAATGTTTTTATTTTCTCGTAAGCTTTTCTTATTTTGGAGTACTTTTATAGTATCCAAAAAGTTATTCATTTGCCAATGACCTTATCCATCTTTTTCATCTGTTTCTTTTTGACAGTAAATACAGTTTATATAGCGAAATAGTATTTTGTATGGAAGTCAAAATACTACTTTCTTTAAATTTTGCTACCTTGATAACAAATTATTTCACATTTATTGCTACTCTTGTTTAAGGTAACAAGCACCAAACATTTCCCAAAAACCATTTTGTTAACTTATTATAAAATTCATGACTTGTTTGCTTTCTAAAGAAGTCAAAATCTATTTGTTTCTGAGGCATTAATTTGCCATTAAACCACTAGTTTATAATTTCCTTTTTTAAAAGTGAGAGTTTAGCATCTACTCTGATTGACGACAAAAGATTTTTGTTTATAATCGGTTACCAGTACCATAGGCCTTATGGTTAAGGCGTCCACCTTTGGATCAGGAGGTCAAAGGTGCGAGCCCCAGGGGAACGTTAATTGAAGGATGAATGTTTCTCATGGGACTTGTTTTGAAATGGCCACTTTGAGCTGCAAGGTAGTTAAAATGAATGGTCACTGATTTCTATCCACCTGGCACCTGTCATAGTGGTAAGAGATTGGAGGTTCATGGTATGCAAGCAAAAGGTGTCTCATAAGTCAGAAATGTCTGGGCCTTTCAGTAGGGATATGACACTATAATAAACAAGACCTTTTATAATTATTTTTTTTTATTAGCCTACCTCTATCTCCCTTTAGTCCATTACGCCCAGGGAATCCACTGTCACCTTTAGGTCCTTGTGGTCCATTAATACCGTTCAAACCTGGTTCTCCCTTCATGCCTGGCAGACCGGGGACTCCTGGGATACCAGGTTCACCTAGAATACAAAAACAGTGCAAAATTTCAATAAATGAAAATAAATTTTCATTTTGTTGTGAAATGGACAAATTTTATAGCTCAGACTGATCAGGATCCATGCTATTCGCTATCAGTTTCTCTACTTGTAATAGAGTTTGTAAGCAAACAGCATGGATCCTGATCAGACTGCAGGGATGCGCAGACTGGTCTGGATCCATGATGGTCGCAAACGCATTAAGTTGGTTTTGTCATGAAATGGCTCAAATTATAACTTACAAAACAGGAAAGCAAAAACTGTGACATAGATACAGAAGTTGAAAGTTATGTGATCAATTCTGCAAAATAAGTTATTTATTGCACATAAGGGGGTTAATTACTTGAATCTTTTTTTACTTTTCTTAAAATCTTAACACTTAACTTGCTGAATTTCTTAAATGGGCTTGTCCATTTTCCATAATTTTAGAGCTGTTTTTATTAATTCTAGGGATATGAAGATACAAATTTAATTAAGGTTACCCAGCCAACAGTATAGCGCCTTGTCGGACTCCATGGATGTGCAGGCTGGCCTGGTTTTATACCTAATGGCAAAAACTAATCACATATGTAACATGTTTCTAGCAGGTTAAGAGTGAAGACATTATTCTCAAGTCTGATTTTCTCGAAATACTTTGGTTCATCTGGAGGCATGCAGCTTTAATATACTGATGAACATTTCTGCTATAGAAATATCTCACCTTTTTCACCAGGTAGACCTGTGAGACCATCTTCACCTCGAAGTCCGGGAAGACCGGGTTCTCCACGATCACCTTTACGTCCTGGAGCACCAGGTAAGCCATCTTGTCCGGGTTCACCTCTTAATCCTGGCTCTCCTAATTAGGATAAAGTAAAACATGGAGATGAAAGAAAAGACTTAACAAACATTTAGACATAAGCATACAAATCACACTCTTTATCTAAACAATGTACTTCTTAATACATGAATTCTAACTTGTGTTTGTAGTAAATTTAAACTTTATACATGTTATTCTTGAACTAACTGTAAATTTTGCATATACATGTAATCAGTTCAATAAAAACAAAATTTAATGCTTTTAATGTTTTTTTTCTTTTTTTTCAGAAAGAAATAAAATTATTGAGGTTTATAAAATAACAAATGATGCAAAGTCTGTTTTACTTATACCCTAAACAAATGTGATGTTAACCCCAAAATAAACAGTTTGTCTAATTAAAACAGAAACTTACAATTAAAACATTGCTTCATGAATACAGCAACATACATGTACAATACAATGTACATAGAATATGGATTTATTTTGTAGGCATAAAAAAGAGAAAATACTTTTTATATTATACCATTATGAGCACTGCAAATCCTAATTGTAACTCATACAAATAAATAGTTACTTACCCTCTCTGCCTGGGAAGCCAGGTTCTCCCTTCATTCCTGGAAGACCCTCTCCTGGTATACCTGGTTCTCCTTTAGCTCCTGGGAATCCATCTCGTCCACTAGGTCCTGAAAACAATTATTTAAAATTAAAATTTCAAGCATCAGTTTTACAAGGTGTTACATATTTAGGCATCAGTTATACTAGATGTAACATATTTAGGCATCAGTTATACAAGATGTTACATATTTAGGCATCAGTTATACAAGTTGTTATGTATTTAGGCATCAGTTATACAAGTTGTAACATATTTAGGCATCAGTTTATACAAGTTGTAACATATTTAGGCATCAGTTATACAAGTTGTTACATAATTATTTAAGCATCAGATATACAAGATGTAAACATATTTAGGCATCAGTTATACAAGATGTTACATATTTAGGCATCAGTTATACTAGATGTAACATATTTAGGCATCAGTTATACTAGATGACAAGTTTAGGCATCAGTTATACTAGATGTTTCACATTTAGGCATCAGTTATACTAGATGACAAGTTTAGGCATCAGTTATACTAGATGTTTCACATTTAGGCATCAGTTAAACAAGATGTAACATATTTAGGCATCAGTTATACAAGATGTGACATGTTTAGGCATCAGTAAAACAAGATGTAACATATTTAGGCATCAGTTGTACAAGACATTACACATTTAGGCATCAGTTCACAAGGTGTTACATGTGTAGGCATCATTTATACCAGATGTAACATATTTAGGCATCAGTTAAACTAGATGTAACATATTTAGGCATCAGTTAACAAGATGTAACATGTTTAGGCATCAGTTATACTAGATGTAACATATTTAGGCATCAGTTATACTAGTGTTAACTTATTAAGCCATCAGTTATACAAGATCTAACATGTTAAGGCATCAGTTAAACAAGATGTAACACATTTAGACATCAGTTATGCAAGATGTAACATATTTAGGCATAAGTTATACAAGATATGTATATCTATGCATTAGTCATACTTCATATAGGGAAGAGAAATATAGACATGAATTATACAAGTGAGGAAGTTTATGCATTGGTTATACAACAAGAGCTGTCGGTAGGACAGCAACGCTCAACTATTCTTAGTGCTTGATAGTAAGAAACAATGCTTGATACAATTACCTCCTCCTGTTTACAGGTTGGGGTAATGATGGTGAACAAGTGTGCAAAGATTCAAAGCCATATGTCAATGGACTTTGAAAATATTTGAACTATTACAAAAACTTTAACGTAAATTCTAAGTCGAAAAAGGAGCATAATTCTGTCAAAATGCTTGATACAGTTACCTCCTCCTGTTTACAGGTTGGGGTCATGATGGTGAACAAGTGTTCAAAGTTTCAAAGCCATATGTCAATGGACTTTGAAAATATTTGAACTATTACAAAAACTTTAACATAAATTCTAAGTCGAAAAAGGGGCATAATTCTGTCAAAATGCTTGATACAGTTACCTCCTCCTGTCTACAGGTTGGGGTCATGATGGTGAACAAGTGTTCAAAGTTTCAAAGCCATATGTCAATGGACTTTGAAAATATTTGAACTATTACAAAAACTTTAACGTAAATTCTAAGTCAAAAAAGGGGCATAATTCTGTCAAAATGCTTGATACAGTTACCTCCTCCTGTCTACAGGTTGGGGTCATGATGGTGAACAAGTGTGCAAAGTTTCAAAGCCATATGTCAATGGACTTTGAAAATATTTGAACTATTACAAAAACTTTAACATAAATTCTAAGTCGAAAAAGGGGCATAATTCTGTCAAAATGCTTGATACAGTTACCTCCTCCTGTCTACAGGTTGGGGTCATGATGGTGAACAAGTGTGCCAAATTTCAAAGCCATATGTCAATGGACTTTGAAAATATTTGAACTATTACAAAAACTTTAACATAAGTGGTTACGCCGACGCGGACACCAACGCCGACGCCGACGTTCGGGTGACTACAATAGCTCTACTTATTCTTATCGAATAGTCGAGCTAAAAAAGGGCATGTTTAGACATAAATTATACAAGTGATGGTATGTTTATGCATAAATTGCAATAAAAGTATCCTGCTTACCTGGTTCACCCTTCTGGCCTCTAAGACCGTCTAAACCTGGCAGACCTCTTGGACCTTCCTCACCCTTCTGGCCAACAGTATCACGTCCTGGCTCTCCCTTTCGTCCAGCTAAACCATTAAAACCTGAAACAATCAAAGTCAAGCATAAACTAAATGATGTGTTTACATATGTAAAATTTTATGTAAAACTAAAGATAACATAAAAACCCCACAGAGGTAAATAACAATGCAAGAACAAACTAAATCTTTTATGTATATAAAAAAACAACACAAATTTAAATCTCAATTAATAAATTTGTATACAGACTAAACTTTAAATCTATATGTACACAAAGAACAACATGAAAATTTAATTTTAAACTTCATTTAGACAAGCAAGTGAAAACATTAAAAAATAAGTTGGTTGTTACATAAATCAATCTTGCAATAAATAGCTAGCTTAATTAAATCTGCAACCATGTATTTATTTAAATGATACTTTATAAAACAATTTCTCCCTACCTCTGTCTCCCTTCTCCCCAGGTACTCCTGGTTCCCCATCACGTCCTGGGAATCCAGGCTCACCCTTGAAACCATCACGACCTGGTTCCCCTGGGAAGCCTGAATCTCCCTTGCGTCCTTGAAGACCTGGCAAACCTGGAAGTCCACTATCACCCTTCATTCCTGGTAAACCGGGTTCACCTAGAGACAAAAAAAGTTAAACAATACTTTTACAATAATAAATAAATCTTTTTTTATCATATGTTTAATAAGAAAAAAAATTCTGGAAAGGTGATATCAAGGAAAACAAAAGTAAAAAATTAAAAAAAAATCAAACACCAGGTTTACATAAATCTGCTCGTGAGAGAGACTGATAACATTTCTCACATCCTCTAAAACTGACTGTATAAGTATTTAATCCTCAACATTTCAGGTATTTCAAGTTCTGATCATGAAAGAACACTGCAAAATGTTAGAATTATTCTGATTGAAAAAAAAGAAAACAACCAAAAACAAGTACTGTAATCTTAAAAAAAAATATTTTGATAACTATTGGGGTTTATCAAAGATTTGTACCTGATGGTCCCTCTGGTCCTGGGAATCCTCTCTCACCCTTCATGCCATCCAAACCGGGTAGTCCAGAGCGTCCTGGAAGTCCTGGTTCCCCTTTAGCACCTGGCACACCATCGAGACCAGGAAGTCCGTCGTCACCTGGGGCACCTGGCTCCCCTGGTCTACCTGGTAAACCAGCGTTTCCTGAAAATATACAATGTATTTCCATTGTAATAAATATAAATATAAATACCCTATGCCACAAGTGGCATTCAAAGATGTACAATCAAAAAACAATCTAAAACCTACATGATCAATTCCCACGTATCATAACCCTAAACAAGCGTAAAATAGCCAATATTAAAACTGCTGAGAGCAACAAAATTTCTTAATTATTTTATTTTTTTCTATTTTAAAATATTTTCATTTACACTAAAAATATAATAGATATAATAAAAATATTTTTACCTTTCATTCCAGGTAATCCATCCAGACCTGGAAGTCCTGAGTTGCCTGGTAACCCATCAACTCCCTAAAACAGAAATGTACATGTATTGTGTTTCAGTTATATCTTAACAATATTATTTGAATTATTCCATCCTTTAAAATATTACACTGAGCAAAATCATCACAATTTTTTTTTTTAAATCATTACAAAGACGTCCCAAAATCATCACCAAAGACATCACAAAGTCAAAACCAAATCATGATAAAATCATCAAAAATTCATCACAAACTCTTTTTTTTTTTAAATCATCACAAACTTTCTTTTAAAAAAAATCAACACAAAATTGTCACAAATTAATAACCTAATCATCATAAAGTCATCAATAGATCTTCACATTTATGGTAGTTTTCTGTCACTGATGCATGTACAGAAAATAACTTGCCTATTCTTTCATTATAGAGAGAAGACTGCTTCCTTAATTGTCAGAGACCTTAACCTATTTATCATTGTTTGAAATTTTTTACCTCCTATAAACGTCATTATAATATTCTGGTAGGGTAAAGATTTTACCCATTAGACTTTGAGTACCAACTTTAGATAAGGCAATTCTAATTCTTTAATCCTTTAAACCTTAGATATAGAGATAAAGGGTTTCTGACTAGTTCTCTTTCAATATTCTGATAAATTAATACTTTTATCATATATCTATGATAAAGGGACAGTGAATGTTTAATCCTTGCTAAAGATGTCTTTTGATAATGATCTCAAATGACAAATTTTCATTTCTAATTTTAATTTATCATTATATTATTTTATGGTCTAAATTTCACATGTTTACGTACATCCGACAAGCTTGAATATGAGAAGCCCACTGATTGTTATGGTCTAGGTTAGCAAGCATCTCATTTGAAGTTGTTTGATGTAAAAGAAGCTGCAGTTCAGTCTTTTTGGCAAACATGCTGTCAGTACAAACTGGTATATCCCTTTTGTAAGCACCAAAAGGACTATTATTTATAGTCGTGTCAAAATCATTTCTTTTACAGAATTATTTTCATGACTTACTCGTTCCCCCTTCATTCCAGGGAATCCGGGAACTCCAGCATCTCCCTTTGCTCCGGCATTTCCTGGTAAACCGTCAAGTCCGTCACGACCTGGTTCCCCGGGGAAACCTCTCTCACCAGGCTGACCGATGCCAGGAAGACCTTGTTCACCCTTCATACCTGGAAACCTTTGGGGTTCCTTGTAAAGAAAACATAACAAAAGGATAAAAAAGGACATATGGTCTTTAAGCTGACCAAATTTTGCTCTTGGGAGGTTACAAGGGAAGGGGGCTAACCCATCCCAATTTTGCCCCATAGCAGATGTTTAAAGCAGGAAAGTTAAAATAGCAAGGGTTTCCTTTTAACCCTTGTAAAGAAAACATATAACCACTCTGTATTCAACATAACAAAATTTTAAATTTGAACCAGACCACAAATTTCAGATACATAACTTTCCACCTGCTAGAACTGAACATGATTAGCCTTTACAGTTCAATTTTAATACTGAAACCACAATATTTTCAAAAAGACTATTTGAAATTCAAAGCAGAGCAAATCTGTTACACAAATTAAACTTGATAAATCTGTTACACAAATTCAGCTGATAAATCTGTTACATAAATTCAGCTGATAAATGTTACACAAAAATAATCTGATAAATCTGTTACACAAATTCAGCTGATAAATCTGTTACACAAATTCAGCTGATAAATGTTACACAAAAATAATCTGATATATCTGTTACACAAATTTAGCTATTAAAATTGTTACACAAATTCAGCTGATAAATTTGTTACACAAATTACGCTGATAAATCTGAGACACAAGTTAATTAATCTGATTTATCGTACCATCAAATCCTCTGCTTCCTGGTTGTCCACTAAGACCTGGTAGTCCTCGGTCACCTTTCATTCCTGGTAAACCTGATAGTCCTGGTTCCCCGTCCATCCCTGGTAAACCTGGTACTCCATTGTCGCCCTTCTCTCCTGAAATATGGCATTAGAAAAATTGTAGAAGTGATCATTAGCAATGCCATGTACAAATAAACTTACCTGTGCCTAAAATTAAATGGAAATGGAAATTTAATTACTGACAAAAATATTGTAATAATAACGAGTACAGTGAAACTTGTGTTAAAAGTCCACCACTGAAAAAAAAGATAACTCTACAAAGAAAGGTCAAATTTTCATAACCCTTCATTGATAAAATTGAATAAAATAACCCTCCTAATAAAGACAACTTATTAATAAAGACCATGTTTTGTCCTTTGGATGGCCGTTGTTCACAGATTTGACTATAATGCACTTAAGATTAATATTTGCTACTCATATCAAACAAGGGGGATAAATCATTTTAAACATTTTTTTAGTTATTTCTTCACCTAACAAATGACTGTTTAAACATGTCTTATATTTTTCAAATTTTCCAACGCAACAAATATAAGGTCCTACCTGGTCGTCCAGAAAGTCCGGGTTCACCGTCACGTCCTGGGAAGCCACGTTCTCCCTTTGATCCACGAACACCTGGCAATCCTGGCAGCCCATCACGTCCAGGTTCTCCAGGGAATCCTACAACACCAACCTCGCCCTTTGGTCCTGCAAGAGAAATGAATCAGTAATGGGCTTAATTAAAATAAATATTCTGTTTATCACATACCTCCCAAAATAAAAAGGGCCTTTTAAAGTTAAAAAGATCATTTTCATGGATGTCTATGGTGTAAGCAAAAATTTAGCCCCTTTTTAGCTTTTTTTGTAATTTAAAAAAATGAACATCATATCATTTTTTTACTTAGTTGCAAAATCAGCACGGGTGTGTGATAAATTGAAATATTTATTACTAAAAAACACATTCGTAAAAAATTCATCAAATACTGTGTACTAAAAAGTAAGTTTTCCAAGATAATACTAAAGTATTTGTATGTCTGCAATCAAGAGAAATATGGACAATGGCATATTTTCTATCACTGCCTTCTGTCGGTCATCCCTATTAAAAATAGAATTATTATCTCAATTATCACAAGAGAAAATTAAGTTACTAAATTCTATCCAGTTAGGAGAATCAGGATTTCATATTTCTAAAAATCCTGATTTAAATTGATTTAAATACAGAATTTTTCCCTTTTGTAAAATATCTACAATATATTATAAAATGTCAAACGCCCAGTTTGTTCTTATTACCTGAAAGTCCTGGGAGTCCATCGTCACCATCGGGGCCTCTGGGTCCGGGAGCTCCATCCAGACCAGGTAAACCATCCCTACCACTAAATCCACTCTCTCCAATATCACCCTTACCACCCTGAAGTCCGGGTACCCCTGGTAACCCAGGCTCACCCTTAAATCCTACAGCTCCTAGAATAATACAACAATGTCATCATAATTTACTTTTACTAAATCAATTAAACTGTATCTGTTGCCCATGATAACAAACTGAAAATTTGGAAAATGGTAATGTAATAAATGTTATAATGCATTTAAATAAAACAGAGAAAAAAATGTTTGTGGTATTTAATTTAAGCAAATTTCATAGCTCAATAAAGTCATTTTATCAAATTTTCATAAAATAAATCTTTTTTTTTCTGTATATTTACATATTAATTTTGTTAAAATAAACTGACGTAATTGTAATATGATAAAAACCTGGTAGTCCGGGTAATCCGGGTTCTCCTGGTTCACCAGACAATCCTCGTGGTCCAATCGGTCCGGGCTCTCCCTTCAGTCCGGGCCTGCCGTCAAGACCAGGTGCTCCGTTCAAACCAGGGTTTCCTTTCATGCCAGGTAACCCATCTAGACCAGGCATTCCTGTAGAAAATGGAAAACAAAATCTTCTAGTAAAATGTTTATTGATAAAACAAAAATAATGCTACAAAGTATTCAAGTTAACAACTATCTTCTCTAAATAAAGTTAAAAAATATTTCAAAACATGAATAATTATGAAAAACCGTTCAACTTTTTCACTTCACACACACACACAAACCCAAACAAAAAAGACTTTAAATGTTCAGTAATTCATACCATACCAATTATGTTCAACATAATCAGGAAAAAAGTAATCAATTTTTAGAGTATTTGTTGTAGAATAATACACAGTTAAAGATCAAATGCATAGAAATATAACCATGAATACCAAAAGGCCTTATTGATTATTTAAAATGTATTAACACAATAAACCATGCATTACTTTACTATAACACAAGTAAATTAAATGTTTTGGAGGTGCAATTATCACTGGGGCCTCCCTTGTACCATTATGCTTCAAAAACTTCCCAATCTAAATTGCTCTATCTACAGAACATGTTTTCTTTTTGATTACTAAATTCATATCGAAATTTTTTTTTTTTGCAAATATAAAAGCCTTAAATCTATTGTGTTACACATTTGCTATAACAACATTTAAAAGCCTCTTTACCTCGGTCACCCTTTCGTCCATCCAATCCTGGAGCGCCTGGTTCTCCGTTGATTCCTGGTTCACCTTTTGGTCCTACTACTGCATTTCCTGGTATACCAGGTTCACCCTTCAATCCTGAAAATTTAATCAATGTATAAAAAGTATTAGAAAAATGGCCATTTTTTTTTCAAATTTTGAAATATTATTTTTTAAGATTTTTTAGTTCTCATTTAAAGAACCATTTACTAAGGGGGAAAAATTAATAAAATTAGAGTCACGGAAAATAGCTTCCACTAATTCTACATTCTGGCCAAACCCTGAGTGGCAGTATGGCTGAGTGGTTAACGCTTTGTACTAGTAATCTAGGGATTGCGGACCACATGGGTTCAAACCCTGTCAGAGACAAGCCATTGTTTCCTTGAGCAAGAAACTTTACATCCATTGCTGAGTGCTAGTTGGTTCCAGGAGCAGATTTGAAAGTGTTTCAATAAGCTTATAGCTTCCAACACAATCAAACTAAAATAAATTGGTATAAACTAAACCCTGAACAGCGCCTCTGTCACACTGCGCTGCTGCCCCAATCAGGGGAAGTAACTGCTGCAGTTAGTTTATATTCTAGGTAAGCCACTACTTTGGTAGCTTAGTTTTTGAAATTTGATATTGAGATCCCATAATTTCCAAATTCTAAGAATAATTATAAACACGGATGCAAGTAGAAAATTTCGAAAAAACCTGAAAACTGTTATTCAAAATCATTTTCCTACATAATCCAAAAGTAAAACATGATGAAGTTCGTCACAAAAAAAAAACTGTGCTTCAGGCATATGCCTGAAAACTTGCACAAATGGATAAATAATTAAGATATGTATACCTTGAAGGCCTGGCAGACCTGGCACGCCTGGCTCTCCCTGCGGTCCATCAAATCCTGGCAGCCCAGCAACACCAACAGCTCCCTTATCTCCTCTCACACCGGTCAAACCTTTAAAAAAAACAATTTTGCTATAATTAAACATCATTGCGTTTTTTTTAATGCTGTACGAAATAATGTAATAATGCACTTGACTGCCCTGATCAGTTTGATAGGGGAATATTGTTAGAATGAACTTTTAGCCTCCCTCAGGCATGCAACCAGTGTGGACCATGTAAAAGTTGTCACATCCATGCTGTCTGATCATGGCCTATGTTGTTTGCTTCTCAGTAAGTACTTACTTTTTTCAATTTTTCCCAAAATTATAAATGAGCTGTGTCACGACATAACCAATATAATTGGTTTGCGACCAGCATGGATCCAGACCAGCCTGGGCATCCCCGCAGTCTGATCAGGATCCATGCTGTTCGCTATCAGTTTCTCTACTTGTAACAGGCTGGTCTGGATCCATGCTGGTCGCAAACGCACTATGTTGGTTTTGTCATGACGCGGCTCATATGAATTTGTCCTTGTTGAAAGCTTGACAAGTTCATTTAACTTTATTAGGTGAAGTTATAAAATGTAAAAAAACTCAGCAACTTAGGTTTAGGATCAAACACTGTATTGTCAAATAAAGCCCTCAATCAATTGTTTGCTTTAAATTGCCATTTCTAACACATTTGTTTATAAATCTCTGTGGCTGGTCCACCGAACTGGCTTGACCCTGGATAACTAACCAGTAATTAACCAATTTCTCCGAAATGACCAACTGCTTATCCCACATAATTTCTCAATCAGCTGTAGAGAGTTAAATGACCATTAGACTCTAAGTCAATGAACGATTGACTTTGAGAAATTTCACATTGCCAAAGGCTACCCTGAATAACAAATCTAATCTGATGCTCTTCCTATTGAACTAGGTGGCCCTCATTTACTTATACAATTGAACTATAATATCATAACTATAACTACCTCTGGGTCCCGGCTCTCCTGGTCTTCCATCTAATCCTGGTTCCCCTGGTCGTCCTGGTAACCCATCAAGGCCTGGCAGACCTGGTTCCCCGGATGAGCCATCCGATCCTGGTAGACCATCCAGTCCTGGCAATCCTGGGGGACCAGCAGGGCCTCTGTCACCTTTAGCTCCTTTAAGCTCATTTCCAATAAAGATAGTTTCACCTGAGAATAAATGATATAGATGAAACAAACTTTTGAATTGAAACATTTTCTTTTTTGTATCTCTACATAAAAATTAATGATCTACTGTGAATTGAATAAATCATAACATTTATTTTAGCCTTAACCTAACTCAAGTAATGTTTGGTAACATAACAAACCAATGTTTAGCAAATAAAAAAATGTAAAACAATCAGAAATAATGATTCTAGAAAAAATAATGGAAATGCTAATTCTTTCTAATAATTCATACAGAATGACAGTTGGAAGTAACTTATGACATTTAAGTCTTACCTGCCATACCCTTGTCACCCTTCATTCCTGGAAGTCCTGGCAAACCTGGTTGCCCAGGTTCCCCGCGCTCTCCTGCCGCACCAGGCATACCAAACCCTGGTTCTCCCTTCTTACCAGGAATACCTGACTCACCCTTCATACCTGGACGTCCCGGCATGCCATCGACACCAGGTGTACCCTAAAAAAATCAACAAGGTAACTCAAATTACAGTGAAATGCTTGAGATATGAATAAGGTTGCCACACCTTTTGAAAATATGCATTTAAATAACTATGAATATCAATATGCTAAATGAATTGCTAAATTAGTCAAAGAAATACAATGAAAACTTTTTATTTCTGCCTATACTTTAAAATTTTATTTTTTTTCATAAACAAGAGCCAGTTAAACCAGACAAAGTACATTAGTCTGTAAAGCTGTAGAAGGTATATATTTTGTTAATGGAAGATTTCTAGGTATAAACAACAACTGGTTGAACGGGGTGATGCTCCCCGAGAAGGTTCTGGACACAGGAAAGAATATAGTTTCAGAGTTATGTCCTGGGTAAAATTCAAAGTGTAAAAATGAACAAAGGGTAATAACTCCAAAATTAGACTTGGCTTTGTTTAGGTTCTTTTAGCATTGCAGTTCTCGCCAATGATATCTAGCTACCTACAAAGTTTCATGTTGATATCTCTTATAATTTTAGAGTAATGTCCCGGACAAAGTTCAAAGTGTCAAAATGAACAAAGGACAATAACAACAAAAGTAGGCATGACAGTGATACAGTTCTTGTGCACTGCAAACCTACTCAATGAGATCTATCTACCTACAAAGTTTCATGTTGATACCTCTTATAGTTTTAGAGTTATGTCCTGGACAAAGTTCAAAGTGTAAAAATAAACAAAGGGGAATAATTCAAAAATTGGGCAAGGCAGAGTTACGGTTCTTATGCACTGCAAACCTACTGAATGAGATCTATCTACCTACAAAGTTTCATGTTGATACCACTTATAATTTTAGAGTTATGTCCTGGACAAAGTTTAAAGTGTAAAATAAACAAAGGGGGATAATTCAAAAATTGGGCTAGGCAGAGTTACGGTTCTTGTGCACTGCAAACCTACTGAATGAGATCTATCTACCTACAAAGTTTCATGTTGATACCACTTATAGTTTTAGAGTTATGTCACAGAAAAGTTCAGAATGTTAACAGAGGGGGATAATACAAAGTTTCATGTTGATACCTCTTGTTGTTTCAAAGTTATGTCCCGGACAAGAAAAGTGAAAGGACGGACGAAAAGATGGATAGACGGATGGACAAGGCAGCGACTATATGCTCATCAGAAATTTTTAGGGGAAGATAAAAATTAACCATACCTTTTCTCCCTGGATTCCAGCAAAACCCTGTGGTCCTCTAGGACCCTGGGGTCCTGGGGGTCCACGTTCTCCATTCAGACCATTAATACCTGGCTCTCCAGGCTCTCCCTTTGGTGCTGAAAAGTTAAAATAGGCATATGTGTAGTTAATTAAGCAACACACTTTGACATATGTGTAGTTAATTATGCAACACACTTTGGTGCTAAAAAGTTAAATTAGACATATGTGTAGTTAATTATGCAACACACTTCAGTGCTGAAAAGTTAAAAAAGACATATGTGTAGTTAATTATGCAACACACTTCAGTGCTGAAAAGTTAAAAAAGACATATGTAGTTATAACTATGCAACACATATGAAAGTAGGAACTGTCATATGCTATAAATTTCATCTGGCATGAGCTAAAAGCTGCATTGAGATCCATTTAAAATGAAACTGGGCTCTTAACCATTATGAAGTTAAAAATTCATACACTATTGTAAGAAAATAGCAACAGATGAAATGAAATCAATAACTAGCTATCAATAACCATTAAAAAATTAAATCTAATGAGGTAAACGATTTATAATATGGTAAAATATGGTAGACCATGCAAGAAAAATTATCTGACATGTGTTTGAAATTCAAATATTAATATCCCTCTTTTCATGGGTACCCTCCCAAGGGTGTATACCCTCAAGACAGAACTCCCAAGGGCAGGTTACCTCAAGACAGAGCTCCAAAGGGCAGATACCCTCAAGACAGAACTCCAAAGGGCAGTAACCTCAAGACAGAGCTCCCAAGGACTGATACCCTTGAGACAAAACTGTCATTCCAATCTGAACTGCAAAACAAGACAGATTATCATTCTGCCATGTTTGTACGTTATGCTACATATGCTGATGGTGTCGATGGGGGGATAAGATAACAGCCAGGACGGCACTTCTATTATAATTTAAGTCACTTACGTGTAAGAATATCAATCGGAACAAATGCATCTTTCCCTGGTTCTCCTGGAATTCCCTGTAATCCAGGCAATCCCTTCTCTCCCTATAAAAAATATTGTACCATATAGTTCAGTTAGTTGTGAAATAACATAATATTTCAAGTAAGTTCAAAACTATCTTATCTATGTTTGGAATATTTAGCAATAAGATACTGTATTATGATTGCATAAGTGGATATTTCCTTGTGTAAAAAAGTCAGCAGATATTTTGTGTGAGAAAATATTAGCAAATAATGGAAGGGGAGAATGTTATGACATGTTGGTAAATATTTACGCTACAGGACATCTTCGGGATTTTTCGTCAATTCAGGAAATTCACCAAAATTTCCATGTTGCTAACTTAACAACTTAATGGTTATTTTTGCATTAAACAAATTTAGCAATTTTGGCAGTGATTTAATGTTAGCCAATTTTGTTTTAGTAATATGATTCTGCCTGATTCATTTTTGTTTTAATTTTTTGTTTTAATTTTTTGTTTTGCTCACCAAAATTTATCTATCTCAGACTCAAGATGCTATTTTCCCATTTGTGTTAACAAGTACAAGGCATAAAGTATTATTCTATTTTATTATCAAACACATATTATTTTACAAGTATCCTTTCTTTCGCACACAAAAAAAGAATCTCCTGTATGTGTACCCGGAAATAATGTTAAAAATGTCAAATGATATAGTTCATGAGTTCATAGGTAGAATTTGTTTTCAATTTTGAGAAATCAACATTATACAATACATACGGGTACTCCTTGAAGTCCTTGTTGACCAGGCAAACCATCAAGTCCAGCTTCTCCTTTAGGACCAACAGGTCCCTCTGGTCCACGCTCTCCGGACAACCCAGGTCGTCCTGGCAACCCAGCTTCTCCCTTTTCTCCTTTGTAACCATTCTGACACAGGTTACAGCTTCCACCAATTTCACCTTTTGGACCATCACGTCCAGCGGGACCTGGTAAACCATCTAGACCAGAATTACCTGGGAGGCCCCTTTCTCCTTTCTGTCCAGGTAAGCCAGTACGACCCACTGAAGAATTTCCTGGCAATCCAGGTAGACCACGTGGACCGGAATCTCCTTTTGCTCCGGGAAATCCATCACGTCCTGGTTCACCAGGACGACCTGGTTCTCCAGGAATTGAACGACCTGCTTCTCCTTTGAAACCTTGTTCACCTTTAGCACCAGGGTAACCTGGTTGTCCTGGTAACCCATCCAATCCAGGAAATCCTATGTAAAACAGAAAACACAAAAATACTTTACAAATATCAAATATAAAAAACAAATATCAAATATAAGTGCCTAAACCAAAATACTATTACTCATGTTTGTTGTGGATACTCTTCAATATTATGATAAAAGAGCAAAGAAAAAATTTAAAAAAAAAATATCAATACAACTACATCTCCTCCTTTTCTGCCACATTAGTGTTAAAAACAATTTCTTGGTCTTTAAAGAGTTAACAAACCTTGAAGACCCATTTCGCCTTTTTCTCCCTCAGGTCCATCATTTCCCTGGGGTCCTGGTGGGCCTGGAATACCGGGTCCTCCTCTAGGGCCTTGAATTCCGTTTTCACCTCGTGCACCTGGTAATCCTGGAAGTCCATCTTCTCCACTTGGACCTCTAGGTCCGGGCGGTCCTGGGTCACCAACTTGTCCATCACCACCTCCAGGTCCCTACAGATAAAGAGTATATGTATATGGTAAAAAATCTTTTCCTCAATATTCACATTCATACACAATGTGACAATGTTCTTGAAATAGTCTTTAATAATATAATGCAAATTTTAAGATATTAAAAAAAAGTATTTTCTTTAAAAAAAAACAAAAAAACTACGATTGGTTAGGTACCTAAATAAATTATGAAAGCATGGGTGAAAAAAAAACACCTGAAAATTATGAACTAAGAAGATAATTTTGGATTCAGAAATAATACTGAAAGCCTCACTAACTGCCAGGAAGATACTGTATAAATAACAGATACTGTATTTATCCCATATACCATTCTTTCTTAATTCTGAGAAAAACCGTAAAAATAATAACAGAACAAAAGACTGAAATATAACAACATCCAATACTTAATGTGCCAATAAGAATAATGATTTCCAATTGTTTTGTTGTTGTTTACTTTTTTTCTTTTGTTGTTGTTGGTGTATTTTCCTTGCTTTTTTTATTATGCAAGCTATATATAGCAGATGTTTTAACAAAACATGAAACCAACTTACACCTGGGGGTCCCTGGGGTCCTCTTGGTCCAACATTACCCTTCATGCCAGTGTAACCTCTTTCTCCCTTCATACCTGGCAAACCGGATAAACCTGGTAGTCCATCTTCACCGCTGTCACCCTGTTGAATAAAAACAATTCTTTTACAAAATCCTTATTTGAAAATTCAATAAAAAAAAAAATCAATATTAAACATAATCAAACCTGTACTGAAGACCGAAGTTTTTCTTCATACTTCCCATTAATATGGACATACCAAATTACTGGTGAAGCATGAGCTACAGGAAAATTAACTGATGTTTTCCATGAACTGGCAACTGGTTAATCAAACAGACTACTGGTAAATCAAACAAGTTACTGGTAAATCAAACAAGTTACATGTATATCAAACAGACTACTGGTAAATCAAACAAGTTACTAGTAAATCAAACAGACTACTGGTAAATCAAACAAGTTACTAGTAAATCAAACAGACTTCTGGTAAATCAAACAAGTTACTAGTAAATCAAACAGACTTACTGGTAAATCAAACAAGTTACTAGTAAATCAAACAGACTTCTGGTTAATCAAACAAGTTACTGGTAAATCAAACAGGATATTGGTTAATTAATTTAACACGCTACTAGTACATTTTTAACTGCAACATTTACATTTTTGTTGTGCTAGGAAACCAGCTTTTCTATTCACTATTCTACTTGCTCATCTTTCAAATTACTGTGAAAGTTCACCCTCTAAAAATGTATTACAGTAGTCTCCCATTTTTATACTCGTTTTGACTACGGTATATCACAACATCTTACACATATTCTCCTTTTAAATTTGAAATAATACACCATAGGCACTTGGTTTCTGGATAAAAAGCTTTTTGAGAGCTTTCTAGAGCTCCAATTCGATTGAATGTAACAATTTTTTAACATAGATGTCTTGATTCTAAAACTGTCCTTTTTCCGATGTTACTAAAACATAACATTGGAAAAATTACAGTTTTAGAATCAAGACATCTACGTTCTAAAATTGTTACATTCAATCAAATTAGAGTTCTACAAACCTCTCAACGGGTTTTTATCCTGAAACCAAGTGCGTATTTATTACACTATTACAATGTGACTTTCTTACCTTAGGTCCTGTAAATCCTGGGATACCTGGCAAACCTTGTTTACCCTGAAACATATCAACATACACATTATCACTGATTACTTCATCTTTATAAACAAAATTTATTTCTTACCACAAACACAAAATAAAATATCAATCTATATTGACTTGTGGAATAATCAATGCTCTATGTACTTTGTAAACGTAACATTTTAGTCTATAACAAAACATCTTTTTACAAGAAAAGATATTCTTGCAATAGACTTTCTGTATCAAATAATTAACATGTTTTCCACAAAGAAATGATTATATAAACCATATCATTTTGTTTTGGATAAATTTTAAGGCACATCAACACACATAATGATGACTCTTTAGCTTTACAGTTCTATAAAGCTGACAGGGTGTCTGTGTTTTACCAAAGGCCTGAGATAGTACCAGAGTAGAACTATCAACCATCTGTACTTACATGTACTTCCATACATGTGCAAACTCAAGTGCCTGTGTTGGGATTTGAACATTCATTCAGCTGTGAGGGACACCTGATTTGCAGTCAGCAACCTTAAACACTCGGCAACTAACACATGGCAACCTCGGCAACTATCACGTGGCAACCTCAACAACTATCATGTGGCAACCTCAACAAAACTTACAGGTTACAACCTTGACAACTTACATGTGACAAAAAGTTTATAAATACTATAGGATGACTTACCCTCGGACCAGCAATTCCTGGGACACCCTTTTCTCCATGCATACCTGGTTCTCCAATACGACCCTTAAGTAAAAATCAAACATGTCATTAGTTCCTATATTTATTAATCATCTATATACTAGTACAGATGCTTTATTTGTGTTAGATTTTATATGGCCAAATTTTAAACATATTTAAGGTTATATAACCAGAATAACTAGACATGTGTTATATATCAAACAACATTTTATACACAGTCATATACATGTAACCTTTTAAAAGTCTCTATAACACATTACCCTAACCCTTATACTGGGTTATTGCAATAAACTTGCTGTAGTCATGTTATACACATAATATACATGTATATTCAACAAATGAATTTGGAACAGTCCACTTTGGCTCTTCTCTGGCTAAGTACTACATTAATTAATTAAGTAATTAATTAATTAATTAATTATCTGATTGATTAATTAATGTTACTAATTACTTTAGTTTCCAAAACAGACCAGGTCAAGTAAATAAATTCAGACCCTTCTGCATACTCTAAACTGTTGCCTCTAAATATATTTTAAAAATTAAATTGCTTAAATGTCTACTGGACATTTAAGATTCTGACATTTTTAAATATTTGATTACATGGAACAAAACATTATCTGTGACATTTTAAAATATAAGAACCATCATAATATTATATCATTTTAACTTACTGGTTGTCCGTCTGCTCCTGGGAAACCACGGGGTCCATAAGGACCAGCCTCTCCTTTCTGCCCTTTCATACCCCTCTCACCTTTAGCACCTAATAAAGCAATGTAAAAATGTTGAACAGACATTATGATTTATAAAAAAAAAAAAAAAAAAAATCTTCCTTCTTGTTTGTCTTCAGATATTAGCTATCAAGGATTACTTAGTAATTTTATAGATTTCTTTCAGAATATGACCTTATAATATTTCATGGGGTAAGATGTTATACATGTATATTATTTTTGTAACTTATTTCTTTGTTTTAGAGGGAGAGTACAACAAAATCTTAATACATGTACATGTATAACAAAATCTACAGATATGTTTCTTTTATGTTGTAACTGCTGGAAGGCCTTCAGTTACCTTACAACTGTTAAAATGCCTTTTTTGATTATGAGCAAACTTCGTTGCTTAATTACGTATTTGTTATATAGTAATACAAGTTTAAAAGAGTTTAAAAAAAACACTTAATTTTCAAAATAGCAAGAGAATATGACATAATAATTCAAGTACCTTGCAATGTCTCATTGTTTCCGGTAAATGGTAATTTCGTTGTTCCTGGTGGTCCAGGGATACCCTTAGGCCCCCTGGCTCCTTTATCTCCCTTCTCTGGCTTGTAATTGATACCCATGTTACCTTTCTGACCGGGGTTACCTGGAAGACCTGGGGGACCCTGGTAGACAGATACGTTTTATTATTAAATTTCTACATTAAAAAAAAAAACCTACAAACATGTAATATATGACCATCAAATTGAGTCATATTTTAAACAAAAACATCTAAATGGTGAACCAATGTATCAAACTTGCTACTTGTTCCTTTATCATAATACTTGTTACCATGGCAATTAAAATTTGCATCTATAAACATGAAACATCAAATAGTTTTAACTACATTTAATTTAGTCATCGGGGTCAAGATACTGTGAAAATATAGCAAATCTGATAAACTTTGCACATAACACGCAAAGTGCCAACAAGATAGTAAATATCTTTATACATTTCAACTACTAATATATTTTCCATCAGATTTAGTGTTTTAAAAGTTTGTTCCTTGTCTCAAAGCATTTCACTTTAACAATTTAAGATTAAAACTATGAAACAAAAAGATGAATTACTGTATATCCACGTGGTCCGATGTCACCTGGCTGTCCTGGTAGTCCATCATTACCATTCAGACCCTGGAATACCAACAGCATTTTTGTATAAAACAGTCATGTATATTGTGTAAAACAGTCATGTATATTGTGTAAAACAGTCATGTATATTGTATAAAACAGTCATGTATATTGTATAAAACAGTCATGTATATTGTGTAAAACAGTCATGTATATTGTGTAAAACAGTCATGTATATTGTGTAAAACAGTCATGTATATTGTGTAAAACAGTCATGTATATTGTATAAAACAGTCATGTATATTGTATAAAACAGTCATGTATATTGTGTAAAAGTAATGAATCAAAACTGAAGCATGGTTTTATTTTAGCTTGATTGTGATTGCGATGAAAGCTTGAAATTTTATTAAACCACTTTAGAGTCTGCTTCCTGGAACAGACGAGAACTGGGTCAAAGGTGATAGAGAAATGTTTTACTGGGTCAAAGAGAAAATGTTTTTCTAGGTCAAAGGTTAGAGAGAAAATGTTTTACTAGGTCAAAGGTTATAGAGAAATGTTTTACTGGGTCAAAGGTTATAGAGAATTGTTTTACTAGGTCAAAGGTTAAAGAGAAAATGTTTTACTGGGTCAAAGGTTATAGAGAAAATGTTTTACAGGGTCACAAATTATAGAGAAATGTTTTACTGGGTCAAAGGTTATAGAGAATTGTTTTACTAGGTCAAAGGTTAAAGAGAAAATGTTTTACTGGGTCAAAGGTTATAGAGAAAATGTTTTACTGGGTCACAAATTATAGAGAAATGTTTTACTGGGTCAAAGGTTATAGAGAAAAAGGATATTGTAAAATGAATAAAATAAAACTAGCAAGATTCTTTAAAATGGCACAGAATTATTATTTCTTATAGATACAAAATGTTCAAAATAGCACTAGTAAACACCTGTAAATAATTTTCTTTCAATATAAAGATTATCTAATGTTAAAGCAATGTTTTTTTTTCTAGAAAAAACAATTAATATTAACAGTAAATAATATGAGAGAAACACAAGTTGGAAAAAAAAACTGTCCAACTTACTGGTGCACCTGGGATTCCAGAAGGTCCAGACTCTCCTTTTTGTCCTTTAAATCCTGCTACAGCTGTTCCTGGTTCCCCCTTTTGACCTTTAACTCCATCAAAACCTGGGATACCCTCGGTTCCCGGCTCACCTGGTCGACCTGCCACACCAGGCTCTCCCTATACAAACAACAAGATTGCAGTTATAGACTATACAAACATAATTATATAGAAAAAATAAAATTTAATTTATTTAAATGGGTAACGTCCAGTATGTGTATATATCATCATGACAAACTTATCAATGTCAAACCAGAATACTATTGCTAGTATTAAACATTAACGATACAACAGTTTTGGCCCCCATATCTTTTGTCACATGTATGATGTAAGAAACAATACAGTTGAAATGGATTTCATCAATATTATTTTTACATTTATTTTTTTTGTGGGGGGTGCAGGGCAGTAGTCAAACACAACTAGAATACATGATTAATAAATTAAACATAAATAAGCAAAACGTTTCAAACAAATATTGCTAATACTTGTATATCAATAAAAATCAACATTATAACATTGTTCAAACTCTTTTATCAGATAGCTTTATGTCTAGGTTGGATTACTTAAGGAATGTTAAATTGATTACAAAGTTTGGTTACAGTTTTTTTTTCTTCATTTTTTTCTATTTTATTTGTTTTCTCTGGAGTTGAAAATTAATTTGTAAACAGTATATGAGTCATCATAATAGCCTACACACCTATTTCTTACAGTGCCTTCATAAATATCTGTCTTTGCAGCAAAAACCAGAACTACTTTTCCTAAGACTTGCCAGGAAAACAGTATTCATACAGTCCCCACCCGAACTCCTATGATTCAACATTAATAAAGATGGTGGAAGAAAAAGGCAAACTGATTAATTACCATCTCTTTGAGAAATTTCTCTGAAAATGTTTATCCTCAAAGAAAAGTAGTTTATTCAGGTGTATGAATATCTGAGACCTATTTTCTCTCTCTCTCTTTTTTTTCCTGATTACATTGCAAAAATGTTGTTTATATAAGAAACTAATGGTATTTGTCTGTCACTAAATCTATGGAATGAGATTTTCTCTACAAATCCTAGTGATGAAAATCATTTTAGTAATCCCTGCTGACTAAAATATAAATTGGCAAGAACTACTTTTTGTGTTTTCTGGAAAATATTCCAGGTAAATGAAATACATCAGTTGTTACCTTGACTGTTTTGACAATATTGCATTACAATGTTTATTTAACCTAAAGAAATATAAAATAAGCAAAAGGAGTTTTTAAAGATATTATTTTAACTTTATTTTTTATTTTTGAATTTTTGCTATCATTAGTTTATGTGCCTTCATTTTCCTTACAAAACTGTCCCAAGTTCTTTTATAAAGGAACACCAAAGTATTTTTTGCAATGTTTTAACTTTCCACAAACAGAAACTATACAAACTAATATTGTTAAAACAGACAAAATCTGAAGATAGTTAAAATAAATTTAACACTGAAAAAAAAAATTCACACACTTAAAAGAAATTTAACTTTCTAAATTTTCTAATTTTACACTGAACTGATTGTAACAAGACTATGGAAAATATTTATCTGACAAAAACAGCTTTATACTAAATAATAGAGTAAAATAAGAATTTCTACGAATTTTCACACACAGCTCTTTATCTTTTTAGCTTTTAATCTTTGCTGAAACTCCCCCAGATTTTGAGTGTAAAGAACATGAACAGGTTGGCATGTGAGATTAGAAATTGTTGATGAATATGTCTGAATGTTTAGTCTACAAGATTCCCAGGCTCTTGCTGAATCAGCGGTTCCATCAAATCCACTGAAAGATTTTTCTTTGCTGAATTATAAAATGTAAAATCTGTATAATTTAACTGTTAGCCTGTTTGCGGCAACAGATACTCTAGTCTTTACCCATGCAACCAGTGCGGACCAAGATCAACATTTGTGCAGTCAGGTCTGATTAAGGATTACAGTGGTAGATATATATTTTGAAATTTTATCTTAAAATGATTTATGGTTGTATCCAGATTGAAAGAATGGTCAAGTCCATTCAAGATATTTAACATGGTAATTTTGACTTTTTATAATATGAAAAGCAAATGAAATTCTAAATGTGGTCAGATGTTGAAACATTTTATAGATTAAAACAATTACAGTAAAAGTTATTTTTTTTATTCAAGCTCCCACTAACCAAAAAAAAAAACATACTAAATCTATAGACAATTTATAAATCTATTGGCCTGACTTTGGTTTGGAATATATGCAATGATTGTGGTGTTCTATTAACATTTTCTCTGTTTTCTATAAACATTTTCTCTGTTTGTTATTTGATTTTTTTTTCTGTATCCTCTTTGGACATTATTTTTTGTTTGTTCTTTAAACATTGTTTCCCTTTGGTCATTGAAAATTGTTTCCTCATTATTTTATTCTTTAAACATTATTTTTGTTCTTTGAACACTGCTTTCTCTTAATTCATATATTTTTTCTTTGTTCATTGAACATTATTTTCTCTTTTTAATTCAATAATGTTTTCTTTTTGTTCTATAGACACTGCTCCTCAGAACTATGTTTTCTCCTTGTTTATTGAACATTGTATTTTATTTAGTTTTGTTTTGTTCAAAAGATCTTTATCTCCAATTTCAATATGAAAAACAGTCTGTGAAAAAGCAGTACTTATAATAAACCAATGTGAGAAAACCTTACATTATTGCCTTCATGCATATAAAACTTAATTACTGTAACCCTGAATGATTTAATTTGTCTGAGAAATCATTCTATTCCGCCTGCATCAAGTTGCATGGATTTTATATTAACAATAAATTGCTATAATTGTTTTATAAAAATTGTGAGGAATTTTTTTTACTTGCATAAGTTTCCCTCAATTTTCAAGGAAATTGAAGTATAGGAAATGGAAGTTTAGAGATAAAACTAGATAAACTCTGCAAAATTTTAGTATTTTGCACATTTAGAAAACATTTAGAATTATAAATAGAATTAGAAGTATCATAAATGGTTGGAATCATTTATGGTTTTGTTGGCCCAAATGGTTGAAATTATTTATGGATTTGTTGGCCCATGCTGTTCTTTACAATTCAGAATTAATATCAATAATTATTTCTATTCTTCTTAAAGGATATAAAGATATATCTAATGAAATATATTTTTAGAAGTTGTAAAACAGTAAAATTATATTGTTCGTGTAATCTCAAAATGGTTGTTTCTAGAAAGAGTTATAACATAGAATGTCTCTCCTATTTAACATATAAACATTGTACGTTAGCAGATTAAGATGTTCCCAAACAAATACCATTTAGCAATGATTTCATGTGCCATTTGGTCATTAGGATATATACAAATTTCAGGGTGTCCATTTGACCCTTGAAATGATTCTTTGACCCTTCAAATTTCAAAAAAACCTGATTTGACCATCAGGATTAAAACTGTAACAATCATATTTCTCTGATTCAGACATTTTTGGACCTATTCTTTTTCAAAACTAAAACATAAAATTTGTTAAGTGGAAGCAGCAGAGATATAGCTTCATACAGTTTAGCTTATAGCATATTGTATTTGTTCCACATATTAACTCAAATATAACTTTACAATCACACAAATAGAAATATCTAGACCCTTGGTACCTAAAAAATCTGTTTTATAATGATATATATATATCTCCTAAATGACTGAATGATGTTCTTAGGCTCCCACAGAACTGCTGACATTTTTACAAACATATCAGATATATGTTTCTTTTCCAGTCCATAACACTTGTATAAACATTCTTCAGATATTTGTAATCTCACAGACCAATAGCCCATTCTGGTTCTTGGCTTGAGGAAGAGATGATAGCAGAGTGACTTAATCAATCTCTTTCAGTATAAAGACTTAAGTCATTATGGCACCAGTCTATAGATAATGAATTGCAGACTGGTTTAACTTATCTAAATCTAGACTGTGAAGTAGACCAGTATGGTATCAGTCTATACAAAAATCAGATGGTGAACCAGTCAGGGGTATCTGATATACATGATCAGCACCAGGCCACTTATGCAAACATCAATTTTAACTACTCTGACATGGGGCACCTGCTGAGAGTAATTAACACCATTAACCTGGCAGAAATAGATTTGACCTAGTAATGCTTTTGTGGAAAGACTTACATAAAAGAAAAAGCCAGCTGTTGTTTAATTTGATTACTGCACCTTTACTATAACATATCTTTATGTTTCTTTAAAGGTTTATAAAACCTTATATTCAATAAGGATGGTATAAACTGTCACCTTAATTCTTGGTCTTTTATGAAAAAAAAAAATGAAAAAAACAACAGTGACATGTTTTTTTTGTAAGTTTTAACTATGAACTCATTTGTATCATATTTAAAAGTATTTAATGATCAGATCCTGATGAAGGTCATTTGTGACTGAAACTGATAGATATACAGATATATAGATGTACTGGTAAGGAAAAGAAGTTAAAGTTGAACATGGTATTTGACGTGTGTCTCCTTTTTCAATTCACTATTTCAACTGATTTTAAGTATGATAAAACATAAAAATTTTAATGAAGCTTTCCCTTAAACATTGACCTATCAAAATCAAGTAAGAAAATTCATAGGAAAAGGCCTCTACGAGATCTGGCACACTCGATGGCAATTGAAAGCCATGTCTCTATACATGAATACTTAAGTTAATCTTTAAAAGGTTTTAGAATTACTTTATAATTATGATTGTGTACAACAGATTTTATCATTTTTGCTTAAAACATATTCTTCCTAGATTTGAAATAAAGATAATTTCAACAAATTCACAAGACAAAATTATATTATTATTCTATTAGCAAACCATATTATTTGTTTGTTTATTTGTTTGTTTGTATGTATGATTTTTTTCATCTTATTTAAACATTAAACTTTGAATTATCAACATTGCACTAGTAAAAACATTATATGTAATATCTGAAATAAAATACATAAATGAAAATAGAACATTAAGGGTAACTCTAAATATATCTGCAAAATGAATTATAAACAGGATATTTTACAATAAAGACATTAACTAATAAATTACATTCAAAATATTTCAAATGATTTATTTTTCTCTTAATGCTTGTTTAAATTCAGGTCACAAGATTTTAGTACATTGGCCTTTAACCTTTATCCGGCCATGGACACCCCTCACTTTAACTTCAAATGGACTGTTCAATTTAAAGCAGAGCAAATCAATTTAATTCAAAGATTTAGAAGAATAATATTAAGCAAAAGAAGAAATATTAAGTAAAAGAATATATATTGTGCTCAAGAATCATTTATGGCAAAGATCCATCTGGAAAGTTTTAAGAGCTTAATGATTTTCTGGCAGTGGTAATCATTAATAATAAACATTTTAAACTGATGGCTATTATTTCTACCTTGAAATGCAAAAAGATTAATGGTTTCCTCTAGATAACTTTATACACATTAGCAAAGGTGTTCCCCATGGAGTGCATTACTGCCAATCACATTTAATGCATTCATTTACAATGGAATGCAGAAAAAAATAGGCCAGGAAATGCACTTCTAACTGAATTAACTTAACAGACACTTTATTTTGTTAGTCTACATCAGTATATTTATTCTGTTTAAGATTCTTGAACTAATCTACCAAACATAAACAATGATCAGAGTACTCTAACTATCAGTATTGCATAAAACGATGATGTATTATGAAACTTAATTAACTTAATGTGAACTTAATTAACTCAATGTGAATAAAATCATGAATCAAGTAAAACAATTATTTTGGAGATCCCCTACTTTACAATCAAATCAAATTTAATCGAAGTTTTAATGAATATGGGTAAATCATTCTTTTTATCCAAACTTCAAATTTAAAACCTGGAAAAACTTGGCACCACCCTGGCCTTATCACATCAAATCTTTACCTCTGACATTTTAATCAGTCTTTACTTCAATATTTCCTAAAATATCATTCAATAAAAGAGAAAATAGCAATATATTTTATCATTGCTGAAGATAATTTTTTTATCATGAATACCTAGCCAGAATTCCTACTTAAAAGTACATCTATCTCCATGGGAGAATGAAAGAACAGAAATATTTTACCATTGTTTATTATAATGGAGAAAGGTTTCACCTTTTCTTTAATGTGTCACAATCCATTTAGTTAAAATGTAAGTTATTTTGAATGCAATTCTGATGAATTTTTATCTTGGAAAATATCAAACTTTGTGATTCAGTATTTGCAAAGCATTTTTTTTATAAAAATTTCTATTCTTTATAAAAAGAAGGTTCTGGCAGGTGAGTCTGGAAGAGTTATTAATCATTCAGAATTTCGTTCTTGGCAGAAGCTTATGAAATTGATACTTTTAATGGATGGTACTTGTATAAATGTACCATGAAAATATTAACAGAGAGGAAAATTCCTAGAATATACTCATATCAGTCCATGTTCAAATTTTCCTCTCAAAAAATCTGAATTAAGGAAATTACCAAAAAGTAAGTAAATGATCCACATTTTGCTTTTGCACAAACATAACAAACATAATTATATCCTTTAATTTTCAAAGCTGTAATACTTGTAATATTATATTTATTTATATATCTGTAATAAATTCCTTTATTAAGAAATAGAATAAACTTTTCTGCAAACAGTCTTAGCATGTATATCTAGTTTCTTTAGATTAAAAAGAACTTTTTTCAGAATATTTAAACACTTGACTCGTCCTGTGGATAAAATAACTTAAGTTTCTGTTAAAAAGAAAAATACATGCAAATCATTATCCTTAACTAAATTTATAAATACCTGTGTTCCATTACATCCATCAAGACCTGCTGGACCTCTTGGACCTGGGGGACCTTGCAAACCCTGAAATACAGCACACAAAATATAAATACCCCTTAAAATATTGAATGTACAATTATAAGAAATTATTAAGGCAATGGATGAAATTTGGAATTTGAAATAAAATCCCAAACATCTTCAATAAAGCAATTCAATTAAATTTGATATAGGCAAAAATGACTATTAAAGAGGCTAAAAATAATGAAAATCCAAAAAATTATCCCAACAACACTAATCAGTATGTTAAAAGCTTGTGTAAGAAGCTTTTAGACACACTCTTAAATCTATCCCTGGAACCAACCAGTACTGAACAATGTGTTTAAGTTTCTGGCTAAAGGAAACAAAGGCTTGCCACTAACATGGTTTGACCCAACGCGGCTAGCGAGATCCTTTGATTACTAGTCCAGCCTGTTAACCAAACAGCCATAACCCTAATCCCTTTGTTAATTTTTTTACCATCATTTAAACTATATCAAAGCACTGAGTATTCGTGTAGATTAAAAATGAATCATTGAAATCCATAAAAAATATTGATAACTATCTTTTCTGTCAATTGTTTGAACACCATAATTAAAATAATTTTTAAAAGCCATGAAAGCTAGTTTAAAAGTTGTGCAAGTTCTTTGTATTCTTTTCATCCCTTTAAGGCAATACAAATACATTTTGTTTATACATTTTTTTTTTATAAAATAAAAGCCAAAACCTACTATATTTTATGACAAAGGAATCTTTCTATTATATAGTATGGACATTTTCTGAAAACTAAAACTAATTTTCATGAGTAACATCATAAGTACACCAACAAATTTCATAGATTCATGAATGTTGTAAATAAATGTACAACAAACATTGCCCTATAAATCAAGCTAGGATATACGGCATCTATGATTCACTCACATTCTTTCTTGAGTTTTACATAAGCAAAGAATTCACACACAGTACAAGTAGCTACAGTTTATTCTCTACTATCACTTTGCTTAGAGGCTATTATCTGAAATAATCTCCACCCCAAAATCTTGGCAATCTGTTCCTATATGAACTAGTGCATTCTGACATTCTGGTACACAATGATATGTACAAGATCTAATCAGTGTAAACAAGCAAAGTACATTACACAAAAACATGGAGGGAAAATCTGGAGCACAGTGCCAAGATAGCGTCCAGCACCACATAAATATTGCATGTTAAATAAGTGTCATCATCTTTTTTTCTCCTGGCAGTGAATTTTTTTACTTGCTTGAACCCGAGTGTATATGAGTCATATAAAATTCTGCTTGTCATCTTCAATTTGAACTTATCAACTTCAAGACTTATTCTTTGTCTTGACTATTGTTTTTAACACTAACTCCCCTCATACTGCATGTAAGCAAAAAGTGAACAATTTTCGACAAGCTGAAAGTCGTCTAATGGCCAAATAAAAAGTGGGACCAACATAGTACATAAAGCTTTCATACTGTTTAAGTCTCTAAGCTTAGTTAATATTCTGTAAAAATATAACCTACTAATTAAATCTGATGATCATGTCAAATACAAGTCAACCAATATTAGCCGATGAAGCAATTTTTGGGTAGAGTAACAATACATGTTAAATACAACGAATACTTACTGGAATACCGCTGATACCTGGAAATCCTGGCATACCCATTTTACCCTGAAATAAAAGGAAAACAAAATCAAAATACATTGACAATCATTTTCAAACTATTGACAATACTGAATGTGTTTGGAAACAACAGTTTGTATATTCAAAGCTTCCAATAGCATTCAATCAAATATTTTTTTTTTTTTTTTTTTTTTTTGGGGGGGGGGGGGGGGTAATTATTATTCTGATATGGTTTGCACTGTCACTGTAAAGGTCCTACTATGACTTATGACTTTCCTGGTGTAGGAAGGATCTTGTGCACCTCTGTGAACTATTTCATATACCATCGTGCACCTGATTAGAGCAGAATCATCAGCTCTCCCATACCTTTATCAAATGAATGTCATGTCTTAAAGGTCATGTCAAAGGTCAAACAGTCAGCAGTGAGGGTCAAGTGATTTAAAACCACCCCACCACGGAAGATCTGTCTAGTCTAATATCTAATTAGTAACTCAAATTGATAGTGGATCTGATGATATTTTTTCTATCAATAATTTGATAATTAATTAATTGTTTTAATGTAAATACATACATCATCATCTTAATTTCTGGCTTATATACAAACAAAATTTGAGTCAGAGAAAGGTAATCTGTTGAGATCATCAGAAAGATGAGATAGATTTCTACATAAAACATACAACTTTCACATTTCCTGTCTTCTCTAATGAATGCCAATTACATTAAACATTTCCTAGTCATCCATCTAGCTGCAATATTACACAGCTTAGCAATTAGTAAACCAAACAAAACAGCAGGTTCTGTGTGAAGAGCATTACATCAAAAACCTTTACAACTCTTATTTCATATATAATTTGCCTTCAAGAGGCTTTTCTTTGTTCAGCAGCTTTGGTTGATGATTTAACTATGTATTTTACTAATGAAAAAATATGGCTTTCCCACTCTCTCATGCCTGTAGGAGACTTATCTTTGTTCATCCACTTTTAATAATGGTTAAATATGCATGTATCATATGTATTATATGCAATCTTTATAATAAAATTATAAATGTTAAGGAAACTAGAAATGTGTCCACAGGACACTGATGTTGTCACATTTCACTGTTTTTGTCAGTTTACACACGGTCAGGCCAGCAATCAGCAGGATGAACAAAGGCAAATCAATGCCCTCCCCCCACCTGCTAAGTATATAGGGGCATGGCAAAAAAGATGACACTTTCTGTCTTATGTCTTAGCTTTGATATGATGATTAAGCAATGGGATAATCTAATTTGGCAAACTATCAATGGTATATATCTTCATTATAATGCACAAATATTGTTCACAAACAGACATGCTCATAACAATTAGTTTGACTCGGAACTAATTTTATGACTTGAGTACATGGTATAATTAATATATACCCAAGTAAAACATCAGTATGTACTATTGCAGTTATTTCATGTTATTTTGTTGTTTCAGCAAAGGGAGTGGTGTCCTGTACATAGCTGAATATTAAGAAACATCATGTGTATGCATGGTTTTCTACTTTACTCCTACACAAAGGTTAACCCTTTAATACTTTTGCCAGGTTAATCTTTAAATAATTTACCATTCAGCCACATGTAACTATTGCTTCCTATCTTTTATTACAAAATTACCACATAAAAAAGGTGGATGGGGTCAATCTCCTAATAATCAGAAGAAAAACCATATTTTATTACCCATTAACCTAGTCTTTGAATTAGCTAAAAAAAATCAGATAATCTCCCTTGTATTTTAAAAAGGTTTACTTCCCTTTTATGCATAACCCTTGATTCTAAAACTGTTCCATTGACTGCTGCAAGTGACCTAATCTACCCATGTGACCATTGCAGATCAAGATCAGCTGGCACATTCCTGACATCTGATCATGCTTCTGCATATTTTGAAAATTTCCCAAAAAAAAACGATGAATGGTTTTGTCCGGATTGAAAGATAGGCAAGTCCATTTAAGATATTTAGCTTGGTTAAGGGGTAATTATAATATTGAATACTGCTTTGTAGGCAGCTTTTTCATCTGACTTTGTAAATTCTCTAGCTGTTTGTATAACAGGTACATTTTATCCGATCATAAGACTTTGCTTTTGGCTGCACCTGTTTTACATACCAGTAAATATAAACTGAACAAACTTAGCACATGGCAAATGGAAATCAAGTGCATCCATTTACTGTAGCTTTTCAATCAAGCAGAACTTAATTTGGCACTTTGGAACACTATTTTGTACAGTTTAGTGCACTTTTTACGGCCAGTTTATGAACATGGCATGAGTGAGCTATTTTATTCATCAGAGCAGTCTTTTTGTTGTTGACAAGTTGTAAAAATTTGTTTTAAAAGTTCTTCTTATCTTCTGAAAATTGGTTACTGGCTGTCTTAGATTTTGATTTATTACTAAATTGCTTGAAGAACATGGGAATTCTAAATGGTCTGTTAGAGCCATATAATTGTCTCAAATGTACATTGACTTCCTGGTATTCCATCTACACATATCGTAAATCTGGCATAACTCATAGTTTAACATATGATTTACAAACCTATGTTACAGAGGTGAATGAACTTGTAAAAATCATGTTCCATCCCAGACTCAGTGAAGGGATGCTGAGTTCACAAGATTTGGTACAGTTACAATGTAATAAAGAAGGAAGTTGCATTTACAGACATGCACACCTGTTTATACATCAAAGTTATAAATAACTACCAAAAATATTTGCAATGTTGCACACATGTTTGAGATACAAAATTGAAAGATATCTCCCCCCCCCTCCCCCTCCCCCCCAACCCAAAAAAAATCGTCATTTTTTTAATCCTTTTTTCTTTAACAATTACATTTTATCACACACCTGTGCCGCTTTTGTGACTGGTGAGCATAATAGTAAGTAAGTAAGTAACGACTTTATTTAACGAGGCTTACACATTCAGTTTCCCGATCTTCCATGTGGGCCTCAGCATAACATTATTACAATCAGTTTACATGTACACAACATATACACAACATATATACACAAATATTATCAAAATAGATCAAAGTTAAAAAAAATCAGTATTGAACTTAAACCCATCAATATCCTCTATATGTCACTTGCTAAACCAAATAGAACAAAATACAATAGGTAATCCTAAAGAAAAGAACATTTTCTATGTTTTTTAATTTAAAATACAACAAAAATCTATTGAACCTTATCATTTTGGCTCAATGGTGATCTTAACTTCTGAGAATTTATTTAACCAGCTAACAAAGATGAAAATTTGCAAATCTTTCTTAATATTTCAGTAACACTTTCTGTAATAATTTTAATATAATATAATGGGATCTAGCAGGCTGGGAAAATGATTCGTCAAAATAATTATCTAAAATGAAACTTGCAATGATTCCATTAAATTAACAGAATATTTTGCAAACTGAATTTTCCAAACTTTGTTGCCAAGAAATGTACTCTTATAATAAATTATAAACAGCTTGTTTTTATGTGTTGCCATGGATAAATGTTGTAAATTGATATTGCAGTTGTTTTTGATTGATTCAACAGTTTATGTTATTAACTGACAGAAACCTAACAGTAGGCGTTTTGGTTAAAACATATTTATTTAAACTCCATTGCGATTGCGAAACAAGTTCCAGCTAAATAAATATGTTTAAACCAAACAGTAGGCAGTTAAACATAAAAAAAGTGTGTATCATAAGTTAAACATACTGTTTGTTATTTTAAAAACAGTTCAATACATTGAGGGCTTGGTGCGAAAGTGTTGAAACTCATTTTTGATAAAGAATGAGCTACGACCCTTTCACACCAAGCTGTCGATATCACTTATTCTTGTAAAACCACACCCAAAATTACTCAACATCCTATATCCTGCCTCCCAACCAAAAAATACAGCACTATTGTATATTTTAATAACTTTCAAATCTTTAAAGTGCATTTTTAAGTATCGACTGGTATTTATTAGTAAGCATTTACAAAATAAAACTGGTCAAGAATGGCACACTAACCAATTTATTGTTTGGAATTATTTTTATAAACAGATGATTTACTAGAATCATTAATAGTTTGCCGATTTACCAAAGTAAATATGTTACGATTCATTTGAAATACTGCAATACTATCGGATAAAAAATAATTTCAAACACTAAATTTATTATTTATTTAACATTAAGAGTTTTTGCAATATCATTGTTAAGGGTTTTTTTTTTTGTTTTTTTTAATTTTCAATATTATTTCTATCTTAATTTAACTTACAATGTTGTATTAATAACAGGATTTTTATTCCGAAGAAATTCCTTGATAATCAATGTATATCTTCAATTAAAATTTTGCCTAAAATTCTTAAAAACACGACTTTGGATGCAGGATGTTGCACTTATTCATTATCAACAATCAATCTATGTCTTCAATTTTCATGTCATTTTGTTGTGATTAATGCTTCCGAGGGATCACTTTGTTTCAAGATTTTAATGTATTCTTTAAACATAATCAACTAGCTTACGGAACGTCGGTGGTTCTACTCAGGTGCCCGTTCGTGCCTGAAATAATGCACGGAAGGGCACCTGAGGTCTTCCTCCACCAGTAAAGCTGGAACGTCGCGATATGACCTATACTGTGTCGATGTGACGTAAAACCCAAAACAAAAACAAAAAAAACAAAAACATAATCAAACAATTTTAAACTGGATGCCATCAGTTTTTTTTTGTCTTTCAACGAATTGCTCTTCAGTAAATTATGCAGGAATGAAGGGGTATGCCTCTTAAAATATTCTTCCATGCTTATACTTAAAAGATGCAGTACAAAGGACAATTTCAATTTTTTTAATTTAAAACTTTTGAAATTTTGCATGTTATAAGAGATAATTTGTATTGAAATTTTTTTGCTCCTGAAGTTATCATATGTATGTCAAACATTCAAGTAACACTCTGGTGGTCTCGACTAAATTAACTTCAGGTCGGGGTCTGTTTGGATAATGACAAACACTACCTTTCACCCGGCATCCCCCTTTAATTTGTTCAAAAAATCTTCAATTTTCTACACCATTTGAAACAAAGATTTTAAAATTCTTTGAGCAATTGGTCTTATAAAATGTCAGAATTTATTTCTGACATAAAGCAGACGGCATCACGGCATCACCAGTCTGACATCGTTGTGATAAACATCAGGCACCATAGACTTCCACAATTTCATATCTACATATTTATCATCCAAATCTATGATACTTGGAATCCGGAGTCAAAACTGTGCCAAGTTAAAGATTTTTTTTTTGTATAATACAAACCCTCGCCAAAATGATGAATACAGGTAAACTATATGTATACTCAAATGTTTTCAAAATCTAGGAATACTAGCATTACTTATCAGTTATAGGAAAACATCATGCACTTTAATGCATTTATTTTTCTGAGGTATAAAATTATCAGTGATTGATAATCATTCTAATAATAACTGCCTCACAAACTGACTTAAGTCTAAATTTGTTTTTCTATGTTTTTCTGAGTTGAATTTTATCCCGCTTAGACCTGTCAATATGATGCTATTTAAAATTGTTAATTTTTTATAATTTTATCAAACTTTTTGATAACCACTTTCAATCGCAGACCAATTCTATTGGTACATTCTATGAACATTTCCAAAATATACAAACTGATTATCATTATGAAGGCACTTCTGTCACACCCAGAGCTCTTATTTTACTAAGTTTGTTGCCGAAATTTGCCCTTTTGTTATTATCTTAAATTCCAACTTCAAAAAAAAAACTTACATCTGCTAAATGCAGCAAAATTAAATATGTAATAATAAAGGAACATAAATATTGTCACTTTATTGGGTATGCTAGCGCTGTAAACAATGCTTGAAAATTCCCCTATGAGGAAAGGACAATGTAAAATTCCCCAATCCTACAAGGACAGAACACACAGTGCCCTAGGCCCCTCACAGCTTAATATTGTGATTTACGAGGATGTAAAAATTATGTATAAACAATGAAGTACTTACTCTGTCACCTTTGGGACCGTGGATACCTGTTGAGCCTGGTTCACCTTTAATGCCTTTAGGTCCAATCAGCCCTTCTGGTCCCTCAAACCCAGTGTTTCCCTGAGGACCCTGCGGCCCTGGGAGTCCTGGAAAACCCTGGAAACAAAAAGAAATAGAATGATTTTCTTCATTTTGTGTTAAAACCTACAAAGAAATAGAATGATTTTCTTCATTTTGTGTTAAAACCCACATATATATATATGTATATCATATAGTGGGTTGGGGTTCACTGGTTCTTAACTGTTTTATAACAATTACTATTTTTTCCTCTTGCAGTCCAGTCCTTGAATTTTCTGTTTATCATGTACTTTTTCTTTTTCTTTTTGACCTTAAAACTGCTTCTTTAGTATTGTCTATTGGCTGAGTTAAGAAGAAAAGTAGTACGGCAAGACACCAGTGAAAATATGGAAAATATGTTTCACTGTAGTGAAAAATTAATTTTTTACAGTGAAAATATGGAAAATGAAACTACGTATTTTACGTCATCAATATTTCATTTATAAGTATATAATTACCGGTTATGATTATAATAATAATGATAGTATAATATTATGAATATAATATGATGAGAAAGTCAGTTAAAAAGCTATTCAAACATTTCTATAAGAAATGCCAGTAAATCGTACTATAAGAAGTTTTATTGGGACTTACTCTTGATCCTTTCTCTCCGACACATTTACATCCATTATTTGTCGTACAACCGCCACATTCCGGCTGAGTCTCCGACCGATTCCGCTGCTGCTGAAATAAATTATTATATTGTATAATGTAATCATAAATAATTTCATTAAATTGTAGATGAAAAAGTTGAAAAGTGTTATAGTTAAAAGATATGTCAAACCTTCATACAGTCAAACCTGTCAACAAAGGTTATCTAAAGGAGAGACCAAACATGGTTGTTATATACAAGTGGTCTCGCTTAAGGGGTGAATCTGTTTGATTAAATCAATGAACAGTTGTTGAAAAAAAGTCTTTATTCACAGACTGGTCTTTATCACAGGTTTGACTACATTAAGTCCAAAGTTGAATTACATTAAAACTGCTACAAAGCAACGAGACAGTTGGTTGTTGTTGACAGGTGTTGTTTTAGTGAGGTTTTGTGAATTTATTGTCAAGTCTTACTTTGGGAAGGATTGATACAGCTGGTTTAATTTATAAGCTAACTGTTGTACATGGGGCTGCGCATCAGGGGTTTCACTGTATGATAATTAGTTGAGGACAGCCTAATTTTTTATTGACTTTCATACAACCAAGTCAAGAAAATATTCAAAGTTTTACTGAGTTATTAAAATAAAAACCTATCTGATAATGGCAACTTTAGTACATTATTTTGTAAAGTGAAAATGTTTGTTTTTTTTAGTTGAAGTTGCACACTAATGGCTTTGCAGATGATGGGTCTTATCAATACTGAAGAAAAAACATTCTTAACTTAAAAGCCTACAGCTGGTTTTAATAAACTGTTAATAAAATATCTCTTAGCCAATTTCAAAAAGAATTATTTAGAAGAATGAATGACTTTATTCTGGAATAAACATCCAAAAGTTGACTGATACCATATTTAAAACACATAAATGACAAAGACAGTAAAATGATGATGAAAATACGAAAAACCTTGCAGTGAAGAAGCAAAATGACCAAAAACCTTGCCTATCAAGAACTTACAAAATAAATGCCTTCAGCTCAACTGTTTTCATGATGATGGAAACATATTTTATAAAGACCATAAAGATGCTAAGTATGTCTGCAAATGAAAGCTTTTAAATAATAAACTTCTCTAAGAGTTTATCCATGGCATCTTGCATAAATGACATTAATTAATTGAAGACATCATAAATAACTTTCCTACTTCCTGTCTGAGAGTGTTATGATTATTCATGGGGAAGTATAAATCATAAAATTTCTAGAATAAAAGACAGGTGCCTTCTCTGCGTTTTAATCCTTAGCCATCTGAAAGCTACCCCACAGTGCTCTAACTTCTTCCCTTAGCCTCTTGATTTTGGGAAGTCAATGCTAAAATTGCTAATTTGGGAAGTAAAAATACTGGTGTAAGTTCAGATTTTTGGGAAAACTTTATAATTTTCAAGAATTTCAATTGGGAAGAGAACTTTTATAGTCCTCTTATATATTAAGTTGAAAAATTATGGCCAAACAGGCCTTTGCAAACATGTTGGTACCAGACAGGAAGGCCAGTATCCTTTACTATTTTACTTTCAATATTCAAAAACTAAGCAGACGATAAATTTAGCAGACAACAATTTTAGAAGGCGAGAATTTTAGCAGACAACAATTAGAAACAATTTTTTTCGAAGTTGACAATTTTAGCAGACAATAGTTAGAACAATTTCAGCAGGCTAGAATTTTAGCAGTCGACAATTACATATTTAGCAAAAATAAATCTTAGGAGTTGACAATTTTAACTGCACACAACAATTTTAACAATTTTAGCAGCGGACAATTTGTCCCAGCATGTAAAGGTTTAGCAGACTGGAATAAAGAGTTTAGAAGCAAGGGGAGTATAAACAGGAGCACAAGCGTTGAAAGTATGAGAGAACGGAGATATGTAACAGAGCAGAACATCAGCAATGTGAGTAATGTACTTGACCTAACCTCATTAAAATACTTAGCCTACGAGCCATGTGCTCTCTGCTCTCGTACATTCTTGAAGGAACAATGTACGGAGCTACCCTAAAATGTGTTTAAACGAATAGTGCAGACATATAGCGCAGACCGGAAAATTGAAAAAGAGGTTTTTATTTTAAAAGAAGTCTTATTTTAACATAATTATGGCTGCACTTTAAACAGTCCTCAATTTTTTTTAACATTTTTAAGTTTTGAGTCATTGGCAAGTAAAAAGGAAATATTAGCTTAACAATTTTCGAGGCAGTTTTCTTGCATTTAAAACAAATAAATGAGTTTATTGTAGCATATCAAAATAATTCACATTGCAGCTGCGTCGAAAGAAAATACTGTTCACATCAAAGAAAGATATAAACGTCTTTTACTTACAAAGCAAAGAAATAGAAATAAAGCTAAGATTTTCAAGGACAGCCTTAAGTTCTATGCACATGTTTTGCACATTCCGAATATTTTAACATCAAAATAATACAATGAAACCCCTTACAGTAACTATCAATAGTTAAAAGGTAAAATTTAAGTATTACTCATTGTGGAAAAGTTTTAATGTTCATAATACAAAACTCTTTTGACTTTTTTGTGTTGGCATGGACTTTCAGCTGAGGCCATCCTTAAAAAATTTTTGCAGTAACCCGACCCAGAATTTTCATGGTGGGTAGGTAGGTCAATTTTTTTTTTTTTTATTGAACTGTACTCCCAAATAAACATGGAATTTCAAAATGCTGGACAATATATGCTTTGATAATCTGGTAACAATTAATAAATTGATAACTGAATTCTAATTTAATAAGACCTACAATTTATTTCTTCTATTAACCTTAAAAAGAACAAAAACAAAGCACAAGGCATAATTTTCTGATTCAAAAAAAAAATCTTTTTATCCAGACCATGAAAAAAAACTTTGAGTAGGGGCAAATTTTGTGAGTCGGTCGCGTTACTGCAAACAAACATTTTTTTAAGGATGGCCTGAACGTGGTTTTAACACAGGCGGCAGTATCAGTGTTTGGACACCCCACCCCTATCTGCCCCTTGACCCCTACTACAACCCTGAAAAAAAATTCAACACTCTAAGGCTTACTATAAGGTACCAAATACAAAACCACCGATGAAATTATATAAAAAAAAAAAAATTTCCACTATCAAAATTATAGTTATAGAAAGATGTGAAGCCTTCTATATGTCCATTTGCCAAACAATGTGGAACACGGGAAATCGTCGTTTCGGCGACTGAGGCGCATTCCGGCGGGATTTCGCTGCATCATTCGTTAACATCAATAAAAAGAACTTGAATTCCTCAGTTTATGTAATTCAAGTCCAACAAATATCACTATCATTCCGATTTTTTTCTGTTTCAGGGTATTTTTTGAATTGTCGTAGCCAGTTTGCAGTCTGATACCTGGGTTGAAATACGCGATCTGATTGGACGAGCCAAATTGGACGTCCAATCAGATCGCGTATAACACACAGGTATCAGAATCCAAAATGGCAACGACAAGTCAAAAATTACCGTGAAATAGAAAAAATCGATAGAATATTGATATTCATTGGACTTGAATTAAGTAAGCTGTGGAATTCAAGTTCTTTTTATTGATGTAAATGAATGATGCAGCGAAATCCCGCCGGAATGCGCCTCAGTCGCCGAAACGACGATTTCCCGTGTTCCACATTGTTTGGCAAATGGACATATAGTAGGCTTTACACCTTTCTATAACTATAATTTTGATAGTGGAAAATTTTTTTTTTTATATAATTTCATCGGTGGTTTTGTATTTGGTACCTTATAGTAAGCCTTAGAGTGTTGAATTTTTTTTCAGGGTTGTAGTAGGGGTCCAGGGGCAGATAGGGGTGGGGTTTCCAAACACTGATACTGCCGCCTGTGGGTTTTAACTGTAAATGCTGACTGAGTAGAATTAATCTTTTCCCTCTAAACTATTTTCATTTCTTTCATTTTTTTCTCATTTCCCTTTTTTTCAGATTTTCTTAGTGACTCATATATATCTAGACAAGACTTTTCTTCACATACACTGGGAATCTCCTACTCTTGCCAGATGGAATCAATTAAAGAAAACCACTATCCTAAATGCCAACTTCACAAATTATATAGAAAATGACTGTATAAACAGCTGAATGTTTTAAGTCAGAGCCTACTGGATGAGTGATGTGCTTAGATTAATTAATATTTTCAAGATTTTTGTTAATCCTTACAAAACAGACAGCTTCCAGATAAAATTCTCGGTGGATTTATTCACACTAGTTTTGCTAACTTTTCAGTTTGAATAACAGTTTGATTGGTTCCAATTTTTTTATTTACATAAGGAAAAATATGTTAAAAGATCTGTGATCATTTAATAACATGTATTTGGTACAAGTCCTCTTAAAAAACTGTAAACTTATTCTTATTTCTGTAATGAAAAATTGACAACCAACAGAGTGACACTATCTGACCACATATATTTCTTTCCTTATTATAATAATTTTATATCCTTATCAAAGAAAAGTAATAAAATAAGTAAGTGATGCACATTAACATGGAAGCAAGTTAAAAATATCCGAAAACCTGAAAACCCTTCAGGGCTTCAGTTAATGGAAGTTTGGGAGTCATTTACTCTTGTGACTTCTTGAATCTTCTTTACCTATATAATGTGACTTCCAATATCAGAGATTTTGCAGTATCTAACTTCCAAATATTGAAACTTAATGGAAGCCCTGCAGCCCTTAATTCAGTATCATTTCAATAGGTAGAAAAAGAGCGCTTTCAGGAGTAAGAAAACAAAATTAATCTAAACAGTGAACTTCAGGCAAATGCCTAAAAACTTGTACCTTTGCTTCCCAGCATTGTCTTAAATTACCTTTAAAATATGATGATGACTTTAAACATAGGAATTCAATGCATCATTTTTCAGTATCATTAACAGCATTTGCAATACCCACACACTCTCCTATAATACCTCTTTCCCTCCTACATGTCATTATATATACCATGAACATCAAAAGATTTCCCAGCAATGGCTCAAGCAATATACTCTAAGAGTCAGAATAAAGTGGTGATAATAGAAAGGCAATAACCAACAGAAAGTTTCTAATAATTGGACACAAGTTGGCATCATTCCTTC